TTACTCCAGTCCCCATCAACGAAACTCACATATCGACAAATTATTCCGAACCATCCAGCAAGCATGTCTCATACACAGCACTAGAAATTTATCTGTTAGAGGCAGAGCTACTGTCCTCAATTCACTCATTCTATCACGACTATGGCATGTACTTCGCCTGCTTCCTCTCAACAAAACACAACAAAACACATTGCAACGCCTCATCACTTCCTTCATCAACAGTCGCCGCTTTGGTACCATTCCTTTCTCAACACTCATTTTACCTCGTTCTCAAGGTGGACTTAGCGCCATTGATCCTCATCTACAACAGAGAGCTCTTCAATGGCGATGGGTTTACCCTTTATTAGTTCCTCACTCTTTTGCTGTTTCTTTACCTTCGCTTCCTTATCTCCAATTTACCCTTTCTTTCTTCCTTTGCTCCCCACAATACCCTACTTACCACTGGCCTTTGTTATTCCCCTTTATACGAAAAAAGCTTTCTATTGACATTCCTTACTTCAACCGTATTTTCTTAGCTATAGATTATCTACCCCACAACTTCTCCAATTGTCATGTTCCCCTTCACGTTTGCCTTCGCCTTCCACTTCCTGAACTTCTACATTCTATCTATCCTTCTCCACCTCCATCTAACCCTCCTATTTCTAAAAATGAATACTTCAAACACAATCCCAGTATGCTAGCCTTAACAGGTAATCACGTTTTTGTTTTTGATTCTTCTAGTGAATGCCTTCGGTTTCGCTCTCGGCAAGAAGTCCCTCGTTTTGAATCGGCCACTTACCGCGCTTTACTACACTTTCGTCAAAAAAAGCTCTTCCTCAATCCCTTTGTCCTGTCACTCTTTTCTCCTGCTCCTCGTATTTCTTCCTTTTCTATTCTTCCTTCAACCTCTCACATTAGCTCCACTGATTTACAGACATTCATTTCAACCCTTACATACTCTCAATTCCCCATTACATCTTCCACTCATTCTTATCGTAAATTATGCCATAGCTCCTCCCCTCCTATACCGCCTGATCCCCGCCTATCGCCTAACTGGAAACGCTTTTGGTCTCTCAAGATCCCTCTTCCTGCTCGCAATGTCCTCTACAGGATACTTCACAACAAAGTCAACAACCGTTTTCACCTACATCGTCTTATGCCCCATACAGTTCCTAATAACTTTTGTATCCACTGTCCTTCAAATCTCATTACTTCCATTGATACCCTTGATCACTTTTATTTCCTCTGCCCTACCAAGTATGATGTTTGATCTTATGTCTTCTCCAAGTACATTAATCCCAACATCCGTGCACCTTCGGTCAATCTCCTACGTCAAGTCCTCCTCCTTCGGGTTGTTATCCCTCGTGTTTCTCTCCTCCATTTTCCTTCCTTAAGTGCCTTCCAAATCTTTGCATGCACTGCTTTAGCCCTCTGGCAAGCTCACTGGCAATCTGTTTTTTCTGAAAACCCATTCCTCTCCAAAACTATAACCAAGACGGTTTTCCGCTTAGCAAATAAGCTGCATGATGAATCCCGCCTTGATTATGAACCGTAAATTCTCTCCTCCGCTTTCCTTTCCAGTTCCTCTCTCACTACTCATGATGTTCTCTCCACTTCAAGTATTTATCAAGCTCTCTTAAACTCTTATTCTTTTCTCAATTTCTTCTACCACAGGCTCATTTCCCTTTCCTTAGTCTAGTTCTTATAATACCACAGTCTTTTCTTCCACTCTTTTGACGTCTAAAGGACTTTAAATAAAATTGGAGCAAGTCTCCCTTACAAAAAAAAAAATACTTTCATTAAAACCCGTTGAATATAGCACGAGAAAAGCAGAACCGGAACGGGGTGATAATTTATAATTTTTGGCCACTGTAATATGTAACAGATGAACTTTCATGTAAATTGATGAGTTGCTGCGAAAAGCTTAGGTTACAAATACAAGATGTCTTTTCTTTTCAATTAATGGAAATATTTGATTCCTTATTAATTGGACTATAGAGTATATAAAGAATCGTGCGGTTGACAAGGGAGAGTATCAATCCTTTTTATTTTGTTTTTTTGCCTCCAATTATACAACATGTTCTATATATAAGATAATTAGCTACAACGGCTACGCGCGTTGTACAAATACCAATTATACAGTCATCACATAAACAAACAATATTTTACTGCATGGCCTGATCTAGAAGGTTAAAGAACAAAAAAAATAGAGAGAAATCAATAAACCTTGAAAAAAAGAGCAACGGCAAGAAATGACACTGATATAGTATCCAAATGCATTCTATTTGGTAGATTGGTTCCTATAGCTTCAAGTATTAGAAAACACCCTGATTGCCTGAAACTATAAAGTGTTTGGACACCTTAATATTTATTCTACGACAATAGGGCTCTATTTAAACCTGTTTTTCTTTTTTGCAAATCTTCTCATTTTCATTTTCGATTGTGTTCTGCTATACTCGTTTACTCTCATTCTACTATATCAATTTACGATCATGGGAATCTACGCTGATAACAAAAACAGTACATATCACTGATTTAAACTACAAGGATACATATTAATTATTAATATTAGAAATACATGCACGTCTCAAAAAGATAGCCTTTGGTGAATCCCAAGTTTCGTGGAATACCTTTATTACTGAGATGCAAAAAGAAATGACTGAATTATACGACAATACTCCTCTTAATGAATACAAGCAGCAGTGGAAAAAAGCCATGAAGTTGGCCGTAGTAGATTTAAATTTTCTTATTTGTAAAGGGAATCGAAAGGACTTATGGGCCACCCTTATTGAGAATAAGATCCTCGAAAACCAGCAAGAACAAAAGCAACAACAGTTATTATTTAACTATGCACCCACTTCATCGTTGTGTTATCAAAGAAAGGTGACAAAAGCTGATTTAAATAAAGTCTCTGAAATATATGGCAAGCTGAGACAAAAATGGACTCTGCAATCTGGAAGATTAGTTGAAGATGTAGTATATGAGACATGCAAATCCTTTTGTGTTGAACAGTAAGTATTTTTATCAGATTATTAACTCGCATCAACAACTAATAATGACTTAGTCCTGCTCACTCTTTTATCTTTGACATTGATGATTACCTCTGGGAAGATGTATTTGAAAGTGAAGAGTTGGATGAAATCAAGACTGAAGCAAAAGAGAACTTAAATCAGCCTTTTCCTCCAGAGCTACAAGATATAGTTATGAAGCTTCACAGAAAAGTAAATTGAGCTATAATATTCATTGCGCCAGGCACTCATTTTTGTTTTGACAGAAAACCGCTATTGAGATGTATAATGCCATTTGTGAAGTAGAAGCTCATCCATTCAAAGATGTAGCTAAATTCTGGCTCAAACAGAGCATCACAGACTATATCTTGCTCTTTGCTGAAGATAAACATCTTAGCCCTTTTGAAACCGAACAAGATTTGCTAGACGATGTATACGGTTTCATAAAGAAGAGTTGCAAAATCAGTAGCACTAAAGCTTACAGGTAAGTTAATTATTCTCATTACTTAGTTTTCAAAAGTGATTTGACTTACATATGCAATCATTGATTAGTGCCAAACAAAGCAAAGCAACTAGTGAAGCAGTAAACAGCAACAGAAGCATTTGTAATGCCAGTGTACCATCAAGACAGCGCTGTGCTGATAATGCTGATCTCAGCTTTGAATACAATGGCAATGAACTCTTTTGTGTAGAAATAGGCCTTCACGATAAGGGTCCCAATGGAACAAAGGAAATGAATGAAAGAGATCTAAAGTTGCCCAAGATGATGAAGAACTTCTGCTGTCGCTTGACCAACAACCTCAAAGTAGACCCTAAGCATATCAAGACAACAGGCATTATCATTAGTGGTAAATATATAAGTATGACTAAGAAAATCAATTTGCTAAATCTCTTTACATTTTATAGGCATGAACATCACTGCTCGAATCATGAGTTTCAAGAATGGTTCCATCTCTTTGCTTTCTCGCTCTTCCCGTCTTCGTATGCCCACGTCTGTTCAAGAAATACCTCACTTTTTACCACCTGTATTGAACTTGATATATAACATCAATCAAACCATCAAGTCAACTATTGAAGCCATTGACGATGCGAGCTCATCCGTTGTGGTTGAATCAAATGAAGATGCTTTTTTCCCCCCTTGTTTCTTTGCAAATGCATCAGGCAACAAAAGAGAAAGACAATAGTCTAACTATCGTCTTCCTCTCTGTAAATAAATTGTACTATTCATTTCTTCTCTATCTACTCTAATTGAAAATTTAAAAGGTTGATTTGATCTGTTTTAGCTGCTTAATCTAATATTAGAAAGTTTTTATTATCTCTAGCAAATCTTGGCTTATTTATTTCGCTATCATTATGCCAATCCAGTTAAATGTAAACACAGGCTCAGAGGTAAAATGTTATAGAGCTGCAACTTTGAGTAACAAGTATTGATGGCGCTGAGATACAACATTAAATTTGCAGTCTTTGCTAATTTGGATGCCAAAAGAGGGATTGCTTTAACCTAAAGGATAACCACAGGAAGGTAAAACCATATATTTCCAAGACCTTTTTAATGTTAATAAGACAAGCACCAATCGACAAGAACAGATATAATTGAAGTCGAGCTACAAGAAAGAGAATATGCTTTATAAGGCACAGAATACTCCATTTATCATCATTTCAAATACATGATAGTGAATGTGCTTCAAGAGAAGAGGGAAAAAAGTCCAACAATCAGTGTCGAGCTACAAGATGGAGAATGTGCTTTACAAAGCACAGACGATTCCAAGTTCTCGCCCAACAATGAATGCAATAGCGCGAGTCAGGCTACAAGATGGAGAAGGTGCTTTACGAAGCACAGACGATTCCAAGCTCTCGCCTAACAAGCTAGAAACAAAGGATCACCCCTCACAAAGCACAGAATACTCCATTTATCATCATTTCAAATACATGATAGTGAATGTGCTTCAAGAGAAGAGGGAAAAGTCCAACAATCAGTGTCGAGCTACAAGATGGAGAATGTGCTTTACAAAGCACAGACGATTCCAAGTTCTCGCCCAACAATGAATGCAAGAGTGCGAGTCAGGCTACAAGATGGAGAAGGTGCTTTACGAAGCACAGACGATTCCAAGCTCTCGCCTAACAAGCTAGAAACAAGAGTCATACTTATAAAGAGGAAGGGGTGTCCCGGAACTTTTTTATTCTAATTTTAAAGTCCTTGAAACAAGGGGAAGAAAAGACTGTGGTATTATAAGAACTAGACTTAAGAAAAAGAAATGGATGTGTAAATTACATTTTATACTGTCAAGCCTGGATATCAGTACTTTCTGCATCCTGTGTGTATCTTCAATAACAAAAAACATTCATTATGTCGTAGTTTCTTAGTTTTGTAAGAGTAGCTTACTCGCTAAATCTGATACAGGCTTGCAAGTAATGAGATTGTGATGACACTATCGTTACTCTTTTCTAGGAAATCATTGACGGGTTTCTGTCAGCTGGCTGTTTTTTATTTCTTGATCAAAGATAGACTTACGTGACATAATAATGTATCTTTCTCTATGGTATCAAACATTTAAGAAAGTAGTAACAATTGAAAAAAGAAACAGTTTTGCGTCTTGTCTTTTACTAATGAGCATTGTCTGCTGTGTATCAGTAAAGAAGCCTTTTAGAAAAAGAGGAGGAAGGAAACCATGAGTATCCGAGTGTGGTCGGCCTTTACACGTTGAGGAGAATCTTAGCCGTAAAAGGGAGCAATATTAGAAGCAAAACGACCAATTTAAAGACTTGAGCAATTGGTTGTTCCTATACATCCAACTTCGATAAAAACCGCTAACCTTGGCAGTAAAGGCCAATATTCAATTGGTGACTCTTGAATGAGATTGTTAGTAACTGCCAATAAACGATTGTCAATAACCACTAATCTTGGCAGTAAAGACCAATTTCGCAAAAATTTAAATTGTGTTCTTTGATGCTTCTCCTTAGACATTATTGGTAGCATCATTGTATACACTATTGAACTATATAAACATCTCTTTTGTTACATATATATATTGTATACACTTTCATGGTTGGTGATATGGATCTAATCATACATTACTATACTCATCACTAAAAGCATTCTTAAATGACAACCACAAAAGAGAGGAATATATCCAACGCATACCAGCAACTTAGCCTTGACTGATATATCACTTAACTAGATAAAAAGGGGCTTATTGAATTGATTGTTACATCAAATGTGATGTATATGGGAAAAGATGGATCCTTTCTCCAAAGAAGAGCTTAACTTGGCTTTAACCAACAAAGATTGCCCTAATTATTGATAGTTTGCCTTTCAATCTTGGTATTATAGACTGATATTATTGGCTACTTACGGACAATCTTATCAGTAAAGGCTAACTATATCACTCTACTATCTACTTGATCTGCCTTAATGTTACTGCCTCCTTTTGATCCTCTTTGCTTCATACTTTTGAGTTTAAAGTCTCTTTGGAAGTACCCATTCTACTACAATCAAATTCTGGGTCAATTTATGAAAAGTAACTTTATAGAGAATGAATCCACAATGAACTATAGATGAGTTGATTTCTAGTAAAAAGTTCTTTTTTTTTATTATGATGAAGAGGACTTTTGTGTCTTTCTTTTCTTTTGGTTATTGTCATTATCTCTAAATTTTCTCTTTGTGCCTTGAAGCTTCTTGTTATCATTCTTCTTTTCAAACGGTTTCTGTCGTCTTTGTCCATTGTTCTCTTTCTTATCTCTAAAGTTTCTATTTGTGCCTTGAGGTTTCTTGTCGTTATCTTTGAAATTTCTCTTTGTGCCTTGAGGTGTCTTGCTATCCGTATTTTTCTCGGAGGTTCTTTGTTGTCTTCGTTCAATCACCTCTTTGTTTTCTAAAGAGAATTCCACAATGAGTCGCTTGCCATCAAAAAGATCAGGATTATTATTAAGATATCTTAGTGCCGCTAAAGCATGTGCATGCGTAGTAAATTCCAAGAAACCATAACCCTTTGAACGCAACTCATTTGTGCTGGAATCAATACGATCTTTACTGCGAATGATCTTGGCTTGTTTGACACGAGGCAGATATTGCCATCCTTCTTCTTTTTCTTCCTTAGACAAGTCAGTACGTTGGCCAGCCTTGACTTGATTCTTAAATTTAGAGATACTGCTGATACCAAGCTGTCTTAATTCTGCATCATTCACCTTGATAGGCAAATTACGAATGGAGAGACGAGTTTTGGATATAAACAAAGAAGGGTTGTTGCTGATAAGCTTCTTACGGCTCGAGAATGACATTTGACGCTTAGAAAGTTCGGATGGTGTCATGGTAGCAGCTGCAGGACTATCGGGGAATACGACACCTTCACGCATCAAGTACAGATTACGCTTATCTTCTTTGCGTTTCTGTGACAAGTTACTGTCCTTGATTTGTTTGGCTTGTTCACGATCCACAGCCAAAGTGACATCCAAGACACGGCCATGAAGCGTGAATTTGGCACCTTCACCAGAAGTAGATTCAGGTGTAATGATACTCTTGTACATCAAACCCTTCTTCTTCTTTTCACGCTTAGAAAGCAATTGGTTCATGGCTTCAGTATCGTTGTTTTCGTCTTTTTGTGAAAGTGTACGCAATGCTTCAGCTGCTTCCAGAATAGTGTCCACATCTTCCTTTTTGCGCATACAAACGAACCCTGTACCGCGAGAAAGCTTGGTAACTGGATCTCTTGTGATTTTAGCATAAACAACAGGGCCCCATTGTTTAAATCTATTGTTCACTAAGGTAAGTAATCTTTGATTATAAAAAAAAAGCACATATTAGACTTACAATTGCTTCAAATCTTCTTCTGTACTTTCGAATAAAAGGTTGCGAATAAACAAGGTAGTGCCATCAGCAATCGAAGGACCAGCCTTTTTAACTGGTTTTTTGGTTTCGACTTGTTTTTCATCCACTTCTTTACTTTCTTCTTCTTCTTCTTCTTGTTCTTCTTCTTCGTCACTGTCGTCGCTATCATCACTGTCGTCACTGTCGTCACTGTCTTCTTCTTCTGATTCATTATCAGAAGCTTCAACATCTTCAGACTTTTCTTCTTCCATATCTTCATCATTATCTGAGTTGCCTTCTTCAGCTTCCTTCATCTCTGTATCTTCATTTTCGACAGTTTCAGGTTGTGCTTCAGTAGCCTCATTCTCTTCAATTTGACGATATTGTGTCTTTGGAATAGACCAATCTACAGCAATTGTTCTACCATGGTGTTCAGTGGCATTGAGTTTATCCATAGCCTTTAAAGAGAAACGTCAGATCGATTTAGTTTTTTAAAGGGGTTCACACTTACCGTCTTACCCTCTTCTACACTTCCAAATTGAATAAAAGCAAAACCACGAAGAGGTCCACCTTCATATTTACGAGGTAATTTAACATCATGTACTTTGCCGTATTTTTCAAACAACTTTCTCAAATCAGACTCTCTGTATTTCCAAGGCAAGTTACGCACAATGAGACGAGCATTGACATCAAACTCCAAAGGTTCTGCTGGTTGTTTCTTGACTTCGACGGGTTCTTTCTTCTTGATGTCTTCACGTACAGTTTCTGACTTTCGTTTGGCGAATTCAATCTTCAACTTTCTACCCTTGAACTTGACGTTTTTAAGTTTCTCAGTAGCTGCAAGAGCATCTTCTTCTAGAGCATAATGCACATAACCAAAGCCCTTATTTTTGGGAGTACTGCCTTCTTCGCTGGACTTGTCAGTCACAACAAAGCATTTACGGATAGGACCAATATCACCGAAAAAGCCTTCGAGATCTTTGCTCGTTGCTTCAAAAGGAAGACCACGAACAAAAAGAGTCAACTTGGCATGCGAGTCATCAGCAGACTCCTTCTTGTGAGAAGTGACGACAGGTTCGTTTTTTTCAATAACTTCGTCAGACATAGTATAGCAGGATCAAGAAGAATAAGAAAAAAAAACTTGATTGAAAAATCAAATACTGAAATTAAGACAAGTGGCTTATTGAAAGCGGAACAGTCACGACAAAGTCTGCATGAATCTTTATCCCATTGGGCCTTTATTTAGACTTCCGGTATTTAATTTTCATACTACACTTGTACATTTGATGTATTCTCGAACGAATGCTTGCTTTGTGGCATACATCATAATGGCATAGACATGGCGTGAATCAATAGATTCATGGCTAACTTTGCTACTTTCTTCTATTGATATAACACTGTTCTCTTTGGTGATTGAAGTAACTCAATCATAGCACCCGTAAAGCATTGAAAGTCATAGCTTAAAAGACCATGTTTCTGAAAATTGTCGCTTTTGAATGTACAGATAAGAGCTAATAAACTAAACAGCCTGTGATTATACCATCAGATTCTCCTATGATACTTGTCTATTGATTTCTTTCATAGAAAGCATATCTCTATTGTTTAGTTTAATGACACTGGCTGATGCCAACTAGAGATTACCTATTGTAGTCTGTGGAAGATGCATCATACCGCTTTGAAAACTACAAAGTAAGATAGAGCTTATCAAGTATTGACTATTTTGTAATTTACCCAATATCCAATACAACATCAATCATGTCTGAACAGAGTTCGTATGAGTCCATATCAATAGGCGTATGGCAATATGGATTTTGGTAAAAGTATCAAACAACTATCAGAATCCTATGGATGTCAGTTCCCCTGATATACACACTTAAGACTTATATCTCTGACTATATTGAGCAAATGCTCTAATGTGGGTAATTCATGCATCAGCTTTTGAATGATTTTGCTGAACGCCTCATAAATAGAGTCATCATAAATACTTGTCAAATAAATAAAGCAAATAAATATTGTCTTCTTGTTCAATCTCTTGAAGAAATACTTGTATTTTTCTTACAATATCCATGCTGAATAGTCGATAGACAGGAAAAGAAAGCATTTTGGTACGTATTCATCTTGGGTATGATGAATAAATATATCTTTCTACAGGAATCGGAGCCAAACAGACGGTTATTCTGTTCAATTCTTCTTTAAGAGAAAGGGCTCTAACAAACAACAATGGGAACTGACTCCCAAGGATTTGAAACAAGACATTGATAATAGTGCCCTTATATGGGCTGTTGATCCTGGAATCACTGATATCTTTACTGCTGTTGATTTGACAATCAAGTCAAGTTTGTTTATGTGAATGAGTACCTTACAAGTCAAATTTGTAACAAAAGAGTACATACAATTCTTGAATGTGAATCTCGTAGTACCGTATGGAATATACATTATATCTTCACTTAACAGGCCAATCATAACAATGAAAGACCGCCTATTTTTTCAAAGAGTATCCTCAACGCGGCTAATATAACTTGGCCGCACTCCTTAGTGCTGTAAGTGCTTACAAAATATGATGAAATTGAAACAAGCTAACGTTTTTGTTTATTTAAACCAGAGACAAGAAAAGTAACCTACATACGTTCATAGACAATAAAATAATGCACTTATGTGTGACCATGTCAATAATGTCTTTATCAAATACTATCATTTATTGTCAAATAAATTGATGTCTTTGTTTATTGAACAACAAAAGTACATCCCTTAGGCATAGGCTCTATTGAATTCTCAGGTACGTAACACTATTTTTTTTTTCTTGATTATTTCTGGACACGCGATCACAAAACGCAGTCTTTTTTTTTTTTCTTTTTTTTTATATATATTTATATTCTTTCTCTCTTTTATGTCACATCCACTTAACAATCAGACAAACCATCTTAAACAAACACAGCCTTGGAAAAAACCTGTTCTTTCACGTAGTGTGACAAGAGACCTTGATAAGCTCAAATTGACCAGTAAAGAAAATGACCCACCCAACAATGACTATCCTCATCTATCACCTACTGAATTCCAAGCAAGAAAGAAAAAGTTTGCTACGTTTCGTTTCTTTCTAGATATTGCTGATCCCAACATGAAGAAAAGAATTGAACGTAAAATAAAATTACTTGGTGCAGTAAGTAACCACACAAGCGTAACTTTTTTTTTTTTTCTAACAAAAACCAAAGGCTCAAGATCCATTCTTTTCTAATAAATGTACACATTTGATTACAACAAAACCTATACCTATTCAAGACAATATGCTACAGCCTTCATTTAATGATACCAGGCAAGTGTGTGTGTGTGTGTTATCGTGTTATTGACTCTTTTGTATAGTGCAGCAACAAAAAAAGTAATTTGCAAATTTGTTTATAACTCATCTAATCGTCATTGATACATAGCCTTCTATAGATAATGTACCAAGAGATTCTATTGTAGAGAAAGCCATTCAATGGAACCTTGTTCTCTGGAGTGCTGAAGGTAAATATATATATATATATATATACTAACAAAGATGGATCACTGACAACCCTATAGTCATGCAAAAGACAGTCGATTATTTTGTTGATACACAACGTGGAAGAAAAGAACCAGCACAAGAAAAAAAGGCCTTGTTAAACGCACTTCAAGAAGAAAAAATATTTGGCCCTTCTACAGGTGCCAACAGTGAAGCACAAGCCAAACGTCCTCAATTTGTACCTTTCACAGGTCATTTTTTGATCATTGAAGATGCGACACAAGTCCATCGTCCACCTGTGATTCGACACTATACAAAAGAAGTGATCACCAAAAAGATGTATGATTATCCATGGCCTTTTCTTAAACATACAGCAGGCATTCGATCTCCCTTTGGAAAACGAGCACCTCCTGCGTCTTCCAAGAAACCAGAAGAGCCTGCAATCGTGATGCAAGAACAAAAGCCTGTCTCCACAACACCTGTGGTGGGTGTGAACTCAACCACACCCAATCATACGTCCACACCACCTCCTACCGCTTCTTCTACACCTCATTCGTCTCAACCTAAACTACAACATCCTGATTCTTATAGTCTACGTGCTTCTGGATTTCAACCCTGTACAAACACAAACAATCATGTCATGTCAACTACCACACGTCTTCAAGAAAACCGTCGACTTCCACCAGGTGAAAGTGTCAATCGTCTTGATAAGCGTATGGTAGAGAATGTGGCTCAAAAGGCACTTCATAAACAAGCCATCAAGGGTGAACGAGAAGAAAAAGCACGTAAAGAACGAGAACAACAAAAGAAAAAGAAGGATTCTCGCTACTGTGAAAACTGTAATATGCTATTTGGCAATCTAGAAGAGGTACATGTTGAGTCATAATCGACCGATTTACTGATCATCCCAATAGCACATGAAGGAACAAACACATCAAACTTTCATTCGAGATCAAAACAACTTTAAAGAACTAGACGCTGTATTAGAAAAAACTCACCGAGTATACAAAGAACCATTACCTGATCGCATGAAGCCTTTGATTGATCCAAATATTGATGGTAAATCAGTCAAGTTTCAATCTGACTTTAAGCGACCTCATCCTACATCACCTTCTATGGACTCACCTAGCAAATTGACCACTTCTATGATGCATCAAAAGAACAATGGTCTCTTGTTGAATGAGCCAGAAGTGGTAGCAGATGATAAACAAGGATGGGGTCAATATCATAGCGTCTTTCTCTGAGATTGAAATAAACCGCGTCTTTTCTTTTTTTTTTTTTTTTTTTTGTTTACTATGAAGCATGTAGCCTTCATTGTACTGATGGTCTTGTTTGGTTGTCGAGTTCAAACACTTCCTACAGGACAAGTAAGGATCTCGTTTCAATGGTCTCGTCTGCTTGCTTCATGCATCACTTGTCTTTCTGTTTTATTTCTTATTCAAAGTTGGTCTATCCATACCATCACACTTGATGATGATGCATCCATCTTTGCACCATTCATCCATCAAAAGACAAACAAGAAATGGAAACACTATATCACGAATCAACCTTCTCTTTCTACTCATCATCCCAAGTGTATGTTATATATTTGAATGTCATCTGATAGTGTCTATAGTTTATTATCCACGCTATTGTCCTCATACAACACAATCATCCTGTGCTAAACCAGTGCCTTCTTTTATTCTTGCAGGCAGCGAATATGCGGGTACTTCATTCATGTTTAATATACTGAAACAACATCCTCAAGTGGTGAGTGCTATTGAATCTCACAAGACGCTGTTTGATATGAAGACAGAAGATTATGATGAAGTCAATGCGTTTGAGCATTATATGTCACAATTCCCCTTTTTGCCTAACACAAGTAGGGAAGATTGGATTGTAGGGGAGAATGCACCTCATTATCTGTATGCCAGCCATCTTACGGCTAAGCGTATCAAGGATATTCTGCCTCATATCAAAGTAAGTGTATTACTTCAATCAATGTGTATTCATTCTGTTGTAGTTGATCTTTTTGTTAAGGGATCCTATAACAAGGGCTTATGCTCATTATCTGAATGAACCTTCAGGTAAGAAGAAGATCACTCGTTGTCTAATCAACTCATGCTCTTTAGAACTCTCATTCAAGACATTAGTCGATATCGAATTGCCTATTTTACGTCGTTGTGGTCATACAAGCACACAAACAGGCTGGGAAGGATTTGTTCGATGTCATCAAGGAAGTGAAGTACGTGCTTCATGGAAAGTATCAGATACACACGCATTTAATGCACTTGCCAAAGGCATGTATTATCCTTCGCTTGTTCCTTTTTTACAGCACTTCCCACCTTCTCAACTATTTTTGATGCGTACAGAAGATATGGTACAGCACCCTCAACAGACATTTCAACAATTGGCCCATTTTCTTCAATTGGATCCTCACTTTTTTGATGATTATCCTTTTGATACAGCCTCTCTCTTGACTGAAGCCCCTGATCTGGCTATTCAATATCGTCTTCAAAAGGTATTTCGTGGTTTGAATGGTTGTTTAGTAGACATGTATCGTGGATTTCATGATTGGGTATACGATGTAGACCGAGGATAACTAGTTTTATTGATGATTGGCAATGTATTCTCTAATCCAACTTGAACTAATTTTGAGTACATCCATCTCTTGTCCTTCAACAGAAGCATTGTTGGATGAAATCACATCAATCATGCGTAATTCCAAAGGAGGATAACCACGCATATCTCTTTCATTATTGACTAGATTATAATCTATGAGAAACAGAGTTCTATTTTTTTTTTTAAAAAAAAAAGTTACCTAAATCGCCTCCTTTTAATGTCTCTTTGGATACTACCAGTGCATCAATCGTAGGGTCTGTGACAGTGGGTCCAAATGGATCTGTGATGGGCACAATATCGTATTGAATATCACGTCTTACGGATTGCATGTATTTCTTGACAGCCAAAAGACGTTCAGAAGTGGAAGCAATCCATTCCTTGTGTTTCTTTTTGGTCAACATACAGTCGTCTGTGACACCCACGACCATACTGGACTGAGTCAGTAGTGCAGTCATGGTCAAGAGTATTTTATGACCTGCATGTAAATGATCAAAGGTGCCGCCTACAGCAACACGTTGGAACACAAGGGGTTCAATAGGATCTGTGTTTTCATGCATCCTGAGTCCATAGAGTGCTTGAGCATCTTGTGTGGATGTCAATTGAATGATACGGTGTCCTTTTGACTGAAGAGGGGCTAGATAACCGTGTCCATTAACCATTTTACCTGTATCTAAAATACAGACAGTATCTATATCAGGTTCTGAATCTACAGAATAGCCACATATATCTTGAAATACAACATGACAATCAAACAAAGGATGCTGCTTGACATAAGCTACTTGTAATTGAATCACATAAATAGTGCCTAGAAATGCCTGTACTGTATTCCAAATAGCATCCATACAGTCTTTATGTGCTTTTATCTCTTCTGATTCAATAGAGATCACTAGATGACTCTTGTGTTCAATAGCCAACTGAACAGCTTGTTCAATAGCATCTGAGTGTTGTCTAGAAAGACACTTGAGTTTAGGAACAGAAAGAGGTAATAAGAAACCCATGAGAATATTAAAAAAAAAAAAAAAAAGGAAGAGGGAAAACTGCTTACCTAACACACAAATCAGGGCGTATATATATATATATATATAAAAAAGTGGGGTTATCTTTTCTTTTTCTCTTTCTCTTTCTTTTATATACCTATTCTTCAATATGGATGCAGTTTCAAAGCGATTACTCAAAGAACTACGTGAAATAGATAAAGAAGCTCAATCTCATCCTGAAATTATCAAGTTGGGACCAGCATCAGACCAAGATTTATTACATTGGAAAGCCATACTTGCAGGATTACCAGATACACCTTATGAAGGTAAGAGGATATCAACCAAGATGATGAGACCACTAATATAATGTAGGTGGGTTCTTTGAACTGGAGATTCATATTCCTTCCAACTACCCTATTCACCCACCCAACATGAAGTTTGTGACTACCATTTGTCACCCCAACATTCACTTTAAGGTACTTTATCTACTCTAGAATGAAGACTGAATTTTATCTAGACGGGGGAAATTTGCCTTGATATTCTCAAGACTGCATGGTCACCTGCTTGGACACTCAGATCCACACTTCTGGCTATTTCTCTATTGTTGTCAAATCCAGAACCTTCTTCTCCACTCAACTGTGATGCTGCCAATTTATTAAGATGTAATGATCAATTAGGCTATCAGAGTCTGATCAAGATGTATACCCAACTCTATGCCACAAGAAATGAGTTTATTTGATTTTCTTAATGGAACCCTTTTTATAGCCACTGTAGATCAATAAAGGTGTCAATAGGATCCAATACAGATTGTATCCTGTATTTTGCCATGCTGTAGTAGGATGATGACGATCGAGACCCAATGTTGCTTGAAACAATTGACTGGTGATAATTCAGTTGGATAGATCAAGAGATGATCACTTACCGTAAACTACTGATCTCATCTGCCTGTTGACGCAGTGTATAGACAAGACTGAATAAAACTGGACTATCACCCTTGTACATCAGTTCAAGATAACCTACTAGTTGAGATGCTTGAATAGCTGCTGTGAAAAAAATCACATGACTATAGACGCATTGCCGTATCCATCCAGTCGCATGTTTCATAGCAGCATAAAAAGCCATACTAAACAAAAAGCATGCACTCAGACCAGCTAATGGGATTGTGTACTTTACACAAGATCATCAGCGTCATTATCTGTATCTTTTTTTTTTACCTTTTCCCATACGATATCAAGACCTTGTTTATACCAATACAGACCAGACAGACCTATCAAGGTGATATGGATATTGGAAGATGATTTCTTTTTGCCTTGTTCAATATCATAGACATCATCATAATCCATGGATTGTCTGACCATATCAAATCCAGTCTTGGTAGCAAGTAGCAGTAATACAAAAGCAAGGACTGTCTGTACCATACTGGAATAAGAAGACAGGACATCATAAGAAATAGCAAGCAAGACAGTAGCCCACAAGACACCCATCCATACAGAACCAAGTGTGTTTTGTCTTGAAGCATAAAATGATAGACTTGTCAATACAATACACGTATTCAATATTTTTGGTAACAGTACATTCATGTGTAAAAAAAGCATTGGTTGAAAATGAATTTTTTGTTTATTCCTCTTTTTTTTTTTTCTTTTTTTTTTTTTATAGATATATATATGAAAATGGCCTTAGCAGATCTTATTGAGTGCACTATTGTAAGATAATACTTTACTGAACAGGCCTAATACCTATTAGGATTTTGAAGGTCAAAAACAAACAGATAAATTAACACATTACTTGTTGATTGCAACGGGTGTAAGATAATCGTGTCAAATAAGAATGGAACTAACTCATATAGCATAGATAGCAAGCTTTATCTTGGGTTATTCAGCACAGTCTTTACAGTTATTACTTGTTGTCTTTATAATTGGATTTATACTGACTGCTCTTGTAAGTAAAAAGAAAGATATCTTTATGGTATATTCATAGTCATTAGATGGTTATTCCCCCTTGGCCAATGTACAACAAACATCCTCAACCTTTTATTTTAAGCGAGAAAAAAGATTAAACCTGTTTAACTCCCTTTATTTTTATTTTATTTTTTTTTGTCTCCTTATTCTATGAGAGCAACAGGTTCAGGCATACGAATAGGTTGAGTCATCATGGCTTCTTGATAACTTGGCAATTGATCGTCTGTGTGTTTGATTTGGATCATTAAACAAAACCTGGCAGATTTGAAGGGCGCCTGTTGAGGCATTGTCATTCTTTCCATGGTCCAGAGAATGTGTTGGTCTAGACTACTAAAGTCATACAGTGTCTTGTTGACCAGACTTTCAAACTAGGACAGTGAACGGGATGAAACGAAATATGAACTTACTTGTTTCATGCGAACTCCAAGCGTTGATCTCTTCTTGCTTGTCCAGAAACTCAATCCGGTTGGGATCAAAAGTAACAATAATGGACACCACATGGAGATATGAAGGGAGCGAGCAATGAACGTAAAAATGGCTGAACAGACCACACATAAGATGGCCACAATAAACACATAAAAATCAATATGATGACTAGGACAATGGTGTCGAACCAATTGGTCTAATTGATCCAACCGTCTCTTGACCGTGTTTTCTGGCATCTAAAGAAGAAAAAATCCCTTTCTTTTTAATCCATTAACAACATATATCATTGCTACTAATGGAACATACAAACAAAGACAGACGTTGAATCAGCACTTGTTGTTCTTCTGTCAAGATCAATTTAGGTGGTTTCCATCGAAGACTAACAATATAAAAAGTAACAAGTGACATAGGAAAGTAAATAAATAAAGAAAAAAAAAAAGAGAGAAAAAAAAAAAGAAGGATTTCAAGGAGACGCATACATTTTATGTTCAAGAATTTTCTCTATTGTCTACCCAAACATGCCAAATAATCGTACTTGTACCTAACAAAGTAGCCAACAATCCACCCAACATCATGTCTTGTTTCGCACTAGGTCGAATTCCATCGGGTACACCTTCTAGATCCAATCCCTTTTTGCCTGCTGCGTTTCCTGTGGGTGGGGTACCTGAAGCTAAACAGAGATCTCTTAAAGCGGGTGTCATCTTCATGTGCTGCTGAATCCATTCAGGAGCAGTAATAAAAGTAGCAGCCAGTCCTGCAGGGAGGTGCCAATCAACATGGCAATGGAAAAACCAGACACCAGGATTATCTGCCTTGAATCGCAACACAACATAGCCTTTTGAAGGAACAGTGATGGTATCCCGACAAGTAGGGTTACTTGGTTCCTCTAGGCTGTGTTGATCAAATATACCTTGACCTCGTCCAATCACTTGAAAGACATGGCCATGAAGATGAACTAATATGTATGAATAAGTACAACAACAACAAAGAAAGGAGGGGGGTGAATTCATGTTTTCAGTATATACTTGCATGGATGAATACCATCATCCAAGTTGTTAATCACAAGTTCCACTACTTGATGAAGAGGGAAAATGGACACTTGGGATTGTGGACCATAGACAAGTGTATTATTAGCTAAATCACCTATGCTTAACACTGTATGTAAACTAGGAACAAGGGGAGGTAGATAAGGAATGTTGTTCATTACGCCATGATTGAGACCGTCTGTGTTGACCATGAAGTCGATAGTCATGTTGATACGGCGATCAGGAACAAGTGCTGGGGTTTTTCTTAAAGGTTCAATGAATGCATCGTCGTATTCATGCCCTCCTGTTTCAATAGGGGTATCTAAGAAATTATGATGTGATGTGTTATAATAGACAGGTGCTTTGATATCTATAGTGTGTATCGTATGAGTTACTGACAGGCAACATGCACGGCTTACTCAAACGAAGGTCGCTCGGTATGTCATCCAACATCTCAGGATCCATATCGGCATGAAGATAATAGTTGAACTCAGTCTTGTCTTTTGTCTCGACCAAGACAGACACACGTTGGCCTGCTGATAAATAAACACTGGATGTGGTGGTTGGTTTTGTCAAGACCTACAACAGAAGGTAAGCATCAACAACTGGAGGAATTGAAACATACACCGTCTACTTCAATGACTTGCATACGATGGCCACCTAAATAAACACGAAAGGCAGCAATACCAGACATGTTTATCAATCGAAGTCGATATGTTTTACCGGATTTAAACATAAAAGTGCTGTTGACATGATCATTGATCAAACCAGATTCTAGTTACATACATTAATATCTCTATGCGTCAAATGAACTGTTTTTTTTTTACGTGGAATAGGCTCAACACCTTCTGTGTTCTCCTTGTTCATGTATTGTTCAAGGTTTGTATAAGTATCTTGATGATACCAATCTAATCCTCTATATGAGTGATGCATACATGACTTAGCTACTATTACCAGACACGGTGATAATTTCCTCTTCATCGTACTCTATCTTTTCATTTGGATCATACACAATCAAAGGAACTCTTAATCCATCCATATACTGTACCTGATAAAAAAAAAAGAGGGGATCAGATAAGCATATAACATCGAGTAAACATTACTTTAAAATGACTATGGATCCAAAATGTACCTGCCTGTAGTACAGGAAACTCATAAACAAAGTCATGATGAGGAGGAATAGGACTACACAGTAAAGCGTTAAGAAGAATTTCTCTGTGCCTGATCTTACCATTGTGTTACCATAGCAGCCCCATCATAGAGATTGTAGCCATTGTTTTGTAAAATGCCATGTGTATGAATCACAGTAGGCTCATTTAATTTGTTCCATACTTGAAGCACAAGCGTATCATTTATTTCGAGTTTGACAGGAACAGGACTGAATTCTATGAATACATGATAATGAAACATGCATATACTTACGGCCACTGATGATTGATACTAATCACTCGTCTTTCATGTAAGCCATCCGGATTGACATGTTTATACTCGAGCACCCAATCATAGGTTACTTTTTTCGTGCTTATTTGTGATAAACAGAATAAAAGAACAATCAAAATAGACAGGTACATGAAAAAAAAAAAGAAAAAAAAAGAAATATACTGATATTTAAAAGTGCGCACAAGAATAGCTAATAAAAAAAATTCTCAGGATGAACTTTATCGGAAGAATCATGCAAGTGAGTATTTTTGATATGCACAACCCGATACGTTACTTGATATAAAGTGCGATACTTTGTGTTACATATCGATTAAAACAAAGTGGTTTGTGCAGTTGGTTTCTTTTTGGCTGCGCTTGTTCTTTTTACCTGTCATGTATTTTGCGCTTTATTCAATCTATCTTTTTCTAAAAAGGTTTGTTAAAAAGATAGGATCCTATCTATCAACAATTTGACAGGTAGGTCAAAAATCACGAAAAAGAAAAAACCCGTCACGGAATGTGATTGGTGAGTCATTATGGGCAAGAGTGAACATTCTGTGTAATCCATTGTTGGTAATCCCCCACACACATCCTCTATCTCTCTCTCTCCCCTCTCTCTCTCCTTTGAAAGCTCTTTTTCAACTTTTTTCTTTTTCAATGCAAAGTATAAAATTAACATGTAGATATAAACATCTTTAATTATGTAATTTGATTTATCTGTTCATATTAAACAAGACAAATAATACTTTTTAAACCCGGGTGATATAGGACCAATAAAAGGAACACCGCTATTAGAGTTCCGATACTCCTTTTACATATAAATACAAAATTCATTTCATGTAGATTCTTTCCCTTATTTTTCTCAACTATGTGTGGTATTTTTGCTGTCTGCAACTATCAAGGTGATGTTGATGCCTATCGTCAACGTGCTCTCTATCTCTCTAAAAAGTAAATATATAATATAAAGCTGAATTGACATTGACTGGTATAATAGGATCAGACACCGTGGTCCTGATTGGAGTGGTTGTCATGTTGCAAACAACAACATCTTTTGTCATGAACGTTTAGCTATTGTGGGTGTTGGTAAAGTATTGAAAAAAAAAGAGCTAGAATGTATTACTCACAACCTGATAGCTTCGGGTGCTCAACCTCTTGTCAGTGAAGATGGTAACTACATTCTCTGTGTCAATGGTGAAATCTACAACCACAAACACTTGAGAAACCAATTAAAGAAGCCTCACCAATTCAAGACAGAATCTGACTGTGAAGTGATCATGCACATGTACGATGAAATGGGTACTGATCTCGTTAAGCATTTGGACGGTATGTTCTCCTTTGTCCTTTTGGATGTCAAGCGTAACAGAATCATTGCTGCCCGTGACCCTATTGGTATCACTACTCTTTACTATGGTTGGAGCAGCAAGATGCCTGAAACCGTCTTCTTCTCTTCTGAACTCAAGTCCTTGAACGAAGAATGTGACAAGATCTTGGCTTTCCCTCCTGGTCATCTTTATGACTCTGAAACCAAAGAAACCACTCGTTGGTTCAACCCTACTTGGTGGGACGAAAACAAGATTCCTACAAGCCCCGTCGATTATAAGGTTTTGAGAGAGTCACTTGAAAAGGCTGTTCGCAAGCGATTGATGGCTGAAGTACCTTACGGTGTCTTGTTGTCTGGTGGTCTTGATTCTAGTTTGATTGCTTCTATTGCTGTGAGAGAAGCTCAAAAGGTAGCAAGTGGTTCCGTAAGTGAGGATGATCATTTTGATGAGAGTAAGTGAGATCAGTTTTCATTGGTTCGTTGAAATTGAAAGACCTTTTATCTTATCTATTTTTTTTTTTTTTGATAGGTGGTCCCAAGAGTTGGCCTGGTGTCCATTCTTTCTCTGTTGGTCTCCCTGGATCCCCTGATTTATTGGCCGCTAGAGAAGTAGCTAAATTCTTGGGTACCATTCACCACGAATACACCTTCACGATCCAAGAAGCTTTGGATGCTGTGAGTGATGTGATTTACCATTTGGAAACATACGATGTCACTACCATTCGTGCCTCTACACCCATGTATCTCTTGTCTCGTAAGATCAAGGCTTTAGGTGTTAAGATGGTCTTGTCTGGTGAAGGTTCTGATGAAGTCTTTGGTGGTTACCTTTACTTCCATCAAGCTCCTGATGCTTCTTCTTTCCATACCGAATGTGTCAGCCGTGTCAAGATGTTGCACACCGCTGATTGTCTTCGTGCCAACAAGTCTACCATGGCCTGGGGTTTAGAAGCCCGTGTTCCTTTCCTCGACAAGGAATTCTTGGAAGTCGCAATGAACATTGATCCTCAAGAAAAACTCCATAAGAAAGAATTGGGCCGTGCTGAGAAATACATTATCCGTAAAGCATTTGACACCAGCGATGAGCCTGATGCCAAACCTTATTTGCCCGACAACATTTTGTGGCGTCAAAAGGAACAATTCTCTGATGGTGTTGGTTACAGTTGGATCGATACCTTGAAGGCTGTGAGTGAAAACAAGGTGTCTGAAGAAGAATTGGCTCAAGCTGGCAACAGATGGTCTAAGGATACACCCGATACGAAGGAAGCTTATATGTACCGTGTCATGTTTGAACAATGGTTCCCTCAACCTGCTTGTACTGCTTCTGTTGTGAGATGGATTCCTCGTGCTGATTGGGGTTGTCCTTCTGATCCTTCTGGTCGTGCTCAAAAGGTGCACGATCAAGCTTATGAAGAAAAGTAATTTGTACATATAGAATAAAAAGTTTATTATCAAATTGGGTCATGAGAGAGAGGGGGGTATGATGTTGTATATAAAATAAATTAACGAGGAATGGCTAAAGAGATAGAAGGAAGTCTTGTCGGTGAATGATTGGCTGTTAAAGACAGTAATGAACTAGCTACTTGTTCTTCATGATGTGTTGAATGATGTGTCATGGCTGAATCAATGTCCGATAGTCTGGCTACTGTATTCGACAAGAGTTTTGACAAACGACTGATTTCTTTTTGTAATTCTAGTCGTTGAGCATAAAGTGATTCCATCGAAGGCTGATGAATACAGGTAGGGTAATGTGTTTTGATAGGAGGCAATGTGAGTCGATGGTCTTCTTCTGATTTATCGCTATCAAAGCTCATTTTGCGCGTTTTTTGTTGTTTCTTGTCGTTGGAAGGACATCGTTTTCTTCGCTTGATTTCTGTGCGCATCATGGTAGCAGGACGATGGACATGATGTAATTTATAATAAAGACCACAGGCATTACAGATAGTGTTACCGCTTGCATCCCTTCGCCAAAGGGGAGTGGTGGTTGCTTGACAATTAGCACAGACAATAAGCTCCGTGGATTTCTCATTGTTTAGGTCAAATGATTCACCGTACACATAGTCTTTGATTATCACATTACCGCTCGAACATTGATCGCATACAGGTCCCTTGCCACTTTCTCTTCCCCAAACATGAGGGCGGAATGATGATTGACATTCAACACAACGAGTTAAGCATCTTTTTCGAGTCTTTGTTTGTTGGAAATTCATAGAGGAAACCATCTTTTGAGTGTATGCAAGAAAGAAAAAGAAAGAAAGAAAGAGAAAAGAGGTGAAATTCAATTCAATTGAACACGACCAGCCTAAATTTAGAAGATTTAGATAATCTCTGCCAATCAGATCCTATCAAATGATCAGTTCATTTCCCACACGAATGGTTACGATTTGTTGCGCCAATCAATTGACCCATTCTTATCACTTTACATTTCATTATCTAGACCATCTTAAAAAGGTTATAAACAGATCTTGTTCTTTCTTGTTTCTTTTTATTATTATTATTATTATTATTGTCATTTCTATTGCTTGTTTTTTTTATGTCAAAGATAGAACTAGTGATGATTCAATCGATGAAGCATCTTATTTTTAAAAAAAATTTGTAAAAATTTTTGAAGATAGGCATTTTATTGGTGGAGATAAAAAAGATGGTTTAAATTCAGGGCAGATGCACAGACTATTAAATCCAAAGAAAACCAGGGCAAAATATTTTATTCAGTTCATTTCGGTTTATTTGATTCTATAAATCAGTTTGGGGGAAAAATCTTATCAAGAACAAGGATAAAGGACAATTGAGTTTCTGGAATGAGCCTTTGTACTAGCACCATGTAATTTTTTGATGCGTTTGTTATGATAAAACATTGGTCAAGGTAGGATAATAACGCAATCCAGTTAATTATGGCATGTCTTTGATTTATAAACAGACGTTTTGTTGAAACTCAGCTGCTGCTGCTTGTTTTCTTTTTTTTTTTTTGATTTATAGTTTTTCATTTTAAAAACAAGAAAGAGCATTGTAGAACGAAATAAAAAAAAGCTGACTTGGCATAAAGGGAGTGTCCCTTAAAGAAAATCTGAGTGTGAATTAAAGGAATCCAGAAATTCAAGAGAAATGATGGACTAAAAGCTATAAAAAAAAAGTGCCTTAACAAAGCTAATAAACGCAAATGAGATACATCAAATAATATAAAGAAAGTAGCATGTTGAATATCAAGATAGTGAGATATCTTTCAAAAACATATTTTCTGTTTTTGAGTTGTAGTGTACAGTTTTTATGCTACTTTAATGTTTTGAGGGTGTTTTATAGGCCTAGAGAAGCAATTCTTACTAAGTTATGTTAAATAAAAAATGTCTCTATCGATCACTAATCGGAAAATAGTGAAGACTTCTTCAGGGGATCATAAGGGCAAAATGACGATTTTTGACTTTTTCAAAACTTGCTCTATTTTTGCATGAATATGTTCTTTTATGTGTGCTCAAACATAAGAAACTCAAAAAAAAAAGGGAATTAGAAGGTAAAAATGATGGGTTACTTTGAAAAACACTCGCGTCTGCAGTGGGCTGCCAATACAGTTTTGGTACTATTATGCATGTCAATTTTATCCAAAGATGAGTTGTAAGAAAAGGTGGTTCATAGACTAAAAGCATATAATAGGCAATGTGCCAAATGGAATCAAAATGTGTATTTTTTGATTATATGGATATTAAATGAGCAAAAATTATATCTTATAAATTATCATTTACATTAGGGCAATGAGAAAGAGCAGAAAATGGATATTAAACAATATGTGTAGATGTCAAGCGGTTATTGATGCTTATGGTAGTACCACAAAGCACTAAAAACCTTATTTAACTCGGCATGTTTAGCCATCAAACACTCCAACATTAGACGTGCTTTATTGACATTCTAGTCTATCACTTTCTTCATGGGATTTAAAATAAAAAAAGACACATTATAACTTAATAGCTGCTTAGAATTTTAGCAATAAATATACTTTACTGGAATTTATTTGTCAAATCATGTTTTTCTTTTTGAAGTTTTGGCCAATTATTTTTTGTTTGTAAATCAAAAATGTATACAGGACGATGATCAATTGAACTCTTTTAACTATAAAGCATTACAGTTAGAGAGAAAAAACTGCAATGCCTAAAGCTTTATAGGGTATTGTGTCTGTATTAATACAATGAAAAGTTATTTTTTTCTCTCCAGCAAACAACATTATTATTTAAGTAATAATGATTACACTCAACATGATGTAATGTGGTTTTGAAGTCATTCTTTTTCAAGGAAATCCTCATTCATTCCTCCGTTATATATATATACCACCAATGATTGTATGTCAAAACATTCTAGAATTCTGTCAACATGGGTAATTTAGAGACACGCTAAATTGTTAAAAAAAGAAGCTTATTTTCTTCATGGCCTTATACAAATCATTTTTCTCTCTCTAATCACTTAAACATAAAGTGGTAGATTTCTTTTTTTTTTTTCTCTTACGCTAGATATAAATGGATATTTTGATTCAAAAAATAAGGCAGGCAAAATGTTTCATGTTTCATTTCAACACTACTTTTTTTTTTCTTTGTACAAAGATACACACAGCTTAAATAAACTTGTGCATACACACATAACATCGTACGTGACTGCACTTTTATGCAAGACAAGCAGAAGCCAATGTCTTGTTTACTAACGGATAAAGAGAGATATATATTCCGAAACAAACATACGTCTCTACGATAAAAGATCGGCTTGTTTTAATTTAAACTAATATATACTTCTTTAACATACAGATATTGTCTCTCCGTTGTCAAATGAATATGTTTGTTTCAGCCTACTAAACTCATCATCATTTTCAATTTGAACTGCAAGCCATTGCAATTACTAGATTTGTGTACCTGCGTTGACATCCAATAGTTCTCCGATAAACTTTGGTTCATGATCTTACTAAAAAAGCTCAGATAACTCAGAGATGAATAACAATAGCACATGGGCGTGCGTTTAACCCCCTTTTTTTTGGTTTAAGATACGGTTAGTAAGATTATTCCAGATTTGTATAAAGAGATAGCAGAATTCAGAACAAGGTCATTAAATTCATTTAACGCGTCTTTTTCATGACATTTGCAGTTGTGTCTTGTCATTGCACTTTATTTGATAGGGAGGATTCCATAAAATTCTTCTTTAAGAAAAGAAAAGAAAAGGGAACTCTGAAAAAGGGCATAAGAAGCATGTTGATAGCATACTTGCTTTATTGAATGATAACGGATCAGAATGCAGTGCCGACTCTAGTTGCCCGAGTTTGATAAAGATCTCAACAACGTCATTTTATGTTGATCGCACTTGGAATTTTAGCCCGTCATAACATCATTGATTTCTATCTCAGCATAGACATGGTCGGCATTCCAAATCTTGTAAAACTTGATGAATCAAATTGGCTGCCTTGTAAAAATAAGGCTAATTAAATCATGCACGTCATTGAAAGTGGGTCTCTTTAGACACATATATAAGAGACCCCCACATATCCTATTTTCTCCCTCTCTCTCTTACTTTTTTCTTTATCAATCTTTCAATATGCAACAACAACAACAAGGTGAACACTTATCTAGAGAATGGGCTCTTTTGAAGGATCCCGTGCTTCACACTGAAAGATTGGACGCCATTCGTTCCAAGAAGGGTTACATTATTGATATGGATGGTGTCATTTATCACGTAAGTATATATTGATGAAAGCAAGTGTTAAGGTGACTAACTTGTTTATCAGGGTGCCAATTTGCTTCCTGGTGCTAAAGAATTGGTCCAATTCCTTCAAGATAACAACAAGAAGTACCTCTTCTTGACCAACAACTCTGCTCCTACTCCTCAAGAATTGCAACAGAAATTACATAGACTCGGTATTGATGTAGGTGCTGAACACTTCTTCACTTGTGGTCAAGCTACTGCCTTATTCTTGGAATCTCAAATGCCTGGTGGTGGTACTTGTTATGTGATTGGTGAACCCGGTCTCGCTTATGCTCTTTACGAAAAGGGTTTCTACATGAATGACCACAACCCTGATTACGTCGTTTTGGGTGAAACCGCTGCTATTAACTTTGAAAAAATTACCAAGGCTGTTCAACTTGTTCAACAAGGTGCCAAGTTGATTGCTACCAACTTGGATGTTGAAACCCTTGATTCTCAAGGTCGTAAGATTCCCTCTACTGGTGCTTTTGCTGCTTCCATTGAATTGGTTACCAAGACTCAAGCCTTCTACTGTGGTAAGCCCTCTGCTTTGATCATGCGTTATGCTCAACGTGTTCTTGGTCTCTCTCGTTTGGAGACCTGTATTATTGGTGACCGTATGGATACAGAGTAAGTTGGTGTTTTAAAGTAATGTCGAGATTATTTACGATTTGATAGTATCGTTGCTGGTATTACCTCTGAAATTGATCCTGTTCTTGTTCTTTCCGGTGTCACTGCCATGGAAGACTTGAAGGAATTCGCCTATGGTCCTTACCTTATCTTGGGTGGTGTGTATGAAATTCCTAGTGATGACTCAAGTCATCGTGTAACTGATGAAGAGCTCGAAGAAGCTAGTAGAAGAGTAAGTGATTATATCATATAATGTTATGAATCTAACCTCCCTCCTCTAATTAGGCTTCACTATTGTAAATACAATCAAAATCCTCTTTTTGACCAATCAAATTAAATTAAATAAAAATACTTGTGAATACATCTTTTTTTTAAAAAATTCTTTTTTTTTGTCTCTTATGGGTCTTATTCAACTGAAGCAGATGCAACCACTTGCACCTTCACACCAAACCAATACACAAAAACAAGCGCCGTTGTTACTCGATACAGAAGCATATAAGAAACGATTTGAGTCGATTGTCAAGAAGAAAACAACCAAAGTAGACAAGTCTCAACTAGTTGTTCCTGTACTTCCTTCCATCCAGCAACAAAATGCTTATGAACTATTGATTGAGGAGAACGGTCGATTCAAAAAGATTGTTGGCAATCCAACTGTGAAAAGTGTGATTGAGATGTTTTCTTATCATCCTACTGAAACTGGCTTGGAAGCAACAGGAAAACTTTCCGTTTTATCCAAGTTTTTTACTCGAATTCAAGAAAGTGATATCGTAAGTAGAACATTACAAGAAAGGAGGGAGGAAGCAATATCACTGATCTTCATGTTAGAATTTCGATACAGCCATCGTATGCGCTGACAAAGATTCTGAAACTATGTTGTATGAGCGTCTTATTGAGTCAAGCCTGGGACTCAACATAAGAGAACTTAGCTCTTTTGCTTCTCTTAAAGACATACACGGTGTCATTGTCAAGCACAGAAAAAAGGATAAGCCAGTAAGTCTGATTTCATTTGATGATAAGAGTATACTAATCTAGGTTAGAATGATATTATCACTCGTACAGATGTTGATCTTGTCGTCATGTATGAACCCGCTTTGAACTCTTCTCCTGATATTTCTCAATTTAAAGGGGCTACTTTTGATTCTCCTAGCGTGATTCGTCTTACGACAGCCAACTCACCTGAGATCAGGTACTTGACCAAAACTTTGATCACTCCCGAGGTAAAATTAGCATATTCAATAAGCAAAATCACTCGGAGAGAACGGTCTAATTTTCTTCTCCATTGTATCAAAAGGTTCTCTGAAGAAGACATAGAAGTATGGAATACAATGTTAGCAAACAGTATATTTGAATGGGCAAAGAAAAAGGAAAAAACGCCATATGAACTTGCTTATTCACCTCATACCCTTTCTGTCTATAAAATAGGCAAGAAAATAGGATATCCATCAAAACCGAATCCTCATACTTCTACTATGTCAACACCTATAGCCATTCCAAAACAAAAAGCTGAAGAACAAAAGCAACAACAAAGACAGAAGCAACAGGCGAAGAGGAATAATAAAAAGACACTAGAGACAGCACAGGCATTTTCAGAGCGATCACAGGCTCAGCAACAACAAGAACAACCAGCCCAACAAAAGCGCAAAATATCACTACCACCACCACCATCACCACCATCATCCTCTTCAAAGAAACAAAAGACGTCTCAAAGCCAACATGAACAAGAGCAAGGTACTAAAATAGAGACCAAGGACACATCTGAACCAATTTCAAGTGGACCATTACCAGACTTGAATTCCATATTTCAAAATGCACTTGATCAGTTTGAAAAGGATTTGAACAGTATCAAGATCAAGCTTTGAATGTACATGTATAGAACTTGTAATTATTGTGAATAAAACATGTTTATTTTATGTCTCTATGATTGTCTGCTTCTTGCTGGGTATGATGTTGACATGGATTTGGATCTGAATACACAAACAGTTGTTCGCCCTTTTCTATTTCTCGCTTTGTCCAACACACAATCTGGTTCACTGTATCTCCTTCATAAAACGCAATATTCACGTTTTCTCTTATTGGGGTTTCTTCTATACAGTGAAAGGGGCATAATGGTTCTCCTGTTGGATGAAAATACAGGTTGCCTTCACTATTGGTTGGATCAATCACTGTCTTTCTATACATGATAGCCATCTCTGAGGCTTTTCCTAGTCCATCCTTTAAGGAGTCAAATTCGTCTTCTGTCATAGGCACACCAAAATAAAATCCTAGAGGCGTATGTTTGGGTAAATGTTGTTTGGCTATCACACCGTTCTGTATCGATAGCAAATCATGCCATGTCCTAGGTGTATCCGAGTTATATTCTCTTGCTTTTTTACGTTTAGCAATGAATTCATCAAATTCTGTTGCATAGGTTTCCTCTTGATTCACCTGTAAGTCTTGTACTAGTTTGGCTCTTTTGTGATGTTGAAAATAATGCGTCCAATCCTGCATTAGCTGGTCTTGCCATGTTGTGTATTCATGAAATGCACTGTCAAAATTGCCCGGTTCAAAAGAGAGTCTAAAATGCATAGACCGACTACCTTCAGGCTTGAATGGAATAAAGTAACGATCTGAATTATTGGTCAAGATGGCAGAAGCAGAGTTCATGGGTGTCTTGACAAAAGTGAGATATAGAAACATATAGATATGGGTTTACCTTTCCTCGAAATACTCTGGGCAATGATCGTTCTTCACTGATCTTTTTGTCTAGAGTAAGTGCTGATTTGATTAAATCAGTACGGGCCATGGATGATTCATGGTGTTGACGAAGTGCGAGAAATAGCATGTAAGATTGATTATGCCAACGTGGTTGTTGTGTTGGCTGAACACGCGTAAATCGTTTTCTTTTGTGTGCTTCTGTTGAACCTGGAATCCTAATCTGATAACAGATGCGCTTAAAAGAAGCTTCATCTTCAGGTGGTGTTACTGGTGTATGGTTAGGCATCATTTGTAAAGTCATACTAGGTATAGAGAAAATAATAATAAAAAAATACCCCCCTCTCTCTCGCTCTCTTATTTAGTACTGTTTACAGTGTACGAGTTTTAAAAAAAAAATGTTATTATTTTGATCTCTTTACAACAGCTGCCACTAAAGCAGCACCTACTGCTACAACACCACTGACAATAGCCAAACCAATGACACCCTCTAAATCAATAAATGAATATGGATGTGGATGACATACATTCCCTTACCTGTAGAAACCTTTTCATCAATCAGTTGTTTTAAAGCAAGTGCTTGGTCATTACGTGGTTCAAGTTTCAATAGTTGGTCATTGAATCTTCTTGCTTCAGAGTAATTAAACAATTTGAAATTGCCAATAGCCAAGAAATAGAGACATTCTCTTCTTCTTTCAGGTGCATCAGTATAGATTTCTACCAATGTAAGTAAAGATGACCATTACGGCTTTCTTTTTTACCTGTAAGCAACTTGATGCCAAGTTCCAAGTGATCGGTCTTTGTTGATTTGATCAGACCCCATGCATAATTGAACTTTGTTTGAATAGTAACATATTCTCCTTCTTTAATATATTGTCTTCGCAGCACCTGAAATACAACATATAAGCGTCTGTTTTTGTTTTTGCTTCTTACCTCCAGTTCAGCAGGGCTTAGTGGTGTTTGAGCATCTTGTATTAAAGGTGTAGACACTGGCTTCATGATTCAAGCAAAACAATAAAAAATAAAATAAAAAAAAGACGAAAATGTTAAAGTGGCGTACAGATGACGTGTCATGATTGGTTTATGCAAATATCACTTGTAAAAATCAGTCGACACATATCACTGATCGTATCAAGCACGGTTGACATTGTGTTGTACAAGAAGAACTTGTTAATATTTATTTATTTCGAAACAAATAAGGCCTGCTTCCCGAGATTACCTCTTTTTTTTTTTCTTTTTCTTTTTTACTCACGGACTGAGACTTAAATATTGAAAATTGCAACCGAGGCGAGGAAGGATTTACAAAATAAGTAAATGAGCTTTAAACTTCGCTTCACTTGTCCGCAGAAAAATGTCTAAAAGTGTTGCACATGCATGTTCCCCACAAAAATTAGATCGGAAAAGTACGTAGAAGAAGTTGTTTATTTATAAATGGTGTGATTCGGAGCCCTGATTTTCTGATAATCTCTGATTGATATATAAAAAGGTTTTCTTTTTGTTATAAAATCATTATTGAGAATATTATTATTATTGTTATTATTGTTATGACTCCATCTCCTTGTATTGAAAACACTTGCTTATCTAGTTATGATAACAAAGGTATATGCTCTTTTTTTTTTCTTTTTTACTTATGGTTTATAGGCACTGCTTTAGAGCAACAAAAGCGTAAGGCTCTTGGTCTTACTGGTCTATTGCCTTCTGGTATAGAAACCATGGATATTCAAAGACGCCGTGCACTGCAACAAGTACGCTCCAAGTCTACAATGCTTGAGAAATACATTTTCTTGGCTCAATTGCGGTCTTCCAATACTCGTTTGTTTTATAAGATCATCATGGATGATCTTCAAGAATTTGCTCCCGTTATCTACACACCTACTGTTGGTACTGCTTGTATTGAATACTCTAATATCTACCCCTTTTTGGCTGCTCCCGGTGTTCCCGATGGTCTTTACTTAGATTCTACTGACCTTGAAGGCTTAAAAGAAACCATTCTCAACTATAGACCTGTACCTGATTTTTCCCCTGAAATTGCTGTCATTACAGATGGTTCCCGTATCTTAGGTTTAGGTGATCTGGGTAGCAATGGTATAGGTATTAGTATCGGTAAATTACAACTCTATGTAGCTGGCGCTGGCATTGACCCCCGCAAGACGTTACCTATTGTTCTTGACTTGGGCACAAACAATGAGAAACTACGAAACGACGAATTTTATTTAGGTCTTCGCAAACCTCGTCCCTCAGACACAGAGTTCTACAGTATTGTAGATACTGTGCTCCAAACAATTCACGACATATACCCTCATTTGATTATTCAGTTTGAAGACTGGTCTAGTGAACATGCTTTTGGTCTTTTAGAGAAATATCAAAACAAACTGGTGTGCTTCAATGATGATATTCAAGGTACTGGTGCGGTCATTTTGTCTGGTGTGATCAATGCCATCCGTCGGGTACAAAAGGAGGCCGGTGTTGTTCCTCAAGATCATCGTATCGTTTTCTATGGTGCTGGTTCTGCTGCTATTGGTGTCGCTCGCCAAATTCAAGCTTATTTTGAACGCGAATATGGTATTCCTGAAGAAGAAGCCAAGCGTTTCTTTTGGATTGTAGACTCAAAGGGTCTGGTCACTTTGGATCGTGGTGACAAGCTTGCTCAACACAAAACATATTATGCTCGTGATGATAATCAAGGCCAGCAATATAAAGATTTACTTGATATTGTAAATTATGTTAAACCAACGGGGTAAATATATAGAATGCCACATTTTGTATGATAAACTCAACCAAATATATAGTCTGATTGGTCTTTCTTCCACCACGGGTGCTTTTACTAAACAGGTGCTTGAACGATTGGCTGCCCTTAACGAATGCCCTATTGTGTTTCCACTTTCTAACCCTGCCACACAAGCTGAATGTACATTTGCTGAAGCGATGGAAGCCACAGAGAACCGAGTCATTTTTGCATCTGGCACTGCATTCCCAAGTTACACAATTCCTTCTACAGGAAAAGTTCGTATTCCTGGCCAAGGAAATAATATGTACATCTTCCCTGGTCTAGGTTTAGGTTCCGTTTTGGCAAAGGTCAAGTCTGTTTCTGACAATATGATTTACAGCGCTTCGGTTGCACTTGCTGATTCCCTTACTACAGAAGAATTATCTCAAGGTTGGTTGTATCCCTCTCTTGTACGCATCCGACAAGTTTCAGCCACTGTGGCTACGGCCGTGATTGAACAAGCATTGAGTGAAGGTCTAAGTGATGCTGAAGAATTAGCTCAATTTTCGCATGACGCACTTCTCGATTATGTGGCTAATCATATGTGGACACCAACAGAAGACGAAGGATACAGTCGTGCCATGTTTTAATGTGCTGTCGTGCCTAAACCAAACCCAGTTGATTCCACTTTGACTTTAGTACATATATGCTCTGAGTCATGTTTTATTTTTCTTTATAGTAATAAACTTTTTTTATTCTTTCCCTCTTCCTATCTTACTAAGCTATGCATTGTGGAAGCACTATAACTGATACCCCAGGTATCAATAAACAACCAATACTATACACAGAAGCTTACATGTTTGAGTTGTTTGAACGCTTAAGAGCAAACGAGCTAGAGAAGAACGAGAGTTTTGATTGAAGACCATCTCCTCTTTGGAAGATGTGACGAAGAAACAGCACCTTGATGACTTTAGACGTTACAAAAAGAGGTATTAGTAAATACTATTACGAAGCATGAACGGTAGGAGAGGAGATCCATAGATCATTAAAAATCATTAACAAATGAAGTGCACCAGTCATTACATGAAGCGATTGCAAGTGTTAAAAAGCTTGCAATTCATGCCTAGCTCCACGCCAGACAACATGACGAAGATGCTAAACACTATGCCACAAAAGCGCTCAAATCCTATAAAGTCTCAAACATCTGAAACCTCGCAACTCTAGTGCAAAATGAAACGCTTTTAGCTCAGAGTTTGTTCAATCTTACTAGAGCCAGTTTCCAAGAGGGCTTGCTGCGAAAACCAGCCAACAACAGCAACAAGTACTCAAACAGAGGAAGAAGATGGAACAGCAAATACAATCGTAGAAGAGGACCCTTCAACTCCAAACGAGCTAACCAATTACCAGTAGTACCAATATCATTCATTTGTACAATAATAAAGGATTACTTGGTCCCATCAGACGGCATTCTACCAGGCCGTAGCCTACAACAATTTGTACAATAATAGAAAGCATGGAGAGCAAAATAAGCATAAACGGATCTTCCAAATAGCAAATGCTGGTAGTCGCTATAGAGTCAACCTTTTTGATCAACTTGGTAACATTTGTTTTGGTGTATTCTTCGCAATAAAGCATGCAGATTGCTTTCTCTCTTGTGACGGCAACCATAGCTCTGCTGATGAAAGGACAAAATACAAATGAGGTAAACCAGGTAAACGACCATGCAGTTTAGACTTTAACCAAGTAGGCTTGAATTTTTACCAGATGCAAAAGCGAACATTCCGTCCATCCCAATGTTCTCTCCAAAAAGGAACCATTTTATAGAAAGAAAAAAAATATTTATCAAATCATTTCAAATAACAACTTTATAACAATAAACAGGTTTTTTATTGTTTGCCACACGAAGAAGTATTTCTCTTTTTAAATTACTGGCTTAAAATCTATATATTTATGCTTTTTTTGGAATGGGCAGTGTTCTCCGATACAAAAAAAAAGCTTTTTTAAATCAAAAAAAAAGTTCTATTTTCATCGATATGCTTCTGGACAATTTTTATGAAACTCTACCTATAATATACTCTTTTTTTTTTTTTTTTTTTTAGAAAAAAATGGGGAATACACTGATTGTTCTTAAAAATACATTGATCTTGAAAAAATAGTTGCTATTAGCGTTCCAATAAGCCTTGATTATATCACTTTATTCTTCGACATTCTTTCTTGACATCAATAAATCATTTATCTTTGAATACATTTGATGAATTACAGGTTTCTTTGTGTGATAAACAATAATATAAAACCTGTTTATTGTTTAAATGTGGTTAATCGATAGAATCCTTTTACTTGTCTTCTCCCCTCCCCCACCTTTGCCTGCTTTTTATTATTTATAATATGCTTATGACTACTTCTCAAAAGTTTTTTTTCTTGTTATGTTCAGTGAGCTCAACAGAATGATGTGGACCAATTAAAGAAACAGCCACTCTTACAGTTGTAATAATTTGAACAATTGAAAGAGCCTTTACTTACCAGTAAAGTTGTTGAAAAAGTAAAACATTTCAATGATCATAAAGCACTCAATAGAAGCACATGCGAGTCAATTGGCTCAAAAAGAAAGATGACCGTATTCCAGATCTGTCTGTACTCATAAAGAGCGGACAATGACATAGCTTTACCTTTTGTATGTAAAATTAAGAGTCATATGAAGGACGAATAAGATTATATGCAAGCTATTGGTACTTGGACTGGTGAATACTACTTTTAGAAGCGACTAGTTTCCTAGAAAGCATTTAGATAGGATTCTATCAACGTATATGAAAATTGTTTAAATAGATATATCCATTACAAAATAAGCTTAATTCAAATTGATTCTGAAAGCTTCTGTCAGCCGAGCGCGAATCGAAAAAAATTGAAAACGCGCAAATAGGTATCGTGAGCACAGCAGTCAACCAAAAAGCAGGTTTTATCGGGATCAGATTATTTTTTTAGTGCACCATGGTAATGATGTCAATTCCTTTCTTTTTGTCATAAAAAATCTTCATACATTTGTATTTTCCTTACTTTTCTCCCTCGGTCTTGTTTTTTTTTTCATTGTAGCTGTGTGTGTAACAATGATTATTCTTCGACATAATTCATTATCAACAAAAGATCTTTTCACAATAGAAAAGGTAAATAAACACAATCTGCTCTTGTTTATATTGACATTGAGTTAGAACATGCTCAAGATTGTCGAACAGCCCTATCGATATTCACTTGATTATTCACTATTAAACAAACAAAGATCAGAAGTGTATGGTTATATTGCAGGCATATTCAAAAGAATGGGTGTCTACCAAACATTGGGCATTACAACTTCTGATTTTCTTGATTTTTTGATTGATGTTGAAAAGAGTTATTTAGACAACCCATATCATTCGTTCTATCATGCTGTTGACGTTACTATGGTTTTATATCACATGCTGGTGTTATATGACATGTCTGCTTACTTGTGTCAATTTGATATTGCTATGCTTATGCTGGCTGGTTTATGCCATGATATTGGTCATGTAAGTCATCTGCACATCATTATACAAACGACTGATTTTTATTACTATTAGCCTGGAAAAAACAATCAATTCGAGATAGCCTGCAAAACAGAACTCGCTCAAGAATTCAATAATTTGTCAGTTCTCGAAAGTCATTCAGCAAAAATGACTCTTGATCTGTTTGAAAAGCATGATTTTCTGCGCAACATTGAAGTCAAAAGCAAAGAAATATCACAAGGCAAAGTCAGCATGACCAAAAACAGTTTTCGTTCAGGCACAGTTAGAATGATATTGGCCACAGACATGTCTTGCCACTTTTTACTCAAAGATAATATCTCAGCCTTGAAACGCCAAATAGACTGCCATCATCGTCATCAACGGCATGACGAAAAGTTAAAATCGTTATTTCCAGAAGACCAAGATCCTTATGCTTACTTTAAAGAGCGCTTTTTCAATAATCAGATACCAACGACAACGATTACCAATGACGATGAAATGAAACTCGATCAACACCAAAGACAAATGATGTGCAACATATTGATCCATGCGGCAGACATAAGCAATCCTTGTCGACCATGGCCTGTTTTTCAACAACTCTCGCGGCTTGTCTGTCTTGAATTCTTTCGTCAGGGCGATGCTGAACGTGAATTGGGCCTGCCTGTGTCACCACAAATGGATCGCTATAAAGCTAATCCTTCTAAAATTAACGTTGGATTTATTGACTTTATTGTACGCCCTTATTTTGAGTCACTTTGTCAGTTATTTACCAAGGCTAATGAACTCATCGTAAGATGCGATCAAAACAGAGAGGAATGGCTACATTTGGCTTGGGAGAAACCACCCGACCCAAAAGATACCCATTTACCTAGTATCGAAGAAAGTCTAGGCGGTTCTATTGAAGAACAAGTCATGACAGTGGCTCCTGGTAGCGTTAACATTCCATCCTCGATTGAACAAGATATCAGGCAGCGCATTATACAACTCAACCGCAGTATTAGTTTTAATGATCAACATCTTGTTTCTCAATGTAGAGAATGGTTACTGTCACCCTCAAAAGAAGAAAAAGAAAGGGAGATGGAAGCACTTAGAAGAAATAGTGAAGGTATGACTGCAACATTGTGTCATACTCTTCCAGGATTCAGTCAATTGCATAAAGCCTTTTATAGTAGGCGACGAAAGAGCGAAGAAGTAAGCCATCGCTTAAATGCTTCTGGCATGAAAAATAAGATGACAACTGCTACTGGTATGACAACCACGACTTGATTATTGTACATATATAGTCATAGATGTAAATAATAATAGTAATAGCACTAATAATAAACACCTTTTTGTTAATATTTTATTGCATTAAGTAAAAGCTTATATAGTATCACATTCCAATACTCCTGTAACATTTACACAACAGTCTTTATCTCATTTTCGGCATTCTCTTTTCCCTTCTTTTTTTTTCCCTCTCTCTCTTTCTCTATGATTACTGTTGTTCAGTCATTTGTAAGAAACTCTACAAATACAATCATCATACCAAAGCAACTTGTGAGTTTCATATGTGTCTTTATTATAGCAAAGACACCGACTTATCTGCTGGTCGGATTTATTGTAGGCTATATGATGCTTATAAAGAAAGAAAAACTTGTATATACAAATCACAAGAATGAAGACACAATGGAATTTGAAAGTCTGCTACAATTCCCTTCTTGTCCAACCACATTGCCTCAACTGGACAATAGCTTTTATTTCAAGAGGGACGATCAAATCCAAAGTAGACCAATTATTCAAAAAGACCAAATTACACAGCAAGACAAAGAAAGAGATAAAGAATTACAGAAAACCTGTCATTCACTGTATGTACCTCCTATTTCTGTTTCACTAGAGGCAAATCCTGCAGCAACAACACTTGTTGAAAACAATGATCAGCCACCTGCTGTATTAGTTGTGACCAATATTATAGAAACAAGCCCGGTAGTTCAAAAGCAAGATTTGTTTGGCATAGATATTGAAGAGTTGCTACTTATGCCTCCACCGCCACCAATCCCTTCTAAACATTCACTGTCAAGTCCTGGTCAACTGTTTAAAAGCAAATTCCAAAAAGCAGTCAGCCGAATGAAAAAACAGCATTATTCAGGAGGCACAAGAAAGACGATCCAAGATAAACGATTTAGTTCTCTTAGTGACAATACAACCACGTCTTTTCAAATCATCAGTACTTCTTCCTGCTCCTCTTCTTCCTCCTCTTCTTCTTCCTTTATGTATCCGGTATCACCAAAACCTTCTGCTTCCAGTCGTGTACACGATCATTTAAAAGGGAAATTAAATAAATTATTCAAAAAGTAAAGTTTAATTGACCTTCATTCATACTTATTTTGGGATCCAAAATTATTTGCTTTACACTTGGATCAGGCTTTGAGCTCCTTTATCCATGATAATTATAGGCCAAGAGAGACAGCCATTATAGTGAGGCAAATGTATAAACAAGACTTACGTCTGCCATGTCAATCATTTTGCTTGTCAAACGTACCACAATAGTAGCACAACAAAGCCATACCGTACAAATCAGACTGTACTTTGGCGGATATATTGGTTGCTTTGTTTAAATTACAATTAACCTAGAAATGTCTTTGACGAAAAGGCTAAACATTCCCCTTGAAGCTTAACCTACAAATTACAATATAAAAAAATGCTCAAGATACTTTTGTGCAGTGTCATATGACAGTGTTTAGGTTGTATAGACAATACTATTGCTCAATGTGCTTGCATTTACGATAAGAATAGTGAGCTATGATAAAATAAAGTTCTCCAAAAAAAAAAAAAAAAAAAAAAACTGAGCGAAACAACAGTATCTGATGTTTGTTTGACATTCACTTTAAGCAATGAAGCTCGCTTAGTATCTCGGAATAAACAGTTATGAAAAGAGATATATAAAACACAAGTTTGTTAAAATGTCATTGTTTATATCTCTTAAACAAATATGCGTTATTTGAGCTTGATTGTATCTTCTGGCCTGGTGCTAACTTTACTTAATATTCCAACAACTCAAGCACAGTCAAGTCATTTGAAGTAAGCTATTTATATCTCAATATGTGATCTAATATTTGGATAGTGTGGGACTTAATCATAGAGAGGGAAAGCCAATGAGCACACCTTCAAGAGTCAAGCGGGCGCTTGCAAAATATGGTATTAATGATAATGAGTTGTATTCTTCAGGTGGTGCAGCCATTGAATTGGATAGCATCTATGTCGATATTGAAGTAAGCATTATTTTATCCTATTTGTAAACTAACTTTAAAAACAGTATCTTGGTGAAATTGGAATTGGTACACCACCACAAATGTTTAGTGTAGACTTTGATACTGGTAGTGCTGATATTTGGGTCCCTTCTGTTAAATGTGGTTCTACTTGTAACCCACACCGTCGTTTTAATGCGTCTTTGTCCTCAACATATGAATCACTCGAAAACCAAATGTGGAGACTCCAGTATGGTGATGGTTCAAATGTCATTGGTTATGCAGCTAAAGATTCTATTCATCTCGGCAACATTACACAGCCTGCAGAAGTATTTGGTCTTGTGTCTGTCTTATCATCACATTTTGCCTATGATCAATTCTTGGATGGTATTTTTGGTCTTGGTTTCCCTTCTTTGTCCTATATTGGTCTGAATAGTTCTATTGTTGAAAATATGTACCAAGATGGTAAAATTCCTGCTCCTATTGTTAGTTTCTACTTGGGACATTATCGAAATGGAGGCAAAGGAGAAGTGGCAAGTGATCTGCGTCATTTTATTTTTGTTATTTACTTATTTAATAGCTCTTTGGTGATATTAATCAAAAACATTTTGAAGGAGAGTTGTCCTATGTACCTGTGACAACAAAAAAGTATTGGCAAACTGACTTGACAAGTATTTCCGTTGGCTCTACCAGCATTTTAAGCACACCCATACCTGCTGTTCTTGATACTGGCACTACTTTGATTGTTGCACCCAAGAACATCTCTGATTCAATCCATGCTCTTATCCCTGATGCTAAATATGATCCCATGTATGGTTGGCGTATGCCTTGTGCCTATGCAGACAGCACATCTACTGAATCAATTGTCATTCGACTTGCTGACAAGGATTTCCCTATTTATCTAAAGGACTTGGTTCGAGCAAAATCTTCCGCAGATACTCAATTGTGCTTCTCAGGCATTGCCGGTGCTAATCTTCCCTTTATTATTTTGGGAGACACCTTCTTAAGAAACTATTATTCTGTCTATGACTTTGGTAATGCACGTATTGGGTTAGCTAAATCAAAAGCATAAACTTTATTAAATTATCGTCTTTTTTGCTGAGCAGCCCTGATCTTGTTTTTGATAGTCAATTCTTTCTTTTGCTTAGGCTCTTCTATCTTTTTTGTTTGAACAGATTTACCATACTTTTTCAATAGTCTTTCTTCTACATCTTCCAAATCCCAAATATGAGGTGTAATCATGACATTTTCCTTCTCAGCCAAAAAGAGTTTGTTAAAGTCTTGAGGTTGACCAGGCTGACCTTGACCTGGCATAGCACCAGGCATCATACCAGGCATAGCACTCATGGCAGTCATATCCACACCAGCAGCTAATTTTTACTCATTCAGTCTCTCTTTATAACACAACATTACTTTACCATTCTCACCACCCAAGATTAAAGAAAACACACTTCCAAGACCAAACAAGTTTAGGAAATACCAAGACAAAGAAGAAACCCAAGTGACATCCATATCGCGTGTATCCACACCACTTTGCAACATTTGCTTAAAGCGAGGCGTCAAGGGGAAAGGAAGCTTAATGACTATAAATCCTTGGAAAAAGAAGTTGATCCAGCCCATAATAACCATTTGGGGTACCATGTTCATTAATTGTTTCTTCATACCTTCCATCATGGAGTCCATCATGTCAGGATCCATCATTGGATTCACGGGTTTTGTGGCTTCTTTAGCAGCATTAGGGTTCTTGAGGTATTTTCCCTTTTCAAAAGCATCAGCCAAGTATGCTTTACGAACGCTGAATGCATGCTGAGGGATACTGTTGCCTACTGTTCTTAGACGTAAACCACGTAATAGGGCCTTTCTATACGCATAGTTAACAATCGCTCTTCGTGTTGAATAGACTTACGATTCTCGAATAGCTTTTAGTTGCGGTGCTTTTGGTGTGCCTGTAATAAGCATAGTAATATGATGACGAAGAATACCGACTAGGACCATGACAATCATGATGGGTATTAAGACCCAATTTCGAATAGCTAACGTGAATTGTTAAAATAACATCTACTTTTGATACATGCTGACATTACCAGGATCTAAAATCATACGCTGTCTATAAAGAAATATATTAAGCTATTGCTTTCATAGGACAATACTTACGCATCGGACATGTTCAAGTATAGAGAAAAAGAGAGGAAGAGCACACACTGATTTTTATACGGGCTTTAAACCCGCCCTTTCTTTCTTTCTTTTTTCCCTCTGTTATGGCTTCTTTTATCAAGAACTCAGTTATGCGTACACCTTTACGTGCAGTCTGGGAAGTCTCTGGTTGCCAGACTGAGACTTTATTATGGCCAGCTAAAGCAACAAAGAATAAGACGATTCTTGTTTTTATACCAGGTAATCCTGGACTTGTTGAATATTATACTAGTTTTCTCGAAAGAGTCCATACCTCGGTTGCATCCCCTTCTTTTGAAATTATCGGAGGTAAGTCTAGTTAAATTGTAGGGAATACGTTGCTAAGAGAACAGTCTAGTGTCTCATAAGGGCCATTCAATTAATTATCATGAAGACAATAAAGACAAAGGCGTTTATTCACTTCAAGATCAAATCCAGCATAAAGTAGACTGCCTTGATACGCTCATCAAACAGAATGACCCCGATACTCGCTTTATCTTGATGGGTCATTCTATAGGCTCTTATATCTCGGCTTCTGTTCTCAAAGAGCGCCCAAATCATGGTATCTCTCGTATCGTTGCACTTTTTCCTACTTTAAGGGAAATTGCCATTACACCCAATGGTGTTCAAATCAATGTAAGTTGTTATTTTGTTTAAGACCCGCTTCTTATGTTGTCATAGCGTCTTGTAAATACAATTCCCTCGTGGGTATTTGGTGCTACTGGCTCAGTTCTATCGTGCCTTGCACCTCCTTTTCGCCAATACCTTGTCAAGTTGTTTACTGGACAATCAGGCGAAGGATTACAAGTGACAGCTCATCAATTGCTACATTCGAACGTGCTTAAGAATGTGATTACAATGGCAAGGTTTGAAATGGATACAGTAAAAGCATTAGACCATGATTTCTATACTGAACATTTGGACAAGTTTATCATGTATTACTCTGCCAATGATCAATGGGCACCCAAAGACCATTATGATTACATGCTGAAGCATTTTCCAAAAGGCAAGTATACGATACGTATATATATATATAATAACCGATATTAGGTAAAATTCATCTTTGTTCAGAGAATATACCACACGCTTTTTGTTTAGAGCCAAAACATGTTGAATATATGGCTAATAAAGTGTCTTGTTGGATTCAAGATGATTTAAAATAATAAAAATGGTATTTGCCACAGTAGTATTCGTGTAACGGCTTCCGAGAATATGACAATTACTGCAAATAGAAACACTCTCCGTATTCTGCAGAATCCAAATGCCAAGAATCGAGATATTAGTGACGTTTTTGAGGCTAAGCTGAGGTTAATGGTATCATTCCTGGTAAACACAGAACAATCATATAGGGAGAAATTGTTTTGACTCCTGTTTCTCTCTCTGTATAAGGCTGAAAAAAGGCTGAGGCTAATTTGTCAAAAAGGGTCATCTGTCGGTTACAATGGCGGAGAGTATGTATAAATAGCCACATACACAGATAAAAAAAATAAACTCCTTTTTCTCCTCTCTCTCTTTCTTTTTTGTAAACAAAATGAGACCTACTTATAGTCTATTTTGTTTATTCTTTTATACAATTTCATTTGTAACATGTATGTAAAGCCATTCCATTCTCCTCTAATTTTCAAATTGATAGGCCACAGTGTTGACAATAAACAATTATTATGGGTGGAACCAATAAAAACAGTAAAACTGGATATCGCAGCACGTTCAACTTTATTTTTCGAAAAGCGAGATATTTCACCCAATAGCCATTACCAACCTAATGCCCGTTCCCTGCAATTTGATGATTCTCTTAGACTTTCAGTAGACGCTTACAACAAGACAATGTATTTACATTTGTCTCCTAATTATGATCTTTTTCATCCTCAGGCTGTTGTTCATCAAGAAGGAAAATCAGTTAGAATCAATCCTTCAGATTATCGAGTCTATCGTGGTTATGTGGTTGATCCTATCTATTCAGACCATTATTGGATCAGTGGTTTTGATGACAACAATATGGAAGATCAACCGGGTATATTGGGCTGGGCCCGAATTACAGTCCGAAATGATATAAAGTAAGTAACAAGATATGTACAAGTACTTAATTTGTGTAGGCATCATTTAGACCACCCTTTATTTGAAGGTGCTTTTACACTGTATGGCGACACTTATCATGTTAAACTCAGGGAAAACTATTATCTCACAAAAAGAGACGATGATGCAGAACTCACTGAACAGCACTTGAATGCATATATGATCATATACCGTGACTCTGACACAGTTTTGCAAGACAGTCCCCTCGCAAATACAGCAGGTGGCTGTGGATTTGATAGACTGACACACACATCTGAAAAGATTTATAACCCATTAGAGATAAATATGGATTATACTGCCGGATTTGGTATGGAGAATAAACTTTTCGGTAAAACGCTTGTGAAGAGAGCGCCTCCTACTGGTTGTCCAACTACCAAAAAAAGTAAAGTAGATATAATGATTCTGCAGGATATACTTATCATTGTGTAGTCTTGTATATGGGTGCAGCAGCAGATTGTACCTATGTTAAATATTATCAAAATGCAGACAAGGCTCGTATGCAGATTATTAATGACTGGAATTCAGTCAGCAACGTCTATGGCTCGACATTCAATGTAAATATCGGCTTGATTAATATTACCATTATGGATTCTACTTGTCCTTCTACTCCTGTATCTTCAGTCAACTGGAATCAAGCATGTTCAACAGGATATTCAATCTCAAGTCGTTTAAGTGATTTCAGTCGTTGGAGAGGCAACATTGGTGATGATGGTGCTGGTCTATGGCACTTGATGACAAATTGCGCGTATGTAAACTGTTTTCTTTTTTGTGATACTTATCTTTGGAAAATAGGACTGGTCCCGAAGTAGGAATTGCTTGGATGTCACAAGTGTGTAACACTGGTACAACTCGTTCAAGCTCAAGTGGCGAATACACTTCAGGCACGGGTGTTTCCTCCATTAGTAAGTGACTCTTTTTATGAACACATAACTCATTTTTATCAAGTTCGCGATGAATGGAAAGTTGTTGCTCATGAAATTGGCCATGGCTTTGGTATGTCTATATTATACTGAGAATGAAATCTTATTGAGTTTGAAATAGGTGCTATTCACGATTGTACCTCACAGAATTGTCCATGTTCAGGAACCAGTTGTCAATGTTGTCCTTATAGTAGTACGCAATGTGATGCAGGAGGAAGATATTTTATGAATCCTACCAGCAATGCATCATCTGATGCTTTCAGTCCATGTAGTATTACCACTATCTGTACTGCTATGCCAAACTATTTATCTTGTTTAGAAGGTAAAGAAAAGATCAGATTTGTGTTTTGCTTATATATGTTCTATATAGAGCCTGGAAGTAGAAATGTCACTACTCTACAAATGTGCGGCAATGGTATCAAGGAGACAGGAGAAGATTGTGATACAGGTGGACAAGCAAGTAACTGCTGTGATTCTGCTACTTGTAAATTTAAATCAGGTGCTGTGTGCGAGTAAGTACTACATTATATAAAGAACAAGACACAAACCATCTATAGTGACTTTAATGATCTTTGTTGTAACAACTGTCAGCTAAGGCCTGCTAACTACACTTGTCGTCCTGCTTCTGGTGAATGTGATGTTGCCGAAGTATGTTCAGGAACATCAGGCGATTGTCCTAGTGATAAATACAAAGATGATCTCACAAGTTGCAGCAACGGCATGAAATGTGCCTCAGGCCAATGCACTTCGCGTGATGCTCAATGTGTGGCTCGTGGTACGACGAGCAACATCAAAAAGTCGTGCGGTGCAGATAACGGCTGTGCCATGTCTTGCCAAAACCCTTCGTCTGCCTTGTCCTGTATTATTTTCCCTGGTAACTTTATGGACGGTACTCCCTGTGGTATTGGTGGCGTCTGTAAGAGTGGATCCTGTGATGAAAGCAATTTTGGCAACAATGCATTGAACTGGATTAATAGTCACTTGTACATTGTTATCCCTGTAGCTGTTGTCGTTGGCTTACTTTTATTGTTCTGTCTCTTCCGCTGTTGTTGTTACTCTTATCCAGATGGTTACAACAATCTTGGCAAGACAACAATCTATACTATTCCCGGACAACAACAACCATATCCACAATACAGTGCTGGACCACAACCTTACTATCCACCACCTCCTCCACCACCACAACAGCCTTATTATGCACCTCCTCCAAACGGTTGGGTTGATCCTGCATTATACAATGGTCCACCTGGAAGTCGCGAATATCCTCAACAACCTGTGCCTGCTTATTCCCAAACAACGCCACACCATGATGCTTATGAATTAAATAATGCAAACAACTGGCAAAACAATCATACGCCAAGTACTCCTTTGCCTGGCTCACCTGCACCCAATTACAATCAAGTGTCTTCACCTTCACCTACACCAGCACCTCCACAACATGGAAGCATACCAATGGGAAACAGACCCTACAATGAAGGTGTCATTTAATTTGTATCATGTCAATTTTTCATGTATTTTATTTTGTGTGTATAAAATATCCTTGTTTATTTACCAAATTTTATTGCATATCAATACAATAAAGTATATCACATACTCTTTTTTATATATACAAACGTCATTTGATTGGAACATTAGATGCTTTTTGGTAATGTTAGCCTCGTTTTTATTCATAAAGACATGTTTAAAATGGAACATCTTTAAATGCAAAAGTAAAAATAAAAGATGTAGTATTGTATCCAGTAACTTAAGCAACTGATCTTCAGTGCCCTTCAGAGCAACCGCTCAGTAAAGGCTGGACATTATATGAGCATATGCTATGTCCAAATTTGCCTAAGAGGTACTGCTCTTTTACTAGAGAATATTTGTACAAAAATAAAACCAAGCGTTGTATATCAATACTGAATGAGGCATTTCTTTTTCCAAGTAATCATAATAAACTCGGAGAGCTTTGTGATCAAAGCTGACCAGACAAAACTAATACAAATTCATGCATTCTTGGCTGCATCATTGTCTCTAATCAAAGTCCTCAAGTCGACAGTCACAAAACTATGCTGATTCTCATTAGCTTTCTATTTTTTTCGTCTTTCTCTTCTCTTTTTTCTACTTGTGAATTGAATGTCATTCCATTTATAAGCATGCCTGAATTGTCAAATACAAAACCTTTGCGTGGAGACTTGAACAATCTCATGCATGAAGTGGATGCGTTTATTTCAGAGCTAAATGAAGATGGTACAATCACTACCCCCACACGTTCGCATTCACTTCAAGAACCACAAAGACAGTCTTCACCTATTTCAACCAATAGGTCCAATACAGTCACTTCTCGTCCCTCTGTAAGACAATGACATGTAATTCATTGTTGTCGAAACTCATATTTTGGTATAGGCCAAACAAAGACAAAACATAGTGACCACTGACAACTCTCATAATCGGCTTCCCAATACATTACAACATGCTTATTCTTCGCCTTCTTACAATTATTACTATGCAACACCACCCACGCCACCCTCTAGAAGTACGCTCAGATCATTACGATCGACATCCGCCACGCTTGTGGAACCAGGTATCAGTAGCACAACTTATTTTTATACACAGACAAACCAACCTCATCATCAAGATTATGTAAATACATACCTAACAGACACTCGAAAGCATCAAGAAAAGACAGCTGCTTATGAAGATGATGATACACCTTCCTCAAGTCGATCGTCTTCCTTTATGTTCTTGAATGAGAAGCACATTAGTACCTCTTCCACGAATCAACACACTTATCAATCACCCACAAGACCCACGGTGCTTACATTGCCGCATAAAAGATCTTCTTGTTCTTCCTCTTCTGTTCCTTCGCCTTCTAGTACGCCACCTGTTATTTCATTTCCTTCAACTTGCGCTTATATGTCTGTGCTTGGAAAAGCATTCATTAAACGTGTTCGAAGCTTAGAGCATGTACGTGAATTGTTTTGCGCCAATGAATATCCTGAATCATTCACAGGACAAGAAGCCACCGTAAGTGAGGAAAGAGAACATGATTTTTTTTATTGACACCTCTTTTTCACTAGAAAATATTTCAACATTTATTGGATGGTATTCCAGAAGCTTATTGTGTTATCGTGGCCAATGCATTTATGAAAGCAGCACCTTCTCTTTTTGAACCTATTCATTACTCTCAAAAATCAATCATTCAACGCACCTTTTTCAATTCAACAGATGAATATTACACATTACAAGAAGACAGTGATGATGTGCCTACTGGTCTTCTCACCAGTCTTTTGGAATGCTATACCTATGATTGTTTACCAGGCAAAGGAGGTTGTTATGCACCCCGATGTCCAAACAAACCAGAAGTATTTGATTTTGAGTTTAATGTACAAGATCCTTTACTTGAAATGACAATCACATCCAAACATCGCTCTTCAAGTTCAGAACATGCCACTCAATCAACTTTACAGATGGCCTGGGCTCAAAAAGTACCTCAGGCATTACTGGCCACATTGTCAAAAAAAGAAATTGCAAGACAAGAAGCCATGAACGAACTCATTTATTCCGAGCAAGTCTATAAAAAGGACTTACAGGTACTTGCAGAAGCAATTGTGATCCCTTTATCAGAGAAATCGAGTCTTATTCCATCACCCAAGAAACGAGCGGAATTTGTGCATGAAGTGTTTGGCAATTACAAACAATTGCTTGAAGTGAGTGCAGCTTTGTTTGACGATCTTGTGGACCTACAACAACAGTATGAAAATGCATGCATCCCTATGATTGGTGATGTTCTCATTAAACACTATGCGTATTTTGAAGACCCCTTTACACGATACTGCCCCCGTGTGTCTCTTGCGGAATATCTGATCAAAGAAGAAGCAAGAAATAACCCTGATCTTGAGAAATTCATGGCTCATGCTGAAAAGAGTAAACGTATGCGACGGCTTGCGTTTCGTCACTTTCTGTTGAATCCGGTCACTCGATTACAACGTTATCCTTTGTTACTAGATGCTATCCTAAAAAAGACAGAACCTGATCACCCAGACTATACTTACTTGTCGAAATGTTTGGATATGGTGAAAAAAGTCGCAAGTCAATCGGACGCTTTGGCAGACATATTCAAGAAGCGTGTCCAGATCTTGGAAATCAATGATATGATACGGTTCAAACCTGGCGAATACCAAGATCTCAAGCTGACAGATCCACATCGAAAATTGTATTATCAGGGGGATATCAAGCGTCGTAGTGGTGGTATCACCGAAGTCACTGAGAAGACAGACATTCATGCGTTTATCTTTGACCATTTGGCATTGTTGACAAAACCAAGAAAGTCAAGTGCGGCAGCATCTGTAGATGAATATCGTGTATGGAAAAGGCCCATTCCGCTTCAGATGCTTTATGTTGCTCCTTTGGCTACAGAGCTATCGCAGGCACCCACTTCTTCTAGCTTAAGATCCAACTCCCAAGCCTCCTTTTTAGTCACATTTACATTCCAACATCTCGGTCAACGTGGCGGTACTTATAGTTTTATGTGCACTGTGACGGAAAAGCAGAAATGGCTTAGTGCTATAGAGGAAGCCAAGGCCTCTTTAAAGAAGCGAACTGGCGAAGATGTGTTTGAAGTTGTAAGTTTGGACGATGCTTCATTTAGATATATGACCACGGGCGTTGGATCAAAACAAGCCAAAGTGACATGTACAGCACCATTTACAAGTGTTTCTGGAGAAAAGAAACTCGTAATTGGTACAGATACAGGTGTTTACATCAAAAGCATGACTGGCACAGGTGTGAGAAGGGTAGTATCAACAGAAGGAGTGACCCAACTTTCTGTATTAGAAAAGCATCATGTCTTACTTGTCTTGGCAGGTAATGTGGTATACATAGATAGATAGGATCATTGATGTTTAAGTAGACAAGACATTGAAAGCATATCCACTTGACTTGTTGGATTCAGCAGTGACAACAACGTCAGGAAAACCACCAGAACGCCTCGGGCAGGAACTGGGACAACACATTCATTATTTTCAAGTTGGTTTTTGTAACAATAGAGACCTCGTTGTATATAAAAAGAAAAAGAATACCTCCAGCATATTTACAGCACTTGAACCTCTTTATGATTTGCGAGAACCCAAAAATCAAAAATACATTACACACAAAACTGGCTTTATCATGAGTAATAGATCAAGTCATGCTTGGTTTAAAAGATACAAGGTAAGTTCACGATATGTAGGCCAAAGCTAACAAGTCCAAAAAAAAGGAATTCTATGTAGGTGCAGAATCAAACAATATCCATTTCCTCAAGTCAAAGTTGTTGATTGTATGTGAAAGAGGATTTGAGATTATTGATCCTGAAAACTTGAGTGTGGGAGGAAGAGATATACCAGACAAGATGGATCCTCAGTTTAATTTTGTTCATCGACAGGCAGATATGGTTAAGCCGATTGCCATGTATCGTATACACGATAAATTCTTATTATGCTACAGTAAATTTGCGTTCTATGTGAATAATCGAAATGGATCTCTAGTTCAACGAGGACCACAAAGGTAAGCTATACAGTTGAACATATGACATGCTCAAGATGACCCTCTAGATTACCACTACTCTGTGAGTGGGAAGGTACTCCTGAACATATTGTATATCAATACCCTTACATCATTGCTTTTGACCCTCAATTTATTGAGGTGCGTCATGTCGATACAGTACGTATAAAATCATTAAGATCTACGCTAATTTACATAAAAAAAGGGCGATCTTGTACAAATCATTCCAGGTGAACAAATGCGTTTAACTTATTATACATCAAACCCAACTCAAGAAGTTGACATTCATGGTTGTCAGACACATGCTAAAAGACCAGACCTTCAAAACATATTTTACTTGAAACTACAGAAAACAACTGCACGCAAATAGACACAATAAATAGAGAACAGCTGCATGCTGATAATATACTTTCTTAACATGCTTTGATTGTTAAACACTATGTACACTCATTCATTGTGCTTTTGCGTATGTATCAATTGATTTTTTTTTCTTAGGCTCTGCATAAATCTATCTCAGATTTTTTAAATGAAAAAAAAAAATAAACCCTATTTTATTTTATTTTTGGGGGAAGGTTTCATTACATTCAAGCAGCGGTTTTATAACATTCAAATTATATATGAATTATGAAGTTGGTTTCGCTTTATTATTTTTTAGTTCAGGAGAATACAGAAAATAGGATATGCTCTCGAATAGAAATAGGAGGATGCCAAGATAATTCTGCATTAGCAAAAGAAATACTGAAAGCGCTCCATGTGGATAATGACAAGATCTTATCAACCCTATATTTCTTTAAAGGGGAGGCTTTCTTTATATAGTAACGACTAAACGACAGGTAAAAATAGACAAATGTGAGCATTTCATTTGTGCACGACATCAAATTCCATAACAGCAACTATTTATAAAAATAGTTCTCCGAGGAAAATCGCGAGCAAGTTGTTTCCGCGGAACACCCTTATGCAAATAAAGTATATAAACAACTCCCTTTTTTTTTTCTTATTCTTTTCTTCTTATCGACAACAACAATGAACTCTATTGAATGCTTACAAGAAGAATGTCTGTTTGAAGACAAATATATCTCTAAGGAAGTTCAGTCCAGTCTGCATGAAGGTTATAGACTTTATCCGCTCAGATCCAATGATTATGAAAGAGGTTATCTTGATGTCTTGTCTGTCTTGACTGAAGTGGGCAACCATACACCTGAAAGTTGGCACAGTCAATTCCAATTCATGAAGAAGCATAACGATACTTGTAAGTCTAAAAGAGATCAACATAAGTCACTCATTAGATTAGATTTTACTGTTACTATTACAGACGAAACCAATGACCGTATTGCTGCTACTGGTACTATCTTGATTGAACATAAATTTGTTCATAAAAACGGTCTTGTGGGTCATATTGAAGATATCGCTGTGGATGCTTCTCATCAAGGCAAAAAATTAGGTTTGAGAATCATTGAAGCACTCAAATACATTGGTCAAGTCAATGGTTGTTACAAGGTCATTTTAGACTGTGCAGTCAAGAATATACCATTCTATGAAAAGTGTGGTTTTACACCCAAAGAGAGTCAAATGGCTTGGTATATTCCCCAAACTCAAGAAAAGTCCCATTTGTAAATTCATGCTATTAGAGATTGATACCCCCCCCTTTTTTTTAATAAAATATTATAAAATAGTAACTATTGTCTCATGATGCCATAAAGAAGCTATTGATTGTAAGTATATCAACCTTTGATTACTGTTTTACCTATATCTTTGGCTGTTCGTCCATGTTTATCTTGAATGTGTGTATCTACATGCATTTCGTGTATCAAATACTTGACAATGTCATCATGACCTTGTCTTGAAGCATGCATCAAAGGAGTCCAATAATCCCATGTATCCACAGCATTCCAATCTGAAGCTACTTGTAACCGAGCCAACAGTTTGAGTACTTGCAAGTGACCCATCATGGCTGCATGGTGAATCATATTTCGACCCAATGAGTCAGTATCGTTTAGATCAGCATTGGCATGAAGTAACAGATACTCTAGCAATGGCAGGTTTTGCGCCACTACTGAATCCAGCAAGATATTCCTGCCTGAATTGTCGCGGTGAGCTAATACAGTAGACAATGGTAGAGTAGCATGCGAGAGCAAATAGGTCGTGAGTTCATAGGCTATTTTTGTATCAGGCAAAGCTGCTGCTGCTTGAGTAGGGAATCGACCTGAATTGGTGGCTTGGGTGATTGCAGGTGGATATTGATTTGTTAAAAATGTAGATGCTTCTAGATGGCCTTCTTGTACTGCTAGATAAAGAGGGGTTCTTCCATCTCGCGTTGTTCTGTTGAGTAATGCACCTGCTTCTATCAACAACCTGAGGATATCCATATTCCCTTTGGTTGCTTTTGTATATTTTTCTTAATTTATCATATAGTTTTTTTTTTTTTTTTTACCTGCAATCATGATAGGTGTCCAATCACCTCTCTTCATTGCATTAACATCCACGCCGCATGTTTTGACAAGGTAAACGAGACAATCAAATGAGTCAATGGCTTCATGAATAGGTCTTCTGCCGTGTTCGTTTATGGCTTCAGGATCAGCACCGAGATCAACGAGTGATCTCATCGCAGACACGTTATGTGCTCGAGCAGCAAAATGTAGTAAAGTATCCCCATGTTCATCTTTTTCAGTTAATACCGGGTCTTGATATTGAACCCATGCTTCTAGTTGATCTCTATGATCAATGGCTTTAATCAATTTATGCATTTTATTTTATAAAGTAAAAGAAAGAAAGAAAGAAAAGAATAACAATAAGCTTTTCTTTATTTTATCTTATGACATCAGAATAGGAGCGTATGTCTCAAAAAAGAAAAGGAAGCATTTTGGTCTGTTTGGAAGTTGCTTTTACGTGTTCATGCTGTAATTGCCTTTTCTCTATCATTTCTAGGGGGGCGTTGAACATGATTTCCCGATTTGGATGACTACTGCTAAAAAACTCTTCCAATTAGACTTGTAGATCGGAAAATGGCAAGGAATACGATAGAAGGAAAATGAAGGTAAATAAAATAAACTCTTTGTTTTTATATATATATATATTTTCTTTCTTTTTTCTTTTTTTTTCTTTGTAAACATGAACAACTCTTCTGCGTCTTATTTGTCTAATTTATCATTAAATGATTATCCATCATACAATACTACGGGAGACAAACTAAACCAAGTACCACACAATGACAGTACATTTAACGAGTTGCCACCCAATAATCAGCCAGCCTCACCCACCAGTAATGCACTTGCTGGTGTCTATTCAAATACTGGTTTTGACATGATCCAAATCCTATCTAAACTTATTCATAGGTAAATGAGTTGTTTTTTCTTTTTCTTTCTTACTCTGCGTAGTCACTCATGATGCATAGACCAAATCCTCAGATTCAGTTAGGCCCAATTGATCTATCTTGCTCATTTGTTGTGTCTGATGCTCGTCAATATGATTGTCCGGTTGTCTATTCTTCACCTGCATTTGAACGATTGACAGGATACAAGAATGAAGAGATTGTAGGCAAGAATTGTCGCTTCTTACAGAGCCCAGATGGTCAAGTGACGTGTGGTTCAAGACGCCAACATACAGACAATCAGGCTGTCTATCATCTAAAAGCACAATTAAATCAAGGGAGAGAACACCAAGCGAGTATCATCAATTATAAAAAAGGAGGCCAGGTAACAATTGAAACTCAATTTACAAATATAGACAAACTCATGACGAATCCTCCATTCCTCTTTTTAGCCTTTTGTCAATTTGGTTACAGTCGTACCAACCTTTGGCGATAATGGTCAAGTAGATTATTTTGTGGGTCTACAAGTCGATTTAGTAGAACAGCCTAACTCTATTCTTGAGAAAATGAAAGGTAACCCTTAACATAAGAGTATGAAACAAGTCCACTCATCCATGTCTAGATGGCACTTACTTAATAAACTATCATCAACCAATGAATGTCCCTCGTTCTATTTCTCCTCCACGTAAGTATGGCCTCTCAAAATATTTACAAACACATGTGATTGATATCTATTACTGTGGCACATAGGTAACAACAAACTTTTGTTAGATTCTTCATCTGCAATGGATGAATACTTTCGAGAATTACCAACTAATCTTTGCAGTAGCAATAGTACTCAGAATGGGGAAAGCTGTAATAATGTCAGCAGTAGTAATAACAGTACAGTCATACAGAAACCAGACATTGTTGGCCTCTTAGACCCTGCTCAAGTTGATCTTGATGCTACCAACAGTTCAAACAATGAACATCAGCTTCAGAAAGAATGGAACAAGGTCTTGTTAGACCAAAGTTGTGATTTCATTCATGTCTTATCACTCAAAGGCGTGTTTCTTTACGTGTCTCAGTCATGCAGAGACATGCTTGAATATGAACCCAAAGAACTGGTTGGCAATCTACTGAGCTCTATCTGTCATCCCTCGGATATTATTCCCGTCATGCGTGAAATCAAAGAGACAACCATCAACCCTGATAAAGTGATCAACCTACTTTTTCGCATCCGACGCAAGTACTCTGGTTATATCTGGATAGACTGTCGAGGTAAATTACATATGGATCAAAGTAAAGGTCGCAAGTGTCTTGTTCTTTCGGGTCGAGAACGCCCTGTTTATTCTCTCATGAGCCATCAAATCACACCCTCTTTAGCAAGTCCGATTGAAGAAGACACAGAATATTGGGCTAAACTCAGTTCAGCTGGTTTATATCTTTATGTTACACCTACATGCAAAGATGTGGTAGGATTTACTTCTGATTCCCTTGAACAAGAATCTGTTTACCAATATGTCGAAAACAGCGCAGTGACTGATATCACAAAGGCATTGGAGATTGTTAAAGAAGGTGGTATTGTCAAGGTGCCACACACATTTCTGAATGCTAAGGGAACATATGTACGTGTACTCAGTACATTTTATCCTGGTGATGCAACGCACGGTTCTTCTTTTGTCTTATTACAAGTCAAACTGTTGCCTACAAATCAAGACTCGAATAGTTTACAGATGAGCAGTTTTACAGCTAATGGAAATTTGGCTGGAGCAGAAGGACACAATATCTTTCCTGAATTATCTACACCTAGAAGTACCAATTGGCAATATGAATTACATCAATTACAACAATCAAACAAGCGTCTTAGAGAACAACTGGATAAATACACCAACCCTAATAAACAGAGAAAAAAGGTAAATAGATAAGTATAAGCGTATCATCACTGACTCGTTTGCAAAGAAATCAAAAGCGAATGATTTTCCTAAAATGTGTGCTAAATGTCAACGCAAGGATTCTCCAGAATGGCGTAAGGGTCCTAATGGTCCTAAAGAACTCTGTAATGCTTGTGGTCTAAGGTATGCTAAGTCATTAGGGGCACAGAACAAGAAATAGTATATATACATTTTTTTTAGTTGAGCATACCCCCCTCCCAATTCATCTATTTAAGCACATGTAAATACACTTTGCACATCTAAAGAAGAAAGAATGTTTTTTTTATTGATTTAGTATCTTTTTTTAAAATCTATTTCGAGATTGTATGGACCAATAATAAAGTTTCCTTGCATTAATAGTTTGTCCTTATGAATAGAATCTTTAGGTAAAGTCCAAGTATATTTCCTCACTATATGTTTGTTAGTATCTAATAAAAAGAGAGAGAGAGAAGAAAAAAGAGAACTTACATAACATGGATAATATAACGCGTTGTTCATATAAGCTAAAATTCATGCCAATACATTGTCTCGATCCATTACTGAAAGGGACATAGGCCATTCCTTCACCTGCTTCACGCACAGATGCTTCTCCAGTTTTAGAAAATCGATCAGGATCAAAGACTTCAGGATGTTCCCAAACTTTATTGCTATGCTGAAGACCAAAGATATCCACACTCACAGGTGTACCCTTTGGAATAAATGTGTTTGATAGAAATGTGTCTTGGGTAGCAATGCGAGGTACAAGGCCAACAACAGGGCCATTGATTCTTAGTGTCTAGCAGAACCATAAACAAAAGAAGCAGGACGCTATGAGTTTACCTCTTTGATGACTTGGTTTATATAGTCAAATTGTTTTGCTTGATCTATGGTTGGTATGATATCCATGGGCGCATCACCAAGAACACGAATAGCCTCTTCTCTTGCTTTTTGTTGAATATCCTACACACAAATGATGAATAAGATAAAAATAAAACAAAAAAAGGTTTACACTTACAGGATGTGTAGCTAGATAATACATAGCAAAAGAAAGTGTATTTGAAGTAGTATCATGGCCAGCTAAAAAGAACAAACAAATATTGGTCTAATGTCTGTTAGCATTGGCTAAAGTGATTCACATTTACCTGTAATTCTTGATTCGATAAAATGCCTTCTCCTCTCTTTTCACTTTCAATCATCAACGTCAAGAGATCTTTTTCATTCTCTTCCAAATCCTTGTTCTGAAGGTCTCCATTCTCTATCTGCTCTCTTTTGTGAACAATCATGGCGTTCAACATGTCAAGAAAACGATTCAATTCACGGTGCATGGCTTGACGTTTTGGAAATAGCCATAATAAACTTGTATCAAGAACAGGAAACAAGAAAAACATGATGCTTTGTAAGCCTCTGTTGATAGTGTTATACGTTTGTACCCAAGCATTGTCTTTTTGACTTAATGCATTGAAATCAAAGCCTATCGTTGTCAATCAGCAATGTCAAAGTAACCGTAGATTATTACCAAAACCAGCTTTTCCAATGGCATCTAATGTCCACCTTTCCATTAGATCACCCACATTTGCTCTTGAACTATCGTTTTCCTCAATCACTTCAAAAAGCTGTTGTGTGAGACTACCGAATAACTTGACAGGTGCTGAACGATGGAAAGCTGGATTCGCTACTTTTCTTTGACTTTTCCATTTCTCACCATTGACAAGAAGCATACTATTGCCACCTATAAATTTGGAAACAAAGGTACGTTCATTTTTACGACTGATATCAAGTTTAGGATAGAGTTCTAAATAACCATGAGTTTATCTCAAAAGAATCTCTCCTTTTTCTGTAACTTGCCACTTTTCAATAAGATTTGTTTGACATCTTTAGGGTTTGTCACCATTAACAGCCAACCAACTCTTGCAGGTTTCTTTATGAACATCAGTAAAACAAAAAAGAAAAAGAAAATACCATTGATTCCATACCATATACAAACCACAGCTTTCTTTTGTATCTATCTTGGGCATGACTGTTCTATATGCACGATCCCAGTAAGATTCCTTTTGAATAACAGATTGAATGAGTTCGAAATAGGATTGATACGGCAGATGACGAAACTGCTTTGGAGGTTTCAATAGACGGTCCTGAACATAATAAAGAAAAGTAAGAGCAACTGCTAAACCAATGCCAATGGCCTTGTTGCGTTGTGTGAGCCGAGGAAGAATCGTATCCCGGTAAACGTCTACAAGAGACTGAGTCATAGTAAGAAAAAAAAATGGAGAGAGAAAAAAAAAAAGAGTAATATCCCTTGTCTGTTATGGGTTATATAGGTCATGCATAAATGACGTTAAGCCAATGAAAGCGGTTTGAAGAAGTATTTGCATACATATGATAAGAGAGATGTAACGACACTAGTACTTAATTTTTTTGAGGCTGTGCACTGCCTAGCATGAGCTTTTATCAAAAGTTTAAGAGTACACCAATTGAATGGTTCAGGGTAGTGAAATTTATAATCTTAACAAGTTTTTAAGATCACATTATTATACCGTTGTAACCATCACAAAAACAGACAAACACACAAAATTGAACAACCACATATAGGAGCTACAAAGCCTGTTTATACACGCAGAGATGCTCAAGATACCTACAGACTATGTTTAATAACATATAGAGTACATTTGAAGTTGATTTGAACCAAAGAAAGCGACTTGTAAAAACGGCCAAAACGACCATTCGACCAAAGGGTATTAGTCATGAAAGAAGCTCGTTTAACAACTTCTGATCTTCTTTTGAACGCTACAGGACAAAAAATGAAGCTATAGACAAGCTTAAGTACTCAAGATGTGTGTTGGAGACTATAGTTTTGGATGAATGTGTTTGCGTAACAGTTGTACTATAAAAGTGGTATGAGAAGAATGAAAAACCTCGAAAACGTTTTTGTCTATTCACTCAATATTTTAGTAGCAAAGCTGTTGCTCTCTTTATACCAATAGACTCGGCAAGCAAAGATATACAGCTTTTGTCACTACACCAAAGTCCAACAACCGCTATTTCATTTTTTTCGCGTAGAGAGTGGCCCATCATACTTTCAGTCTCCGAAGGCGAGTCATTTTTGTGTGGATGATACTTTGATGCCACTAAAGATGCACAAAACCAAAGAGATAGCCAAAAAGTCTATTAGCAAGAAATAAACACAAAGCACAGAAATACTTAGATATAGCAACAAAAGGTGGAAACCATATGTATCCCATATCCTTAGGCATAACAAAAGTATGCATCACAGCTAAACGTCGCTGTCTTGTGTCCGTTTACTCTGTTACCGCATTATAGATAGACTCTATTTTTACTTCTTTATGTTCTTTGGTACTCTAAAAAGCGCCTAGTATCTTTTTGGAGTTCATTGCTAATACATTTTATACTGAGTCTTGTGCAAAAATGCCCAAAAATGCTTATTTTTTCCACACGATTTTTTTTTCAATAAAGTGTAGTAAACCTTTCATTGTTATTCGACTGCTTTTTCTTTGAATCAATAAATCATGTAATCAGAGTCATGCCATCAAATAAAATAGCCTATAGTATTGCAATAATAATCATCTTGTTATTTGATAAAGGACAACTTCTATTAACTTTTTTAAACCCCAAAAGATTTAAAGCGTAAGTAGCTTATGCTACATGACAGCTCAATTAGGAAATGCTGCAGAATAAACTTAAATAGCTCCCAAGAATGGCAGTTTTTTATTGTATACTATGGCACTTTAAAAGTGTTTGCTTTTATTTTTCTATGAAAGGTTATAAACGCCAAAGCCAAGACTACTTTCACTCTACTTTGAAAATATCAGCGAATATTAGTTCTCATTCGGCCTTAATAAGATCTATTTTTCTAAAAGAGAAAGACACTCTGTTAGACGATAAGTAATGGAACTCTATTACCTGTCAAAATGCTCTTTTTCTAATTGTAGCCTTTTCTTTTCATACAAGAAAATATTCAGACAAGGTAATTTTTTCGGCGCCCTTTGTACACTTTCGGCGCCCTTTGTACACTTTCGGCGCCATTGATGTATTCTTCGGCGCCGATGAGCTTTCAAAAGCAAATAAACTGCTCCTTTTCGGCACCTCCGTATCTCCTTTGTTTTCTTTTTGTTTTTTTTTTCATTAGAGTTTATAAGCACAGTTAAAGAATGAAATAGAGAAAGGCATACAAAATAAGATACCCTATAGTGAAAAGAGAAAAGGTTTCAAATGGAGTCGTTGGCGTATAGGTTAAGGAAATACTAAAAATACAGGTTTGTTTATCTATATGCATATGCAAATCTAATGTATGGTGACAGGAATATCTCTTGTTTTAAATGGCTCAGGGTTAAGCCAATTTTCAGGGTCAAGGCCATAGGTCGTCTTTGGCCAGTAATCATCTTCATCTTCATCTTCTTCAGGGAAAACCTCTTTGCCATCAATAAACTCAGGTTCCGGTTCAGAAATATCGGGTGCTTCTGTGGGTTCGTCTCGAATTTGATTATCTTCATTTTCGTCTTCGTCTTCCTCTTCTTCTTCATGGTCGTCTTCTTCGTCGTCTTCTTCCTCATCATCGGAGTCTTCATTAGAAAATGCATAATCTTTCTCTTCAAACATCAATGAATCCAAAGGTTGTTCTTCAATTATATTTGTTAATATAGTAGGCGCAGCCAATGAAACAGGGTCTACATGAGCAATTTCTTCCTCAATAGGTTCCTCCTCAGCATCAAAGGCAATATAGCGATTACAATTCAAGTCCCAACTCTTGAGCAAAGAAGCGTTTTGGCATTCCTCCACAGTCCAGGTATCACCATAGGTAATGGGGTAGAAAAGACAGTAATAGTAAATTATGGTCAAGACGAAAAGCACACACACAGCAGCTTGAACAACACGAGGCATGCGTTTCAATAAAAAGTCAAGACAGACACCTAAGGCCAGCATGGCGAAATAAAGAGCAGACATGTAATGGTGCAACGATAATGGTCGGCCCATTCGGAGGAAGGGAAGATAATGCATTGCCCAACCCAACACAAAGAAACTAGCATAGGTCTCGTCAAATGCACGCATGCCGCGATATCCCCGCTTTTCTCTTAATTGAATCACTCCAAAGAAGATCAACAGCGTCATGACAGCAACGGCAGATGACCAATAGACAACAGGGTTACCTAATAAAATGATTTGGTATGTCTCGTCAATGAAAAGATGTCGACCTGCTAAAAGAAAAGGCCATGCATAGGGTTTGCTTTGATCAGCGTCTTCTTCTTTTTCTTCTTCCTTTTCAAGTTCACGATGAACAGTCCACATTGCCTTGTTGATGTGAACAAACTTTTCTAGAAAGTTGGGACGATGTTCAGGAAGCATGGTAGTATTGAAGGGCAAGAGAGAGTTTTGTGTGTCAATGACCATCCACATGGCTGTATCTTTCAGGCCTTCTGATATACAAGAGACTTCTTGTTGATGGAAACCCCATTCAGGAAGTCGATGAAAATTAGAATACAGATGACAGTTTTGATTTGTGTGTAACAAGCGGAAATGACTACGACGCGGTTCAAGTTGTTTACCAGCGTTGGAGTATTTGGTATTGGCTTCTATCTGAACTTGCCAATAGTCATTAGAATCACCTTCAAATCCTGGATAGCCATAAGCGCTGATATTGAATGTATTAAGTTCATGTTCTTAAATATGTCTATTTTACCTGACTTCCTTATGATAGTCTGTATCTGTAATAGGAGCAGCAAAATCATGACTATGCAATTTACGAGGTACTGTCTTGACATGCTCAAGGCGAATAGTATCACCATGACGTACATATTCCAACCAAGTTTGATTGTCGTTTGCCAATACATCTTGAATGACTGGCTTGCTTTCATTTGCTTTTAATATTCTCCACCAGTTATTGTCGTCTTTAAAAGGATAGAGTGTGACTTGTTGTTGAAGGGATCCTTCTGGATAGTTGGCAAGATGAGAATGAAGATATCCGCCCATGGTTTTGAGATGGCGCATCGTAATAAGTGATCCATAAGTAATAGCTACACACTCGTATTAGACAATCAAACTTTTCCCTATTCAAAGAAGGCTTACCAAGAGGTGCATCGACAGGCTCTATTCCTTTTAATTCATTCTGTGTCTCAAATTGCATCAAATGATCTCCAGTACCAGATTTATTCAGAATAGCAAAATGAACATAAAATGTTGTCATGTAGATAGCCAAAGGCACGCCCATCAAACACAGCATGCGAGATGTAAAGTGAGCTACATACTGGCTCTGACATTGAAGACATGTATGAATATCGATTCACAAAAATTGTAAATGCCTTACCTTGCTGACTTGAAGATCACCGAGAATCTCCCATAGCTGTTTAAGAGCACACATGCCAATGAGACCCACAGTAAAGAAACCAATCCATTTAACACTGATTGCACAACCTAATCCAACACCTGTCCATAACAACCAAATCCACCAACTCTGATGAAAAGCCCTATTAAAGTGTAAGCACCTATACGTCAACAGTGTTGTATCCCTTACTGTTGCTTAGAAAACCTAATCCAAGCAAAAACGGCAAATGCGACAGAAAGTAACAAATAAGAGTCCAATAGGATGAAGCGGTGATTGGTTATCCACCCATTTTCTGAATTGTAGAGTTAATTAAGCAATTAAAAAAACGTGCGTTGTGTTACCAAAACAGGCTGCCAAGGCAACGATAATAGCAGCGATATGAGAATGTCCAGCATCACGCATCGTTGTGTAAGCAAGGGGGACAACAAGTGCGCCCATCAAGGCGCTTGTTGTGCGCATAGCAACAAAGGGAATTTGCTCTGTATAAACACTAAAACACACTCAATTCACGAAAAACGCTTATTTCATATTACCTCCCCACTTCATCCACATCAAAATCACCTTTGTATCCTGACATCCAAGCAACAAGAGCCAACAGTAATTTTGCCAGCTTCATGAAGCCATTGCCTTTTTTAGTATTTTGTGTCTGTGCTTCTTTTTCTGACTTACAGGCGGATGAATATCAAAAAAGAAGGAGCGAGTCATATATTCAGTAATGTATTTACCAAAATGAACTTCATCAAAACTACAGACATTGAGGACATTGAGTAGTATGAGAAAAACTTACACTATACGTGAAGGAAAGCCCAAATGTTGAAATCGAACAGGAATCGAAATAAGGAACAACATGGTTGCTATGATAAGTTCGCGTTCCTGACATGTCACCTGTTGCTTTCTGACAGTCTCGGCTTCTTGGCGAGATTCTTTGACAGACACTTTTTTTCTCTGTCTAAGTTTAGACATACTAAGCAATGACTTTAATGAAAGAAAGAAAGAAGAAAAGAAATAAAAAAATAAATACACTGCGTTTTATTGTTGGTGGCAATTCGCTAATTCAATAACTGAACCTTAAAATCTAAATTAAGCAAACGATGCTTTCATTGTATCTAACAAGATATCTGCGTGTTGACGCTGAAAGGTCAACATGGGACGAAGTCGTACTGCGCGATCACCACAGCCACCAATATTGACACCGCGTTGACGCATATCGGCCAAGAAAGTATCGCGTTTAGCAGCATCAGGCAGATCAAATGCAATAAAAGCACCTTGACCTCGAACATTTTCAATAGGAGTGGTAGCCTCCATGTCTCTCAAGCTCTTTTGGAGATAACTGCCTACTTCTTGAACATTCTGAAGCAAGTTCTTGTCCTTGATCTCTTGAACGATAGCAGCAGCTTGCATAGCACGGACTGGATCACCCATCCATGTATTGTAGAGACGATAGGGTTGAGAAGGACGAAGGCGGGGATGTAAGAAGAAACCAGCTGCTTGGAATTTTTTAGAGAAGGTAACCATATCAGGAGGACTTGGCAATTGCCATGCCTCATGTGCCCAAAAAGTACCCGTTGCACCAACACCCGTTTGGACCTCATCCACGATAAACAAAACGTCATTTTGTTGACAAATGGCCTGAAGTTGTCTAAAAAACGCAGGGGAAGCTATGTACTTGGTCAATGCATGTTATGGATATGCTGGCTTTGAACTTACCATGATTATCACCGCCTTCAGATTGAATAGGCTCAATGATGACAGCAGCAACAGGCTTCTTTGCATTCACAATAAGTGATTCTACATGATCCAAGGCTTCTTTTTCTACTTTCTGATTATGCTCAACATGATCCTCCAAGGGATACTTGAGTAAAGGAAAAGGAGCTTTGGGCCAATCAAAAGCAGGAATATCAATTTTGTGAATTGCCTTACTAGCCGTGGCTGTCAAGGAGCCAAACAAGCGACCATGGAAGGCTTGTGTGAAACTCAAGATAGACATATCGTCGGGTGAGCCTGGTGCTTGGTTCTTCATACAGGAGCTCAATTCTTGAAGGCTGAATTCCTTGTTGCCCCTTCTTTTGGCTGCCTTGTACATGAATGCAGTCTTGAAAGCATTCTCATTAGCGCATGAACCACACATGACAGTAAACACATTCGACATGCCTTTAGGAGCCACAGCCATAAAAGCGTCTTGGACTGAATCAACCCAATCTATGTTTGGATTGACACCGAGTGCAGCTCTATTGATGTTTAGCTAGATGTGTCGTGAACACACACTTACCTATTGGCCAATGCTGTCTGGAAAGCAGGTTTTTCTGCTAATGACAAAAAAGCAGGATTATTGTAGCCGATAGGAATAGAGGCAATTTGAGCAAACACGTCCAATAAGGTATTGCCATCTGCATCCACAATATAGTTACCCTTTGATTTAGCAAAGTCTAAAAGGTTTAGTTGATTCTACATGAAGCTTTTTTTTTACAGATCGAGTACACCTTTTGCCAAAATGATGTCGCAAAAAAAAAAGTTAAAGTGTCGTATATTTTTAGAAAAGAGTGTCGCACAAATCAAGAAAAGAGTGTCGTGCTTTTTAAAAAATCTTGAAGTTCAATAAAACTTATGGTAAAACAGTAAAAACTATGGATGATCAGTAAAATGTCTTTATCATCAATACAAATGTTATAAAGTCGATAAAGAAAAGTGAACTTTTTGATATTTAATGATTTCGTGGGATTTTATTTACACCTTTTGAAAGTGAGTGAAGACATTGTTTGTTGATAAAGCGACGACTTAGGGGGAAAACATACCATAGTAATCTTTGTTACTATGAATGTGCTCCCTAGACTGGATAGAACCTGATAGAAGTTGAATCGTAGATTTATTTTTTTCATTTAGTCGCACGCTTGTATCATTTATACCTGTATGATCTTTGCTAATATGACACTGCTAACGCTTAGCCCACTACCATAGAGATAGTGATTGTTCAGATGTGACCGCGGGGAGGTGGTTAGCAATCCACATCCAAAAATAAATATAGTCGCACTACCAGTGAAGAAATAATTTTGAGCTACTGTGCTTCCACTCCCACAATTTACCGAGTTTTTGACCAGCTGTTTGAAGCTAATTTAACCAGCTTTTTGATTCTTTTTCTCCAGATTTTTCAAATGAATTTCTTTCGCGAAGACGGCAGAGGTGGAATAGTGGACGAGTCTGGCAATGAAGCAGCTGCTTTTGTTGTAAACCCGTCATTCAGACCGACAAGCTTAACAAACCTGCATAAATATATCAAAAATAAAAAAGATAGTTGAGGAAGAACCGAAAGACACTGATATGCAAGAAGCAACTACAAAAAATGAAAGGTTATCAGAGTACAATATTTACACCACCGAAGATCGATTGCGACACTTCTTTTTTATTTAGGTGAAGCTTATTATACCAGCAGAAGCTGCAAAACTGGCTAATGTTAATTATGAAACTGCTCGAAAATGGAAAAAAAGATCTGGAGCATTAAGGAAACGAATTACCTTGACCGTTAAAAATTAGCCAGCAACTGTCCAATAGGTGTTGTTCAGTTAACTCCGATCATTATTTTTAAATGACATAGACATTTTATGTTCTAAAAAAATTTCACTTTTCTCATCTTACAACTTTCAATGAATCTGTAAAGGTAACAGCAAGTAAAAGGAACACTTTGACTTTGTACACATGAACCCTGCCCTTCGTCGGAGAAATTCGCCGGCTGCTTGATGACTCTTGTAGTTGTCCCCAGCTGGGAGTGGGAGCCGTACTGGTCTTAGTGGGAAGATGGCACGGTTGAACCCTGCCCTTCGTCGGAGAAATTCGCCGGCTGCTTGATGACTCTTGTAGTTGTCCCCAGCTGGGAGTGGGAAGTTGTCATCTTCCTCTTTTACTCTGCTTAAAATAACAAATGCGTAAATTGCACTAATATGTTAGACATGCTACACTTTTTTTTTCTTTAGGTGAAAATGCTTGATTATGTCTGGATTTGAATATGCATTGGTGTTCTTTTTTTTTTTTTTTTTTTTGTGTTTAATATGCATTGGTATTCAGTAAAAAGAACTTTTAGTAAGATAAGCCTTAATCGCCCGTTTGATAACCGTAACTGAAACACATTTGTCTATCTCATATAACTTATACCATTATCACCACTTGAAACGAAAACAGAGCGTCGTAGAAGATAACATAATGCAAGCTTATATTTTTCCTGGTACGATAACAAACACAGTGCTGCGCCAAATGAAAGATGTTTGGTAAGTCAGACTAGGTTTTAGGAAAAGCGTGGAGAAGAGTTTGTAATAAGTACTTTATAGTCTGCAAGAGGAAAATCAACTTTCAGTGAGTTTTGAAAAAAAAACTTTACTTTTATTGCTCTAAACTGTACCAACAATAAAGGATAGAAGGTTGTCTTATTTTATTTTTATAAAATTAATTGAAAATGCGTGTATAGCCACAATCGCAAGTACAAATGGTCGATTAAGTTGTCAAGCTACAAATATTTAGCATGTAGCTGGTTGATTATGCTTTTAAACAAATGTTATATGGGGCGCTTGATACAGTAAGTTGAAACAAAAAATGTCGAGAACAACACAACTTATATTCCTTTTAATATTAATCCTTAATTACAAGCCTGCTACAAATATCTCAAGGATCATAACCACGATTTCACCTTTTATCCTGGTGAAATTAACTGAAGGTCATGACAGTTCATTTAAAAGATCAAGGCATTACTGATAAACGGTTGAATTACAACGCCGATGGAACAATTCTGTATAACTGAATTTCAATCGAAATATTACTTTCTGCGGTATCATCAGCATTTGCTGAAAATAACAAAGACAAAATCAGCTCTGATCATTACAAGGCTATGTTTGATTGTTAGAAAGTACAAATATGCTAGTGTCAATTCATTCAAACACTTAAAGGTTCATTTTTATTTACGCCCACAAAAAATAAAATTGACAAACTCATAACATGCTTGCTGAATATCCTTAAAACATATCGTACAATCCTTCACTCCCTCGCCCGTTTTATATCTTCAAAATGAAAAACTAATAAGCGTTAAACCTATTTTACAAATGCACATGGCATGAATTCTAGCCGATTATTCGCAACGCTGTTGAATTCTTTTTATCTCGGTCTGACCACTGTGAGTTATATTGCACTTTATAATAAATAAGCGCATCAGTAATGATTGATATACGTGGCTTATATACATGGAACATGAAATTTATTATAAAAATACATTTAAGAACTGGGGATTTGTGGGCCATCTTCAGCCACCTCATCTTTATGCTTGTTCTCGTTTAAACGAACAAGGACAGGATTGACCAAGTCAAGAAGAGAGGCAGGAGAGGTGTTTTCATTGGTACTACCTTCGCAAGAGGCTTCCTTCAATGCTTGTTTGTGCTCTTCACTCAACATTGAAAGGGTATGCAAAGACTCCTCCAACGATACCTGGTGTGGTTTTCAAGTTAGTCGTTTCCTCAACATGCTTTCCAATAAAAAATAAAGATGTATACATACCCCCAAACTAATAGAGAAGGTCATAAAAGGCATAATACCTTCTGTTTTTTCTTCAAACTTTTCCATTATGTCCACCTTTTGTTCTTTGTTCATTAAAAACAAACCAGGGGAAGGTGTGGACATTGTCCAATGGCGTATTGCTTGGTCTATTTATGTAAGATTTTTAGGAAATATGTAATGACTTTATCAATTTTACTTACTATGGGTGTGGATGAAGTGAACCTTCAATTCTTTGAAAGTATTAAAGCTAGCATATTTGTACCTTCGAGCAATTGTTTTTAGCATCATCAGGAGGCCAAACATAGCTTTGTAATGGTCAAAAGAAGTTTTAGCTTTGCTATTTTCAGCAAATGCTGAAGATACTTCAGACAGTAATATTTCAGTGGAGATTCTGTTGAACAGAATTGTACCGTCTGCATTGTATTTAAGACGTTTATCTGTGATCCCCTGGTCTTTTAGTTGAATTGTCATAGCTTTTAGTTCAATTTCTCCAGGATAAAAAGTTACGTCGTTGTTATGGTCCTTTAAGTACTTGCTGCATGCCTGTAACAATGGATCGATTATGTAGTATCTCAGGCAGCTTTCTGATGATGATAAGGTTTCTGATGCACCATCGTAAAGATTAGAACTACAGGAATGCTTAATTTCTTATATAACGAACACTTGAATATTAATGCAACTTACAATATATTAAAAATGGAAACCATCAAATCTCTTCTGGCAGTTAAATCGGCTTCGCTGTTGTAGTTTCGGAATGTTTTGATTTTTACAAGCCAGTCTTCTTTGTTATTCTGTTATCACTTCAGTTATTAGTTGTGTTGCTCTCAACATTTTTTGTTTCAACTTACTGTATCGAGTGCGTCATATAACATCTGTTTTAAAGCACGATCGACTAATTGTATTGTGATATTTGGAACTTGATTGTTTAGCTCTTGGAAAAGATCTACAGGGAGTACTAGTCTGCGAAGAACTTGTTTACCACACCAAATTACATTGTGTGATTCAGGACTAAATACCAAACCATGTTTTTTTTTTCATTAAACACATGAATAAATAACACAAAATTACTACGTTACCTTAAGGCTGGTAAAACAGTGGATTCCCTTATTGTTTTCAACAGTGTTTTCCAGGATTCCCAGATACTGTCGACTTCTTTTTTGTCTTCTTTTTCATCACCACTCTTAGGAGTGTCTTCAGTGTCACCATGATCTTGTGTACCTTCTGCTTCGTTGTCTTCCATCAACTCCCTATCTTGTACTCGTTGTCTTTTTCTACTTCTGTTTTCGCCTTCTCTGACAATCTCTTCGGCCATTTGTCCATGTAATTGATACTATACAGGCGTTGAAAGATAAGTTTTTAATCGCGAACTGAAACAATAATATAAGTTACCTTAGATCTTTCATATCTAATAGAAGTTGAAGCAATAGAAGCCGAGTTTTTCCAAAACTCACTGATAGCTGATTTTCCTTTTGCAGACTATAAAATACTTATTACTAACTCTTCTCCACACCCTAGTCTTACTTTTAAAGCATTATCCATTTGGTGCAGCATTGTATTTGCTATTGTACCAGATATAACATAAGCTTGCATTCTTTTGACATCTTGTGAGAGAGCTTTGTTTCCGCTTCGAGTGGAAATCGTAGGATCTTTTTGTACAAGCTGCATGAGATAAGCGATTGCATTCCAGTTACGTGGCTCCTCAGTAATAAAAAAGTCTATAAAGAAAAATAAGCTTATTGATAATTAATGCGACACTTGGGACATTTACCTGCGAGAAAGAGTTTTTCATATGCCTCAGCATAAAACGAATCTAGGAAATGAGTTGGTTTTTGAGTGGTCATGGCAACAGTGATGGTAAATATACAATTTTTTTTTTTTTTTTTTTTGTAAAATATTTTTAAGTTTTTAGTTACACATCACAGAGGGGTGTAACGTGGATAAGCTGAAAAAAAATGCACAAAATTAGTCATTGGGAGACTCAAAAAGCGTTTACGAGCAAATAATGTTGTTGTAGTGAGATCAAAGTCTGACTAATAATGTCGGAAATGACCCACTCAGGGTTGAAGGGTTGATTGTCCAAGGCGAAACGCCAGTAAGCGGATCATATTCTCCATTGGCAGACAGATAGAACCGTAAAGAGACGACTGTCAGGCAGGAGGGCAGGATTCGAGACAGAGTAGGCGATAAACCGTATCAGCTGAAAAATACATCTGTGGATAGAAATAAGTGAGGACTTCATTCCAAATGGTCCATTTCCAAGGACAGTAAAGAATGAAATGTTCAAATGAGTCAATACTCGAAGAACACAGGCGACAATTACTGCTGGGAACGCGATTGATTTTATACAGTTGTGCTTCTGTAGGCAGTTTCTTATTGATAACTCTAAACCACAAAGCTCTGGAAGGTAAGGGCATTGAGGAAGACCAGAACAGACACAGCAATTTAGATGGCAAATTCAATTGAGTATTTGAAGCACTGGAATAATTATGCATCCTGTAAGCCTTGGACGTGTATTGGCTATAAAGAGGAGAGTCATGCAATTGGCTCACTAATGATTGATCGTTTTCTTCAACATTTACTTGCTCCACTTCATTATAGATATAAGGAATCAAAAAGGTTTGTAACTGCACGCAATGTCGAATCAGTATATCGTTGTACAGCGAACGGCATAAGAGGGGAGACTTGGAATACTCTGTGCGTACTTGTAAACGTAGCCGGTGTGTGTTTTCATCAAACTTGAAGAAGATCATTGCAGGCAATTCTGTATGTCGATAGAGCCAATGGCCAGAGGGCAGGTCAGAGAACATCCCAATCAAAGGAAAATGCAGCAATGTTTGGATGGGCACTCGCTGTAGGTTAAAGTCAATTCCAAAATGGTCAAATGTTTGAAACATGACAGGAATGATAGAGAACTGATGGCAGAGATCATGTTTTCGCAAGACCGGAGAAAAGAAAGGCAGAGTAGGAAAGGAGGAGCTGGTAGACATAAATAGTAGATGATGGCTTAAAGCACTCTTCAGCAGCGTGTTACCTTGGTTTCGATCAAAAAGAGCAAAAAGCCATTTCATCTGGAGTACTAAATGTTGGCGCACAGGATTTAGAAGACCAACGCCACCCTGTAGGCGGGGAAGACATAGTTGATCGAAAGATACCTTGGGATATTTCTCTTGCCAGACAGACTTGTATATCAACCGTCGTATTTGGTCTAAAAATGCTTGTGTCGGGTGGAAAAGCCGCAGACAGAACCATAGTTGGGACAGGATGAGAGTGTTTGCAATCATTGCACATCCTCGAAGAGACAAGCGTCGTTGTGAGAAAACGTAAATCAGTGTTTGTACTTTGTCAAGTAGCATATCCTGAACAAAATTTCTTTGTGTACTAGTATACGGCATGTAGAAACCTAAATACCTCAGGGTAGTTGGTGAAGATTTGGAGTAATAGGTGTCAATTCGGTGTTGTCTTAACAGTGTTGACCAGGAAGACACAGTATCACCACTCAATGAAAATGCTTCGGTCTTGTGCTGATTGAAAATTGCATTAGAGACCTTGGCGTAATTGTTCAAATGAGTCTGAAGGCGTACAAAGTCATTTTGGTCGTGGACAAAGACACAGATGTCGTCCGCATATGCTAGGCATTTGATCTGTTGGTTGCTTGAGGAGTTCGAAGAAGAATAACCTTGGTACAATGGATCTTGAAAAATAGACAATAATAATGGCTCCAAAGCAAGATTGAACAGTATTGGTGAAAGAGGATCACCCTGACGTAGACCTCGCTTCTGATTGACTGGTTCCATGAAAAATCCATTAATATTAATATACACTGAATTATCAAAGAATAGACTACTAATACCATCAATCAGTGAAAGGGGAAAGCCAAAAGCACGTAGCACCTGAGTCAGATATCCGGCATGAACTCGATCATACGCCTTCTCTTGATCAAGAAGTAAGCCGATACCAGGATGGTTTTGGTATCTTGTCTGTTGTAATATCAGATGCACTAACATTCCATTATCGCCAATAAATCTGTCATTGAGAAATCCTGTTTGATAAGGATTGATAATTTTTTGCATAACTGGGCCGAAGCGTTTGGTCAATAGCCTTGTAAAGATCTTTGTATCGCAGTTGATTAGCGAGATAGATCTCCAGTTCTTTAGATCGTTGAGGTCGCCCTTCTTTGGCAGCAGTCTTACTCTGTAAAGACTGATGGTCGTATCACAAATATTTATAAGAGAAAAGAGATAATTTTATTGATTTCAAATACAGACATAATTTAATCTCACAACTCGAATGTCTTTCCAAGATGGTGGAACAACACTATGAACAAGAGCATCGTTGTACAGTTGTTCTAGTAACAGCTCCAAAATAGGAAGTTCAAAAAGCAGGCGCATATACGCATAACCTAGGCCATCGCTACCTGGGTTACTTTGTTTTGGACTGCGTGTAGACATTTCCTGAAGTATATTGATGGTTATCAGTTCAAGCAGGAGATCAGTATCGTCTTCGTTAAGTCTGCGTTCGAAATTGACTAGCCCTAAGTAGTTGTTGATATCTTCAGGAGCGACAGTATCGGGCGTGTATAGTCGTTGGTAAAATTCTTGAGCAATGCGCTTCATGCTTGTCGTTTCAGAAATTACTATCTCAGGATGGGGGCCATTGAGGTCTCTGAATCCAGACATATACTGCTGTAACGTTCGTTTTTTATGTATCTGCTTCAGAAAAGGAATGTTTGTCTCACCATTTTCCTGCCACCAGATGCCAGATTTGATGATAGCAATTTGAGCCATCTCTTGTTGAAGCTTGTGAATCTGAGTGTCTAGGGGAGGAAGAAGTTGTAGCTTGAGTGCTAGAAGCGGCTTCGTTCGTAAAATACGATTGCGTTTCTTTTCTAAGCGCCGAAGTGTCTGTTCTCTCCAGTTGTTATGATTGATTGCATACGATTTGACAACTTTTCTAGTTGTCAGTTTGACCTGCTCCCATCGTTCTTGAAGTGTATCATCATCAGTCCATTGCGCTACCAGCTTGTTGATACGCTTCTCTATGGAATTGCGTAACCTTTTGTGTGTAGCAAAGGTCGGATTTCCTCGCCATATACCTGGTCCAAATTTTGACATACCTAGGACAAACTCAACTTGCAATATGTAGTGGTCTGACCATGAAGCCGGTAATGATGAGATATTGGAGTTTGTGAGCCCTTGTCGTATATCTTCGCCAACAAAAATATAGTCAATGGTAGAGAAACAGAAGCTATCCCTGAATCGTCTTTGAAACGTGGGATTGTCCTCTAAGTTATTAATAGTCATAGCATTTGTGAAAGACTGTTCTAGCCGAGCTTTCCATTGAGGATAGATAGCATAGAGTAGATCAGCAATTCGTAAATGAGAGTAGTTAAAATCTCCAGAGATGATCAATTGGTCAAGGGAAATAATGTTTCTGAAGTCATTCAGCATATTGTGTAATTGACAGTAAAAGGATCGACGTTCGGAATTGTTTGACGCAGGTGCGTACAAATCAAGAATATAGAAAGGTGCATAGAGTTGTTGGGGGGTGTTCCACCTTATAGAGTTGAAATCGATCTGAAGAAAAGGAGTGTGAGGTATCTACAACAGAGATAGTAAAATCTGAAGAGAAGCAGATGATTCTCACATGTTGGGTCCAAAAGGATTGTGTTGGTTGAAAGATTGTCGAGTGTGTCAATACGGGATTGTGTATCCGCGTGGGTTTCTTGAAAGCATATTATGTCTAGTTTTAAAAGTTTTAAGTATCGAATGTATTCTTTTTGTGTTTTAGGTTGATTTGTTTTCACTAAACTGTTTGCATTTAGTGACGCATAGTGTAATTGGAGTTCTTTAGTCATGATGAGATAGTGAAATATACTTATTGATGGCCTGCAACGGGGCCCGTCGAATGTATACTTTCTTCTAAATGGAGCAATTGTTGATTGATTTCAGCTAAAGTGTTTTGATTGGCTTCGCTCAATATTTCTTCAGTAGATCTTTATTGTATTTGGTGGATCTGTTGAGCCAATGCCCGTTTGCAATCCACCTGCATAGGTAATAAATTGGAAAGAGCCATGATACAATAAAGAACCTGTTGAAAACAAGTTTTTGTTTTTTGCAACTATTCAAGGTGTCGGGAATTAAATACATAAGTTTTGCATTGGATCAACAGTGTACTGAGAGAAAAACTTTTGTTTCGTATCTCCACTTTCGCCTCTAGGTCGAAAGCCGTCAATTTACCTCTGCTATTATTATTTCTATCGAATTTTTTTATACCAGTACTACCTACAAGTTGTGGATGCCCCCAGAATTCCGGAAACTTTTAGCCCCTCCGCTTCGCTTCGTGTAAAAGTTGACCTTCATTCAATTGGGGCCCACAGCTTGTACTACCTATTTTATTCACCAACTATTGTTTCTGAAATGCGAGGTACAAGGCCAACAACAGGGCCATTGATTCTTAGTGTCTAGCAGAACCATAAACAAAAGAAGCAGGACGCTATGAGTTTACCTCTTTGATGACTTGGTTTATATAGTCAAATTGTTTTGCTTGATCTATGGTTGGTATGATATCCATGGGCGCATCACCAAGAACACGAATAGCCTCTTCTCTTGCTTTTTGTTGAATATCCTACACACAAATGATGAATAAGATAAAAATAAAACAAAAAAAGGTTTACACTTACAGGATGTGTAGCTAGATAATACATAGCAAAAGAAAGTGTATTTGAAGTAGTATCATGGCCAGCTAAAAAGAACAAACAAATATTGGTCTAATGTCTGTTAGCATTGGCTAAAGTGATTCACATTTACCTGTAATTCTTGATTCGATAAAATGCCTTCTCCTCTCTTTTCACTTTCAATCATCAACGTCAAGAGATCTTTTTCATTCTCTTCCAAATCCTTGTTCTGAAGGTCTCCATTCTCTATCTGCTCTCTTTTGTGAACAATCATGGCGTTCAACATGTCAAGAAAACGATTCAATTCACGGTGTGTGGCTTCCTTCTTCTCGTACACAAGGGCTGAAAAAAACAAAGAACTGGCACTATTAATATGCTATATCGTGCCGTTGATTGTCTTCCTCGATCATTTGCTAATGCTCGCCTTAATACTGCTACCGCTATGGTCCTACCTTTGCGAGCTGTGCTTTACGTTCCTCCTTCTTCGTCCTTTGTTGTCCCCCTACGTGTCAAGAAAATGATGGTGTCAGATGTCTTTCAAGTTGATGCTAGACTCAACTTTGCTCACTGGAAAGATACTCGTGATCCTTCATTACTTTATTGGAAGCGTACTCCCTTCACAGTCTTCAAAGGTCTTGCATCTGGGAGTTTGAAACTTCAGCGATTTTTTAGCTCTGTATGTAGTCCTGCTCCACTTGAAGACTCGACGGTCTCATTTGCGCCTTTGATCAACCAATTTCGGTTTCAAGATGATCAAGGTATTTGTAGTGTCAAGGCATCGGCTAAGACATTTCGTCAGTCAGTTCTCTCGTCTATGGCTCCTCCTTTGGCCTTGAGAAATATTACAGAAGTGAAATGGAAATTCTTTTGGTCTCTGTCTCTTACCGCCATTCAACGTAATGTGACATACCGGTATATCTTGGGATGTATTCCTCATCGTCGATTCTTACATTTTATTATGCCTTGTGTGTTTGACTCACCCTTCTGTCCGATGTGCTTAACTACCGCTGACTCTATTAGTCATATGCTCTTTCATTGTCCAACTAAAGAGAAGATATGGCAGGAAATCATCTTTGAGTTTCTTTGGCCTACCACCTCAATATCTGATATCAAAGAGGCTCTTCTGTCCCTGGACTTCTCGTACATCTGGTATTGCCTGTGGAAAGGAATCAAACCATACCGAATCCTCATAATTACTCTTTCACAAATCTGGCTTGCTCATATGAGATTTATCTTTGACAAGACCCCCATTGTACCCACAGCTATATTAGTAAGCATCCGATTCAATGTTCGTCAGACCATTGAAGAGGATCAATGCCATTCAATCATGTATTTTATTAACTTTCATTTAATTGCACCCGCTTCTTCACTTTGACTATTACTCTTAGTGTACGCGGCTCAATCAATAAACACATTTAAAAAAACATGTGGTTCTTTCGCTTAGTTCTCCGAAGCGCAACTTTCATGCCAAGGCTTCCAGCTCAGGCAAGAAGAACAATAATAACAACACTACTCTCTCTTGGGCGAAAGTAGAATCAGGTCAGACACGTACTAACTTGTCCTTTCGACAAACTGTCTTCACTCCATCTGTATCGTTTATAGACTCATCTACCATCAGTGAGTCATTCTTGTCCGAATCTGCTTAACCGACACCTGTCAACTTGGTTCAACCTTTTATAAAAGGTATTGAAAAAGACAGTGTTCTTATCGATATCACGGACATTAAAGATGAGGAACTCTTGTTTGATGTCCTCCTTGACTTTAACAAGGATATGGACGAGAACGGTGGCTATGAAGACTATTGTGGTCGCGGCCCTGTGATCCGCAAATATCTCAACCGCTCCTTCATGGAAACTGTCTGGAGAAAAGACAGTTTGGATCGCCAGACAATCTTGAATGAAGGAGTGTATTTGGCTGACGGTACCTTTATTAAAGGCTTTCCCAGTTACCCAGCTGATACGCACATTGTACAATTTAAATTGGATTGACTCCTTATTATGCCTCTCCGACTTCTAAAAGAAGATACGGAGAATTAGCTCTCCCGCTATGGGCAAATTCTTGACCTTGGTATCTATAAAAGCCGTCGTAGCTTCGCTGGCCAAGGATACGCAACTTTTAACCTCTCCCCAAATAAAGACCAGACTCAGACATTTGAACCACTCTCTAGAGTCATGCTTTGGACAGATGATGATGGGAATGTAAGACACGGACTTTTACAGTGGGACGACATGCCAAATTTCTGCAGACTTTGTCAAGCATCGTATCACTGTCGAGCAGACTGCATGCAATATAAAAAGTATCTCAAATGTCATAACTGCAATGAAACAGGCCATTTGATGCGTCAATGCCCTCGTAACAATGCTGTTGATCCAATTGTAGCTCCCAGTAAGAAAAGAGTCGTAAAGAAGGAACGTAAGACTCCTATAACTGTTCTGGCAAAGGAGACTCCTGAAAAACACACTGCTACTAAGGCAAAAGAACAATTGGAACCGAAAGACAACAATGACATGGATGTGATCCAAGAAAGTAGTCAAAATGACAAAGACGGTGTCAACATGAACGAAGTGGAGATAATCCCAACTGAGGAAGAAACAGCTGTTCCAGTCGACCCAGTTTCATCTAGTCAACCAAAGACTAGTTACGATGATAAGGACAACATGGTGCAAGCAAAGAAAATTAGTAGACAAGACAATCATGAAGATGTAACCAGCGCTCGTCAAGGCCGAATATCTCTTTCAAAATACGCTACTCAAAAGAGTGTTCACAACAGCCCAATACTCAATGTACAGAAGTTCTAGACAGGACCTCCTAATGCTGAGGAACAGCATTAATTTTCTTTACATTATTACTTTAACTTATGAAAAATAACACACATAGAGTCAAAATTGCGACACTCAACTGTCGTAGCATCAGAAAAACCAACATTCCTTTACAGCAGAAACTATACATCCGATACCTTCGTTCCTTAGACATTGATATTTTAGCGTTACAAGAAACTCGCGCTGACACCAATACTATTATTTCAGAACTTAATATGCAATTCCAAACAAAATCTAGTCTTTGGACTAAACATTGTGGAATTATTTCACTAAATCCAAAATACGTCGTCCATGCAGTCCAGATAGATGATTCAGATAGATACATTTTAGCGGAAATACACACAGCAGAGGAATGTTCTAATGACACCTCTCGCCCCCTTCCACTCATTAGTATCCTCAACATTTATGGACCATCTTCAATAAGCACAAGAGTCAAAGAACAATTTTTCGGTCAGTCATGACTAAAACTAGCGTTCAACTTTATCTCGAAAGTGATCTTTATAATACAGTGATATTAGGCGACTTCAATTATAGATACGAACATCGATACAGTGATGAACGAGTGAAGGGCCCTCCAGCAGAATGGACAACTTTACTCTCTTCTAGTTATCATGATTGTTTTGAAGGACAGAAGCAAAGTACATGGCAGAGTCGTGGGATTTCATTGATGATTGATTACATCTTTTGTATCAATAGGCTGAAACCTGCTATAGAATGCATTGAACAAGACTTCCTTTCACTAGCATGCACCGATCACAACATGCTCACTGCTACTTTTCTTTTGGCGGCAGAATATACCAAAGGTCCAGGAGCGTGGAAAGCAAACCCTAATTTGGCTAAAAAGAAAGAGTTTCGCAGAAAGTTCGCTCAATTTCTTGAAGAAAGTGTTCCTCAACTAGCAGAAAGACAAACTTCTTACAATGCTCAAAATAATCGGGATTGATTGAAAACCAGAGTCAAACAATTCATCAAGTCATTTCAATTAGAAGAAATCAATTGGAGAAAAAAGCAGATGACAAGGTTGAACAGTAAGCGAAACATGATGCTTCGAAGGCAAAAGAAATTCCAAATCTTAATCCAAGCAAAAACGGCAAATGCGACAGAAAGTAACAAATAAGAGTCCAATAGGATGAAGCGGTGATTGGTTATCCACCCATTTTCTGAATTGTAGAGTTAATTAAGCAATTAAAAAAACGTGCGTTGTGTTACCAAAACAGGCTGCCAAGTGCGCCCATCAAGGCGCTTGTTGTGCGCATAGCAACAAAGGGAATTTGCTCTGTATAAACACTAAAACACACTCAATTCACGAAAAACGCTTATTTCATATTACCTCCCCACTTCATCCACATCAAAATCACCTTTGTATCCTGACATCCAAGCAACAAGAGCCAACAGTAATTTTGCCAGCTTCATGAAGCCATTGCCTTTTTTAGTATTTTGTGTCTGTGCTTCTTTTTCTGACTTACAGGCGGATGAATATCAAAAAAGAAGGAGCGAGTCATATATTCAGTAATGTATTTACCAAAATGAACTTCATCAAAACTACAGACATTGAGGACATTGAGTAGTATGAGAAAAACTTACACTATACGTGAAGGAAAGCCCAAATGTTGAAATTGAACAGGAATCGAAATAAGGAACAACATGGTTGCTATGATAAGTTCGCGTTCCTGACATGTCACCTGTTGCTTTCTGACAGTCTCGGCTTCTTGGCGAGATTCTTTGACAGACACTTTTTTTCTCTGTCTAAGTTTAGACATACTAAGCAATGACTTTAATGAAAGAAAGAAAGAAGAAAAGAAATAAAAAAATAAATACACTGCGTTTTATTGTTGGTGGCAATTCGCTAATTCAATAACTGAACCTTAAAATCTAAATTAAGCAAACGATGCTTTCATTGTATCTAACAAGATATCTGCGTGTTGACGCTGAAAGGTCAACATGGGACGAAGTCGTACTGCGCGATCACCACAGCCACCAATATTGACACCGCGTTGACGCATATCGGCCAAGAAAGTATCGCGTTTAGCAGCATCAGGCAGATCAAATGCAATAAAAGCACCTTGACCTCGAACATTTTCAATAGGAGTGGTAGCCTCCATGTCTCTCAAGCTCTTTTGGAGATAACTGCCTACTTCTTGAACATTCTGAAGCAAGTTCTTGTCCTTGATCTCTTGAACGATAGCAGCAGCTTGCATAGCACGGACTGGATCACCCATCCATGTATTGTAGAGACGATAGGGTTGAGAAGGACGAAGGCGGGGATGTAAGAAGAAACCAGCTGCTTGGAATTTTTTAGAGAAGGTAACCATATCAGGAGGACTTGGCAATTGCCATGCCTCATGTGCCCAAAAAGTACCCGTTGCACCAACACCCGTTTGGACCTCATCCACGATAAACAAAACGTCATTTTGTTGACAAATGGCCTGAAGTTGTCTAAAAAACGCAGGGGAAGCTATGTACTTGGTCAATGCATGTTATGGATATGCTGGCTTTGAACTTACCATGATTATCACCGCCTTCAGATTGAATAGGCTCAATGATGACAGCAGCAACAGGCTTCTTTGCATTCACAATAAGTGATTCTACATGATCCAAGGCTTCTTTTTCTACTTTCTGATTATGCTCAACATGATCTTCCAAGGGATACTTGAGTAAAGGAAAAGGAGCTTTGGGCCAATCAAAAGCAGGAATATCAATTTTGTGAATTGCCTTGCTAGCCGTGGCTGTCAAGGAGCCAAACAAGCGACCATGGAAGGCTTGTGTGAAACTCAAGATAGACATGTCGTCGGGTGAGCCTGGTGCTTGGTTCTTCATACAGGAGCTCAATTCTTGAAGGCTGAATTCCTTGTTGCCCCTTCTTTTGGCTGCCTTGTACATGAATGCAGTCTTGAAAGCATTCTCATTAGCGCATGAACCACACATGACAGTAAACACATTCGACATGCCTTTAGGAGCCACAGCCATAAAAGCGTCTTGGACTGAATCAACCCAATCTATGTTTGGATTGACACCGAGTGCAGCTCTATTGATGTTTAGCTAGATGTGTCGTGAACACACACTTACCTATTGGCCAATGCTGTCTGGAAAGCAGGTTTTTCTGCTAATGACAAAAAAGCAGGATTATTATAGCCGATAGGAATAGAGGCAATTTGAGCAAACACGTCCAATAAGGTATTGCCATCTGCATCCACAATATAGTTACCCTTTGATTTAGCAAAGTCTAAAAGGTTTAGTTGATTCTACATGAAGCTTTTTTTTTTTTACCTGCTACAAAAAAGACAGATCGAGTATCTTGAAATTGATCTAATTTGGAAATAATCTCTTTCGATTTAGGGCCAGGCACTGGGGTAACAACATGTGGCTTTTTGGGCTCATCAGGAAAGAAGGTAGCATTTTGTGATACAGTAGCTAAAAAGCGTGTATGACGAGCAATAGGTTTAGTAATGTAACGATACGACAAAAGAGAAGGGAGCATTTTAAAGAGAAAAAAGAAAGGGAAAATACAAGAATATCCCAAAGGTATTTATGCACTTTGGTTACGTGGGAAATTACTCATGCCCTTTATACTGCTAAAACATTTGTCATTAAGTTGATGGACCGTATAAGGTATATCTTCTTGACATTTTATCAGAGAGAATTGATTGGTTCTGTAAAAGAATGAGATTGAACATCTCCCTTTTTTTTTTCTTTAACAGTAGTAAAAAAAAAAACGATTGATCTGCTTATTCAACACATAAAGATAGATAGATAGATATTGATTTAATATATTATATAAAATAAAAAAGAGATTTAAAGAATAAGACAGCCCTTCTTCTTCTTTGGTCGAACAGGAGGAGAAAGAACAGCTCTGATAGCTTCATCAAACACATTCTTTAGTCCCTTTTGAGTAAGTGCTGAACATTCAAGATATTTGACTGAAGAAATATCCTTTGCCATCTGTAAGCCTTGAGCATAAGAAATTGGTGCCATTCTTTTTTCGCGTAGTCTTTCTATTGTGTCTTTATCCTCACGTAAATCCAGCTTAGTACCGACAAGAATAATGGGTATGTTGGGTGCGTGATGGCTGATTTCTGGAAACCACTAAAAAATAATAATAATCAATTTATGTTCTCTGTTGATATATATATACATACCTTTGTCTTGACGTTTTCAAAAGAAGGTGGACTGATGAGTGAGAAACAACACAAAAAGACGTCCGTTTGAGGATAAGAGAGGGGACGAAGACGGTCATAATCTTCTTGACCTGCTGTATCCCATAAACCTAGATTAATAGGTTTGCCATCTACCATCACATTGGCAGAGTAATTATCAAACCTTCATGAAAGAAACAGTGAGCTCAACTGTCTTTCTTTTTAAATATAGTTACACTGTTGGGATGTATTCGCCTGGAAAAGCGTTGGTGGTATAAGATATCAAAAGACATGTTTTACCGACGGCACTGTGACAAGAAGAGATCAGTTATCTGCATTTCCCTCTTTTCTCTTTCTTTGTTCTATATATTTACCCATCACCGACAACAACACATTTGATAGATTGCATAATATGAAAAATAAAAGTACCAACTAGATGAAAGAGAGAGAAAAAAAAAAAAGAAAGAAAAAAAATTAAAAAAAAGAGAGAGAAGGAGGGCGAGAAAGAGTAGGTGAAGAGAGAGAGAGAGAGAGAGAGAAGTGAGAACAAGAGAGAGAAATAATAATTAAAATTATATAAAAAACACGTGAAATAAAATACTTCTATATTAATGCCATTCTCTTCTTCTTACACATTCGCATTTCTATATGCATGTACATACAGAGAAAATGAAAAAAAAAAGGGTTATGGATCTCTTATGTAGTTTTCATTATCGAGTAAATTTCTAACCTTCCCCCTCCTTTTTTTGTTTTTTTTTCTTTTATTTCATCCATTTTCACTCTTTCTCCTCGAAATTACCTTATAAACCTGTTGAAGTCAATCACAAACGTCATTTTTCATTCTCCTTTAAATAGTGATCGATACACGCTTTTGGTCATGAAACATTCTTTTTTTTTCCCTTTATCTGAGTCTCAATGCCATGGCAACCAGGCACCGTTTCTATGGTTATCATGGCCAACTTATATAGCTAAAGATCAAGCATGAATAACAATATTGCATGTTTCACCTTTTTTCGCTATACTTTCTCTGTCTGTCTCTGTTATTTTCCTTAAAAAAGGACAAGTAGATCCAGACGGTATTAATTTTTCGCGTTGGCGGACTCTATTTAAGTACGAGCAAGAACGTGTTTAAACTCTTTTTTTCTTTTTTTCTTTTTCTTTTTGACACAAATTATGGCGGGAAAGGAGTTACGCTCGCGTTCAACAAAAAGCAAGGCGACTTCTTCAACAAATAATACGCCTTTGCAAAATGATGCCCGTGCTGTCAAGTAAGTATTTTGTATATGACATAAAATTAAATCCTATTTCATAAGAGCTGCTCAAGCTTTGTTAAGTGAGTCAGATACCTTCTCATTTACTTTGTTATCCGCATTCCGTATTTTGTTCATCATGCGTTGTTTCTCAGCCTTGTACCGTATCTTGGATGATTGTGATGAAGTGTACAACTATTGGGAACCTACACACTATTTATTACAGGGCTATGGTAGACAAACATGGGAATATTCAACAGACTACAAGATCAGAAGTTGGGCTTTTATTCTCGTCAATGCGTTTGTTGGATTTGTGACCAAGATCATGACCTCTACCAAGGTAAATACACACAAGAGAGCATTGTACAGTAAGGATTGATTGATTTTTGGTTGCAAAACAATAGCTTCAGACATTTTATCTTATTCGTCTCTTCTTTGCTGGTGTTTGTTCTTTTGTTGAAGCCAAATTCTATCGTACAGTGACTGAAGAGATCAATACTCATGTCGGTCGTTATGTCTTTGCCATCTTGTTTTTCGGTGCTGGTATGTTTAATGCATCGACAGGTAATGTATTTTTTTCGGGGGATTATGCATGAAACCTGGCTAATTACTCGGGTAGCCTATTTGCCTTCTACATTTGCCATGCATTGTGTCTTTATGGCATTTTCATACGCATTGAGACCTGTGTCTGATATTGACCTTTCTCGTACTTACAAGGTAGTCTTTTGGATTGGATTGGGTGCATTGGGAGGCTGGCCATTTGCTGCACTTATTGGTATCCCTTTTGTTGTTGAAGAAGTACTTGTATTTGGGCGCAACACAATGACTCAACCAGATGGTACGATTGTAAGCTCAGTGCCTAGTCCCAAATGGCGTTTCCGACGCTTTGTTCGTCTAGTAGAAGCCACTGCTATCTGTGGTAGTGGTATCACGCTTCTTCTTCTCTTGATGGATCACATGTTTTATCGTCAATACACAGTTGTTGCTTGGAACATTATCAAATACAACGTATTTGCTGCTGCAGAAGGCCGTGGTCCTGAACTCTATGGTGTTGAACCTTGGTATTATTATATCTTGAATGGTGTCTTGAATTTCAATATTGTGTTTGTATTGGCCTTGGGCTCTGCTGTGTGTGTGGTAAGTGATGTAAGAAATCAGACCAGCGTCTCATGTGTTTTATATAGTTGATTACTGCCTATATTGACCGTAACCGTGTGCCTGGATCGACAAAGATGGATGCCGTTTGGCCTTATGTCCTACTTGGCCTCAAGTTAGTTCCATTTTACCTTTGGTTCACTGTATTTAGTCTTCAGGCTCACAAAGAAGAACGCTTCATGTATGTTGCGTATCCTCTGGTCGCTCTCAATGCTGCTATTTCTATCTACTTGATCCGTTCTTGGACAAGTCGATTTGCCGGCCACTACTTTGGTGCTTCTGTTCATGTTCGTGTGTTTGTCCTCAGATACACTTCCTTTGCCATCCTTGCCCTTTACGCTCTTTTGTCGATGTCTCGTATCCTGGCCCTCCTGACCCGTTACCGTGCTCCCTTTGTTGTCTATAGTAGCATCTGGAAAGACAGAACACCTGATCAACTCATGAACCTCAACTACCTCAACGAAGAGTTTCCTACCAACGTTGACCTTCCTTACAAGAACGTCTGTGTAGCCAAAGAATGGTACCGTTTCCCCTCTCATTTCTTTTTACCGAGCGATACGCGTCTTCAGTTCCTCAAGAGCGACTTTGAGGGCCAATTGCCCAAGACGTTTGAAGAAGACCTTGTGATTGGTAGTTATGAAGATGCGGATGGAAACCAAGCGTTGTATCGTCGTCGTGTGTATGGATGGTTTGGTGCTCGTTTAGCACCTGAAGGATTCAACGATCTCAACAAGGAAGATCCTCGTGTGTATGTCAAGCAAGACGAGTGTGATTATTTAGTGGATAGTGAGTTTCCTCTTCGTGCTGATACGTCTGAGCCTCATTATGTCAAAGACACAGAACATTGGCAAGTTATGGAGTGTCAACCGTTTATTGATGTAGAGCATTCGAACCGTTTCTTAAGAGCTTTTTGGTTGCCTGGTTCTCCTGGTGTTGCTTGGGGTGAATATTGTCTATTGAAACGTAGAAAATAATAACAAAAAAAAAATAAATAAATGAATGAATAAATAAATTGGTGTATATAGTTAAATCATAATGTCTATTCTTTGGTGGCCATGTCTAATGGTGTGAGTTGTGTCATTTGGCTTCGATATCGTGTACCAAACGCAATACCAGAAGCAGAAGAAGCAGAAGAGACACGTCTACTGATATCAGGTCGCTTTAAAGAAGACACATCCTCCTCCATGACAGAAGAAGAATCGTCTTCTGATAAATAAGAAATGGGTTGCAGTGGTGATGATGATGGTATCATGTTTGAATGAAGTCCAGAATTAAGAATTAGTGTATGTCCTGTAGATAATGAGACAGTGGGTGTCACTGAGTTGGTAGTATGGGGTAATAATGATTTGGAATAAGAAGGTTGCTTACTCATAGTAGGCTGATGTATAGATGTTGGCTGATTGGATGCAGGTCGAGGCGTTGTCTGTGGGGATAAAAGTTGCTTGGACGATCTACGACGTGGGCTGTTGCCAAATGAGAAAGATAGTTTTCGAATGGATTGGCGTAATCGTTCCATGATACTCATGTTTTCTATGGCTGCCATTTCTTCTTTGGGTTGTTGTTGTGTAAAATAAGGGCGTGGATCTGATTTACGAAGCCATTCTTGTGGATCAGCCAAGTCTGCAATTACCCAAGGGTGCACCTAAAGTGCTGTATTAGTTTAAGTCCAAGTCAGACTGTTACTTACTTTGACTTGATCGAGTGTAATTCTATCGTTTGGATTTTTTTCAAGCAATTTGACAAGTAAATCTTTAAGATCACTGTCTATATCAAACCCAATCTGTTCTTTAGAGGGAAATGTCAATGGTTGAGTAGGAATCGTATCAAACAGTTCAAATTCGGTAGCAGCAATAAAAGGACATTGACCAAAGACAAAACAATAGAGTGTTACACCCAATGCCCAGACATCAATGGCTTTTGATATACGTGGCTTTTTTGTAGATTCATTCGCATCACCCGCACAACACAATTCAGGTGCAAAAAAGGCAGGTGTGCCTGCTGTCTCTGCTAATTCTCGGTCTATTTTCTGCATCACTTGCTCATCTGCTGACTGCAGAAGATGTGCATTGTTCATGGCTAGTAACTCATTAAAATAAGATACACCAAAATCTGATATTTTAGCTATTCCTTCATGCGACAAAAGTAAATTTGCTGGTTTAATATCACGGTGAATGATGCCTAGTGCATGAAGATAGTCTAATCCACATACAATATCTCTAAAGATATGTCTTGCTTCATCTACTGTCATCACAGGCTTATCATGCTCATCTCTCCATTCAATCTCGCCACTTGCTGTGTACTCCAGTGCCATATAGATCTTTCGACTGGTAGGATCGTCAATGACTTCATATAAACGAACTACATTTGGATGACAGCATTTTGTCAAAATGGCAATTTCTCGTCTGATTTTATGCTCGTTTTCTTTTGAGACAGGTTCTGATCCACCTTGTGCTTGACTTCCTCTTAAAAGATGATAACCCATCTGTCTTCTTCTGTTCTTTTTATCCACGATTTTGATTGCCTTATTGTATGATGCTGAGTTATAAAACACATATTTTTACCTATCACTTACCACAAGTTCACTTGTATGCGTGTCTTGAGCTAGCTTCACTTTACCGTGAACACCTCTACCGATTTCTTGAAGTATAATGAAATTATTAATGATTTTATTGCCTGTTTCCAAGTCATAGTTCTTGACAAGTGTGTTTGTCAAAAGAACATCTCTGTAAGGGAATTTAGTTGTTTGGTCTATAGGTCTGATTGTGTCTAGCGTTTCACTTTCTTGTCGTTGCATATTCCAAAAAAAAAAAAAAGGGGGAGGGAGAATAGATTTTAGAAAAAAAAATAAAGGGAAAAGGAGAGAATAAACAGCAATGAAACAGTGCCAAAATATATAAAATAAAAGTGAAAGAAAAAAGGTCTTCTAAAATGGACATGTCGCTATACCAAATCAAAACAAAAAAAAATTCAAGTTCATACATTAGACAGAATATGAATTTTTTTGTTCATTAAACTAAAATACAAAGTAACAATAAGGATACTTTCTTTAAGAAAGGGAGTCAAAAGAGAGAGACAAAAAGACATCTGGACTTTAATTCCTTTATGCTTTTTCCGACAAAATACAGTTGTTTGTCTTTTTCTTTTTTTTTTATATTTTCTTCACTTTTTTTTTTTTTTACATATATATATATACTGCCATGAAAATAGATTGGATTTATTCATTCATTATTGGAACTTCATTCATATGTAAGGTGCATGCTTCATTACTTGTCATTGTAGAGTCTATTTATGCTATAATCTCCCGAAGATTTAAACTTGTCTCTTAGGCAACAAATGAAACCTATGCAGACCGCATTGCATCGTTTGGTCCCCGCTTATCGGAAAATGGAAAATTTGGCTATCTGATTGAACCTCAGGCAGACCCTACAGGCTGTAGAAAAGTAGATGCTCCATGTGATGAATGGATAGCTTTGGTTAAAAGAGGAGGTTGTTCATTTATTACTAAAGTAAGAAACATGCAAGAATCAGGTGCTATTGCTGTGGCTGTAGGTGATCCAGATCACCAATCAGGCTGGATAACCATGTATGCACCAGGTATAAAAAAAGAAGAAGAATACAATTGTATATATTGAATGACAAATGTAGGTGATACTTCAGATATCAAAATCCCAAGTATCTTTTTAGCCAAACATGAATACAGAACTCTGCTTTATTTGTCCAAGATTGTAGATACGCCCATGATGGTCATTCTGAAACTAGATCATTTTATCACTTGGTAAAAAAAAAAAAAAAAAATCAACAACCAGTCTTGATTAAAAAACTGACTGTATGTTAGGCCATTACTTGATATTTTAATGATTATCTTCATTTCTCCCAGTGTCATGATGATTTTTATTTATGTGACATGGCAATTACGACAAAAACAAAGGAAAAAACAACTAGTGGCACCTGTGGATCTTGTTTCCAAGTTGGATATTAAACATTTTGCATTAGAAAAGAGAAAAGAAAATGAAGCAGAAGAATGTGCTATCTGCTTAGAGAGTTATTTAAATGGAGAGCAATTAAGAGTATTACCTTGTAAACACGATTTTCATACAGTCTGTGTGGATGCTTGGTTAACCACACAAAAGAAATTTGTAAGTGACAAAATAAGGGAGGGTTGTACTTATTATTTTTATATAGTGTCCTATTTGTAAACGCGATATTACTTTTGTTGTTTAAATAAAAAAAAAGGGGGTATCCTTTTTTTTTTTTTGGTTTATTGCTCAATGGATGAATACGGGTTTGAATCTCGATTAAGACACTTGGAACATATTCTTGTTGGACAACATAATGCACAACTTCAAAAACTGACTCATGAGTCGATTTATAAACGACTCGAACTATTACAAAGAGAACTAAATACAGTCTACAAAGACAACAAACCTGTAAAAGAGTTTGTAACGAAATGTAGAGTTGCATCTATGAAACAAAAAAAGCAATGTGTCTTACTCTATATACACTAGATGATGTCCATTCAAAGATCTTGAATCCAACCACATCTACCTATAATATAGAAAGAGAGATTTTGGCACCCGACGTCAAGCTTGAATTGTTATTAGCTGCTCAAGAAGACTTGGAAAAGTTTGCTCAAGAAGTTAAACAAATCAAGGACTTAGAATATGTTGTCAATGGATCTGATTTTGATGGTAAGACTCATCAACAATTCTTTTCTTATTTATTTATTTATGCTTCACTAGTCATTGAAACACTCGGTCCTCAATTGGCTCCCTTGGAAGTGGCACATACAAACCAAGTCAAGGATCTCAATGAATTAACAAAGCACATTTCCCAATTTATGGAGCGCTATAATGGCACTGTAAGTAGTAACGAATAGAATGAATCCCTATTGACTTTTATAGATCAATACATTATCAGAAATATTCATACAGTGGGATAATATTCTGACAAATATGGAGACACATATCACTGCTCTTGAACATGAAAAGAAAGCAGCTAAATAATACCAATATTTTATTCCGTGGGAATCATGATGTTATCTATGCGGGGGAGAATTTTTTATTTTTTTCTATTCTTTTCTTTTTTTTTTTTTTTTTTATCATGATGGATAAGTTACCCTTTGAAGTAATTCTGCAGATATTGGATTATGTGCCTTTATCTTCATTTCAGTCACTTTATGCTGTATTTCCTCAAGTGAGAGTAGATGAAGCATTGGTCTATAAACTAAGAAACAACAAAACAAAGCCTTTGCTCAACTTGGTATCCACCAATCTTCATGAACTCGCTGCCAATACGACCAACAAAAGAAACGAGTCCTTTTTATCATTTTATTTTGCTTCTTATGATCCTATTCATCGGTTTATCTGGACTTTACCTGATTTTTCTAGTTCAAACCATTATTTTAGAGTCAAGGATGCTTATGTGTCTCATGGTAAGCTTGTTATTCGACCTTATGACAACAACAATCAGACCCTATTGGCTTCATTATGGGATATTAGAAAAAGCTTTCCCCCGACAAGAGCAGGTTCTTTTTCGGGTGCAAGTGAATATGTTCATGTCCAATCTAGAGAATTCACCTTACATCAATCTGGTTGTATCTTGGATTCATGTCTCATACCTTATCATATGGAGAAACAACAGATAGAATACAAAAGACAGGAAAATACAGTGCTCAAAAGGCCTCATTTACCACCCAATTACATTAGACAGATACCATTTACCAATCCATCTTTCATGCCTACTTATCCAGATCCTATCTGTGGCTTCTTTTTTGTGGAACGATTGGCTATCAGTATCCCCACTTTTCTTGATCTCTTTTGTTGTAAATAAAGCTTTTATTGTTATTGTTATTATTGTCATTATGTACAGTTTTTAAGAGTTTATTTCCTTTTGGGCTTCACCCTTCTTTTGTTGGACCTTATCAGAAGCTTCATTTGTGTTATCACCAGTCAGGGAATGAACAGCACCTTGAACAGCACCAGTCACTTGATCTTTCAAACCTTGGGCTAAAAAACAAACAAACATAAGTCTTGTTGGGCAAATCTACAATTTGACTTACCATAGCCAACAATATTGGCAGCAGCTTCATTGGCTTGACCTTGACCATGTTGAGTCTTTCCTTCAGCTTGAAGACGTTCATTACCAACAAGATTACCAGCAGTTTCTTTTACATTGCCAACTAATTGATCCTTTTTGGCATCAGAGCGAGAGGGGGCATTAAAAGACATTTTTATAATATTTGAATAATAATAACGAAAAAGAAAGTTTCAGGTCCCAATTATATATAGAGAGAAATTCATGATGTCATGGCAAGCATGAATTGGACTAAAAAAGGAAATATCCTACTTTACTTTCGTCATTCTGATATATGACGTTGTTACATATGAAAAGGTCTTTGTAGGTTGCATAAATCACAGAGATTATGTAATGATAGACTAGCAAAATACAGTATTTACTAGCACACTATATACGACAAGTAACTCAGATTTCAACTCAAGAGGTAGCTTGGTCAAATTGCAATGCAATGGTAATAGAACAGACCTTGGATTGGTATTGATTGAGAATTCAGAAAGAGAGAGAGAGAAGCCTCTGTCATGATGCAATTTCTAAATGTCAAGTATAGCTCAATGGTTTAAACAGTGTCACCAGAATTACAACAAAAGATGCTTTCATAAGGTATGTACTTGACAACATAGTTATCTTCAGTTAGAAGGTGTGATTGACTTAATTGAATCATATAAGAGGCATCCTGTCTATTAAAAAGGATACACTTTTTTCATCAAAAGTGTTTGCAAAAGTTTTTGATAAATGACTTAACCGATCAAAGAACAGACAAACACACAAAATTGAACAACCACATATAGGAGCTACAAAGCCTGTTTATACACGCAGAGATGCTCAAGATACCTACAGACTATGTTTAATAACATATAGGGTACATTTGAAGTTGATTTGAACCAAAGAAAGCGACTTGTAAAAATGGCCAAAACGACCATTCGACCAAAGGGTATTAGTCATGAAAGAAGCTCGTTTAACAACTTCTGATCTTCTTTTAAACGCTACAGGGCAAAAAATGAAGCTATAGACAAGCTTAAGTACTCAAGATGTGTGTTGGAGACTATAGTTTTGGATGAATGTGTTTGCGTAACAGTTGTACTATAAAAGTGGTATGATAAGAATGAAAAACCTCGAAAACGTTTTTGTCTATTCACCCAATATTTTAGTAGCAAAGCTGTTGCTCTCTTTATACCAATAGACTCGGCAAGCAAAGATATACAGCTTTTGTCACTACACCAAAGTCCAACAACCGCGTCTTTATACAGTTCTCAGCAAAAGCTCCATTTTTGTTGCGGCGACAAGAAGAATTGGAGCTGCCTTCCATTTCAATCTCTGATGCGAGCCACTCTGCGTATGCATGATGATGTTTTGATATCACTCAAGACGCGCAAAGTCAAAGGGCTTGCTTGTATATGTATTAGTAGAAACTTTAGAGAAGAGATTATATGACCTGTATAATACAAAAGTATTAATATATTTGCAATAGGAATTAGGACCAGAGGCTTCAAGAAGGACTGTAAAGTCTCAATTGTATGACATTTTGTGATAAGCCATTGCTGGGCCGATAGAATAATAAAACTGCCGCCTTTTTTTTTCTATTAAAAAGGATTGCTCACTTTAAGGCTTGATGAGACAATTATATGTTCACACAAAAATGAGAAGGCTTTCAAATAGACTTTGAATAGATGGATTGTGTCTTAAACTGAAAGAAGGAATCAGAGCGAGTAAAAACTACACAGGTTAATAAAACAAATAGACGCTGTACAATATCAATTTGAGTCACAGTTCTTTGATCTGAAAATTGGCTTAAAGACACCTTGTAGCGATGATGATTGAAAAAGAAGTAAAAAATCACTCAGCCTTATAAATCGACATTTTCATGCTAAATACAATTCCAATTCTTTTTTGAATATATTGATACTCGTTTGTTTAGGGTTATGTTGATGGTTAACAAGAACAAACATTTTGATTAGATTTACGGTTTCATTTAGATGACACTCTTCGGAGATTCAATAACAACAACCACAAAATGCATTGTCGAATCTTTTCTTTGTTTTTTCCTTTCTCTCTCTCTCTCCCAGAAAAAAAAGAAAGAAAGAAAAATGTCTTATATGACAAAAGACCAACTAGGTATATAGAGAAGCTATAAAAAAAACAAAAGCTAAAGTAGACTAGAAACTTATTTAAACGGTTTACCCAAGAACACAAGTAAAAAAGACCAACTCAAAAACCAACTTGTCTATCCTCCAACAATAGAAGACCAAGACTTGGGTTCTATTAGAGACCGTATGAGTCGGTTGCGTACAGCTACAGGCACTGTCTTGACAACCACACAAGCCATGACACCTGCGTTTCCCGAAACACCTAAACCTGCTATTCCTTCAAAACCCGTATTTTCAGGTGACGCGTTTGAAGCTTCTTTAACTCCCAAATCAAGAAGGTCTGTGATACAACCACCTCGAGTAGCACTAAAGCCATCTACAATCCATACCTCGTCTCCAACGCCTGTCACTAAACCCTCTCCGCCGGCTACTCCACCTATGCCTGTGGCAACACCTCCTCCTGCTGTACCCAATAGTCCTCGACCACCCAGGCCTTCTTCAGACAAGGTATCGATATTGAATCCCATATATGCTGGTCTTGATTGCCCTGGATGTCAGCAACCTATTAAGGGCTCAGTTGTCTCTGCCATGGATCGTATCTGGCATGCACACTGCTTTGTCTGTACTCAATGTAACAAGACGCTTGAGAATGAACAATATTTTGTGCATGATGATCAACCTTTTTGTGCTCAAGATTACAGAGTCTTGTTCAGTTTGCGTTGCGACCTATGCCATAAACCTATCGAACAAGTAAGTATGGTAGCAGAGAGAAAGAGAAGGCTTATATTCTATGAAGAGTGCTATTAGTGCGTTAGGCAAACATTATCATGAAGGTCATTTTTGTTGCACAGTCTGTGATATGCCTTTTGGGGATTACAGTGCATTTTTAGTACATGAAGGAAGACCCTATTGTCAGCAAGATTATATGAAAGTATGTGGTAAAAAGTGTAGTGGATGTGGTGAATATATTTCTGGAGAATACATCAATGCATTAGAACAACCATGGCATAAATCATGCTTTGTATGCACAGTAAGTCTTACTGTCAACATGCATATATACTGAATCCAATAGGAATGTAGACAACCTTTTACAGGTGGATCGTTTCTAGTCAGAGACAATAAGCCATATTGTGAAAAACATCCCAATAGACCTTCTGTATCCAGTGAAAGGAAGCCTTCTATCCCAACAGAAAAAAGACCATCCATGTCAACAGAAAGAAAGCCTTCTATCCCAACAGAGAGAAAGCCTTCTATCTCAACAGAAAGAGAACCTTTAGCAGACAAAAGACCTCCTGTACTTAAACCAAAACCAAGCATAAAATCTGATACCAAGTCCAACAAGACATGTCATCATTGTGGTGATATGATTGATGGTCCCTGTGCTTCTGCATTGGGTCATGATTACCATGTACATCATTTCCAATGCTCACAGTGTCAGCGTACTCTATCTTCCCGTGTGCCAGGTAAGAAATTAGATATGTAGAATGATGTTCACTTTGTTATAGGTATGTGGACAGCAGATCCACAGAATGAATTAGTATGTAAATTATGTGCATTCAATAAATAGTTTTTGTTTTATTCTATTGATATTCAGGTTTTAGTTCAAGTGTACGTGTACTAGGGTCATTTGTCCCCCTAGAACTCTTGGCCACTTTCTTCAACAATTGCGTAATAATATCACGGTTACGGTTATTCTTTCTGATACGTTTACGGAAATTATACAAGAATTCTTTAGTAGTCATTGTCTTGCCTCTTAAGGTCTCGACTACTTCACGCTCTGTAATCAATTCATCTTCATTGGTAACCTTGCGTTGTTTGTTGACTTCTGTACTAGGTGGTTCATCTGCACGACGCTTTTTACCAGCAGATGGGTCTGGAGTAGGACGCTGAGGAGGTGATTGTTGGCGTACAGGGGAAAGTGGTGAAGGAGACACGTCTCTTTCCTTCTTCATATAGATAGAAGGAGAACCAGGTCTGCCAATGGGTTTAGACATGCCTTCTTTTTTGATTTTGACAGGTGTCTTCTTTGGTAATGTAGGCTTGTTTAAGGCTGTTGCTTTCTTTTTAGGTGGTATGGGGGTTGATTTCTTTTCTTTATCAGAATCATTTTCATCTTCCTCATTGTCTGTCTCTAATTCTTCGGCCTATATAAAACGAATGTTAAATTGCTTTTTGTCAATGAGTAATAGTTACACTGGATGCATAAGGATCTCCTTCTTCTTCATCACTTTCATAAGCACGATTCTTCTCAAGATCGCGTACTAATTTACGCATTTGTTTGCCTTCTGAAGTCAGCTTGTTCATGTCATCAAGCGAAATGTCTTCTGCTTGTCCACCTGCTATTGAATAATCCTTGATTTCCTTCTTGACACGATCCTATGAGTTGTATTTTGTGTTAACTTGCTTCATTCATCCTGTGTGACCTTACTTTGCTGTCTTTGACTTCTTCGTCTTCTACTTCATGCTCTGCTGCCCCTTCTTCATCGTCTTGGAATACGTCATCAAAATCAAGATCATCCATATCAGAATCTTGTCTATTGGCTTCATCATCAGAACCAGCATGCTTTTCTTCATTATCTACAATCTTGAATTTATTACGCGGTGTTTCTTCAGGTTGTTCATTATCACGCTTCAACATCATCCATCGATTGCCATCACGCTTTTGTTGCTTTTTGATCTGCTCTTCTGCTTCTTCTAATGATAATGTCTTGAAGTTACGTTTGGGTTGGAACTTATACCATCTCTCGACAGGCATCACTTTGAATCCATTGTTCTATGTGTTCATGATGAATGAGAAGAAAGAGGGATAAAATGGACTTACAGTCAAGACAAAGAACATATAATCAGAACGTTGACCACCTTCCAGAGTACCCGTAAAACTATTTTGACCATCATAATCTTCTAAAATCCAAGGACGGTGTTCTTGCTCTTTAAGTTCTCTAGTATCTTCTTTGGCCATAAAGATTTGCTTAGTTCTTTTCTTAAAAAGCATCTTTTTGTTATGAGTAGCACCACCCATAGGCGCAATCAGGCTAATATCAGCACCTGTTCTAGGACCATGTTGTGTAGCATTAGTTTCAGTAAGTTCTTCCCCAGGTTTAGTGTTGCCATCAGCAACATTGGGTGTATTGTTGGTAGTAGCAGCAGCAGTAGCGGCAGCAGCAGCCGCATTAGCCGCATTCAAGTTTTGAATGTATTGTCTATAAGGAACATAGTTGGTTTCTTTACGATGAAGTTTGACAGGACGCGCAAATTCTTTAGGTTCAATACGTTTACTAGACTTGAAGTCCATCACATGGTTTTTGCCGCGTTGAGAAGTAGAAACAAGGACAAATTCATTATAGGAATTGTCTTGTTGCTGTTGCTGCTGTAACTGTTGTTGCTGTTGTTGTAATTGGTGTTGTTGAAGCATGCGTTGAGGACCAACACCTGGACGAACAGTACGAGCCATAGGCGTACCACGTCCTGCTGTGTTCTTTCCTTTAATAGTACGTGAAGTATTATAGATGGACATGATTAAAGAGAAAAAGAAGAAAAAAAAAATAAAAATAAAAAAATAGAGTGCGACTGTCTTATTAATTTCAGAAAATCAAAAATGATATCCATTATGGTGTATGTTCATGCTCAAAAAGGCGTTCATAACTTTATTGGATTGATGTAGATGAAAAAAAAAAGTTAAAAAAGACGAGTAGTTAAAGGAATTTACTATAAGAGAAAGTATTAGCAAACATACACACACACACGTTTATGGATAACTTACTTGCTTCATAGCATCCTTCTTACCCTTACGTTCAAGGATGGCAACACGAGACTTGTCCAACTTGAGCTTGGTAACAACAACCTTGGAAGGAGAGATACCAATAGGGGCAGTGGCACCGTTGACCTTTTCACGAGAGACACGGTCGATGTGGATAACCCACTTCTTACGGTAGACTTGAACAATCTTACCTTCACGACCCTTGTAGGTACCACGGACAACCATGACTTCGTCGTCCTTACGAACAGGAATAGAGCGGACACTGTGCTTTTCACGGAGTTCCTTGGAGAGAGGAGCACTCATGATGGTGCGACGAACATCGGAGGTAGCATTGAAGTGAGCCTTTCTGCTCTTTCTACGAGAGGAGCTAACGTCTATAAACAAATTAGTTATACTGTTGAGCTTTCTTTCGCTTTCTCTCTCTCTCTCTCTTTCTCTCTTTCTCTTTTTTTTTTTTGCTCTTCGTTATAGAATGTGAATCTCGAATAAAAAAACAAGTTGAAGTGTATGTATGTTGATGGCTGTCAAGGCATAAACATTCCATTTGGCAATCGTACTATAAGTTGTATCCACATACATACAATTCATCAACGAGTCTCGAATCGAAAATCCATCCATTCCAATATCCAAGATGTGCAGTGAATGACATTTACCAGCAGAGAACTTCATCTTTGTATAATATGTGATGGAGTGAAAAAGGAGGGATTTAATCGTTGCCTTACTTACTACTCAAGCAAATGCCCACTCTTTCTCCACTGTGATCTTTGCTCAGAAGTCAATTTGGCTTGGATGGTTCAATCTCCGGTCCGGACCGATGGATGGCCGAATTTAAAGTTGACAGGATACAAAGTATGGCATTTAGACTGCTAGGTGTTGTGTAAAAAAGAGGCAGCATCATTCCCAATCACTTTATACCACACTGTATGAATGCATTCAAAACTATATACTCTTTATATATATATATATTGGAGCAGTTTTCTGTACAATGATCAAGCAGTTCATTCATCACATGATTATTTCTAAAGGCCTTGAAGATTCGCCTTTCATATGAAAGACTATTTAAATGAACCATTCTTGTGAAGCCTATTGCTTCTTTTTATTAAGCAGAGCTTAATTAGGGGTTTGATGGAGAATGTTCCTTTTCATTAAGGTGACGTTGTTTTGTGTTCATTAACTCGATTTAATTTTTTTTTCTAGAGTAAAAATTCTTTCTTCTTTTTCTTTTCTCTTTTTGATATGAGTGTCGAGGAACAAATAAATAAAGCTAAAAGCTCACTAAGCACAGCCTTAGAAAGAGACAATACACAAGTAACGCGCTTTCATAAACAAAACAAAAGAATATTGAGTGCTTATCCTTTCGTCTTATAGGCGTGTTTAGAGATATTAGATACATTAAGCAAGATACAAGTGAGTGGTGAATTGCTCAAGGTAAAAACAAAACAAAACAAAACAAAAACACCAATGATTAATGTGAGAAAATAGAAAACAGATATTGGTAAAGTAATTGGAAAACTAAGAACGCATAAAGACCCAAAAGTATCTGTCAAAGCAAAAACAGTGGTCAAGAAATGGAAAGATGATGTCGTTCGCCAATCTTCTTCTCAACCACCTGCCAATAAGCCACCTTCTTTATCTGTCGAACCACCTAAGCGTATCTCACCTGCTTCTTCTCAAGCTTCTTCACCAAAAACACCTTCTTCTGTCGATGGTCCTCCTCGCACAATTAAATCCGACGAAGTGACTTTTAAATCCACAGGCAGTGTGCCTCGTAACAAGACCATTGAACTCGTGTATGCTTCCATTGGGTTTGGTAGTGGTGCAGGTAAGAAAGACAATGAGTAGCATAAAATTGTAATGCTGTCTATAGATTCCGAATTATTACTGAAGCGTGCTATTGCCATTGAAAAGACAATTTATTTGGAATTTGGTGATATCAATCAAGACTATAAAAACAAAGTACGTTCATTGGCGCTCAATTTAAAGAACAAGAGTAATCCTGGATTACGTGAAAGTGTTGTTAGTGGTGAATTAGCAGTAGAAAAATTATGCAAAATGAGTGTGGAAGCCATGGCATCAGAAGAAGCACAAGCGCGTGATCGTAAATTAGCTGAAGAAGCCCTGTTTAAGGCAAGAGGCGCTGAATCAGCACAGGCAGAAACAGACATGTTCAAATGTGGCAAATGTGGTGGTAGAAAGTGTACGTATTTCCAGATGCAAACTAGAAGTGCAGATGAACCTATGACAACATTTGTTACTTGTGTCAATTGTGGTAATCATTGGAAGTTTTGTTAGTATATATACATGAATAAAAATAGTGTATTTTTGTTCAAATCATGATTTGTATTTTTAAGAAAGGGAATATTTTTATTCAATGATAAAAAAATAATAAATTATTGTATTCTAAGTGTTGAAAAGCATTATCTAATGATAGTAAGTAAATAGACAAACAAGTTTAAAGACTTACTGGTTTTACAAAGGAGTTCCAATGGGAGAAGGTTCAACAATGCTAATTGGAAAAGAGTGAGTATTTGTTTACAGAGCCTAAAGATATATTTTGACTTACATTGGAGGAACTAAAAAGAAAAAGTTAGTAAACTAGAATTACCATAATCATGTAAACTTACCAATATTAACAATTTCAGTCTCGACAATGACCATAGTGCGGCTAAGGTCATACAAGTCGTTGAGAGCGAGGCCGGCTTCATATTCATGAACATCGAATATACCATTCTCGAGGTCCTTGTTCCATTCTTTGCCGCCCTTAGAGTGATCTTTTTCACCGCCCTTGTTCCATTCTTCACTACCCTTAGAGTGATCTTTTTCACCGCCCTTGTTCCATTCTTCACCACCCTTAGAGTAATCTTTTTCACCGCCCTTGTTCCATTTTTCACCGCCCTTGTTCCATTTTTCACCACCCTTAGAGTAGTCCTTGTTCCATTCGTCACCACCCTTAGAGTAGTCCTTGTTCCATTCGTCACCACCCTTAGAGTAGCCCTTGTTCCATTCGTCACCACCCTTAGAGTAGCCCTTGTTCCATTCGTCACCACCCTTAGAGTAGCCGCCCTTGTGGTAGTCTTCGTCACCACCCTTAGAGTAGCCGCCCTTGTGGTAGTCTTCGTCGCCGCCCTTATAGTAGCCGCCCTTGTGGTAGTCTTCGTCACCGCCCTTATAGTAGCCGCCCTTGTGGTAGTCTTCATCGTCACCCTTATAGTAGCCGCCCTTGTGGTAGTCTTCGTCACCGCCCTTATAGTAGCCGCCCTTGTGGTAGTCTTCGTCACCACCCTTAGAGTAGCCGCCCTTGTAATAATCATCGTCACCACCCTTAGAGTAGCCGCCCTTGTAATAATCATCGTCACCACCCTTAGAGTAGCCGCCCTTGTAATAATCATCGTCACCACCCTTAGAGTAGCCGCCCTTGTAATAATCATCGTCACCACCCTTAGAGTAGCCGCCCTTGTAATAATCATCGTCACCACCCTTAGAGTAGCCGCCCTTGTAATAATCATCGTCACCACCCTTAGAGTAGCCGCCCTTGTGGTAGTCTTCATCGTCACCCTTATAGTAGCCGCCCTTGTGGTAATCTTCATCATCCTTGCCCCACTTTTTATCGCCGTGCTTGTCATCATGCTTGTCATCATACTTGTCATCATACTTGTCATCATACTTGTCATCATGCTTGTCATCATCTTTGCCCCACTTCTTATCGCCGTGCTTGTCATCATGCTTGTCATCATGCTTGTCATCATGCTTGTCATCATCTTTGCCCCACTTCTTATCGCCGTGCTTGTCATCATGCTTGTCATCATCTTTGCCCCACTTCTTATCATCATGCTTGTCATCATCACTGTCGCTGTCGCTGCCACTATCGTGCTTGTCATCATCACTATCACTATCGCTGTCACTATCGTGATCCTTGTCCTTGTCGTCGTGCTTCTTGTTCTTGTAGAATTCAACCTTAGGGTTATCAATGACACGGATAGCAGCAGTACCGGCTTCATAGGGACCAGAGGCCTTGATAGTGATCTTGTGTTCACCCTTGCCTAATTCAAAGATACCCTTACTGAAACGATCGTCACTGAGGGCTTCTTCAGGAGTAGCAGCAAAGACTTCTTCATCCTTAACACGGTCAACTTCAGAGGTCTTGCCTAAAGAGACACCATTATCAAAGATTTCGAAAGCGTCACCACGGTTTTTGTAATCAGTGACTTGGATACGAGCAGTCTCATCGACATTGATGCTGAATGTTTCCTTGGCATCAATAGAATCGCCCTTCCAACGGAAAGTACTGAAGGCATCTGTCAAAGCAACAGGGGCAGAAACTTCTTCAGCGGCGAAATCAAGGGCTACAAAATCAGCGTTATCAGCATAGACTGTTGCGGCTAAAAGAGCAACAGCCGTAGAAATAGCAAGAATAGAACGCATGGTTACAAAGAAAAAAATAAAGGTAAAGAGAATAAGAATTAGTCAAAAAGCATGTTGCTTTATATCAACTTGAGAATGCGGTTGTTTTTTTCAGTCCAGTATGAAAGACGAGTTTCTTGACGATCCGCCTTGATTGAAATTGCTCTTAAATTGTTTTCATTCTTTGAAAAATTCTTGCAATACATGGCGATTTGTTTATACGCTGCTTTCGGAAATTGCCTTTGGAAATAGAAATGAAAATACAGTTTGAGAAAGCATATGAATAAAAAGAATAGTTACATAATGCCTTCATTAAGCAGGCTTTTTTTTTTTTTTTTTTTTTTTGGATGATAACAAGTCGTTCATTTTAAATGCAGATCATCAATGTACTCATACAAACAGTTACTTATTTTCTTATGTTAGGCATTTTATGCTCATTCTTGAATGCAATTTATCATTTACGATTGCATTGTGATATCCAATGTAAGCCATATTGAGCTTGTATTGAATTTTGGTGATGATTGTGTAACTGCAAATCAATTAGAATTTAACTTTCGCGTGAGTGAGCGAGTTGTGCGTGTTTTTTTATGAGTATCTCAGTCGAAAAACTAAAAAATGAGCTTGGCTCGCTAGAAGAAGGTATAAACGCAAAGCTTATTTTTATTTCAAAAAAAAACCCCCCCTGATCACTATCTAGTTCAAGATGAAACTATTCTTGAGCCTGTGAACTGCTTAAACAATCTTTTGAATCAACAAGAAAAGACTTGGGAATCGGGAACAACAGCCTGTAAAGCTTTAGCTGATGCTTTAAGAACAGGTACGATAACAAACAAACAAAAATCCGAGTTGAAATAAACATGGTGTATAGCCTCTCTCCGTACACCCTTAGGAGAAGCTGGTATCATTGAAAGCCTATCAAATCTTTTGAAAAGTGCTTCTGGAAACCAGCCAGAATTTCAGATTCAGGCACTTCGAGTGCTGGGAAACCTTTGCTTTGATCATGGTAAGCCTATCTTGAGCGAACTTTCATGACTAACATCGAGTGATAGAGGCAAATAGAAAGCATGTCAAGGCTGCTGGTATTGTTTCTCTTGTTGCTTCTTATTTGAACAGTCAACGACCTGACTTGATCCGTACGATTTGTGGATTTTACTTGAACAGTAGCATGGACTATGGTATATTTGTGATGATAGATATATGAAATGCTTATGAAAGTTATCTATAGCTTCTATTCAAAATGAGATTGCTGAATGTGGTGCAGCAAAAAGTCTTGTTGATCTCATTCAACCTGATAAAGAAGACGATGGATCTATCACAATGGCACTCAAGATTATAGACAATTTGGTAGCAGAAGGTATAGAGTATAGTAAAGAGAAAGGTGCTGATTGCCATTTGAATAGAAAATGCACGTAAAATCATTGCCACTCCTTTAACTGTCAAGACGTACATCATTATGATTGAGCACTTATATAAATCAGAGGACTATATCGACGATTTAGACAATTTGGAAAACCTTACAGATACTCTGTTACAATTGATTATGGACGATGGTAAACAAATAATTCAATATTCATATGCTAAAGAAACGGCGGTCTAGACAATCTTCAGAATGAAATTATAAACTTGAACTCTTTGGACATGCTGCTGGATCTGCTTGAGAATTCAGAAATTGAGCTAGAGGATAAACAAGACAAGGAAAAGCTTGAGGAGATTCGCAAGACAATCAATAAAATAGTTGTTTATGCAACTTCAACAGATTCCAAAATGCAAGAATTATACAATAATCAGCATGTTTTATCCAGATTCTTATCTATGGCAACAAGTAAATCTGAAGTCGCACATCAATGTGCTGTCTATGCATTAGGAAATCTTGCTAGATCAGGTAAGTTTTGTTGCATTCCTGAAATTAAACAAATACAAACACAATTTTATTCTTTTTTTTTTTTTTTTATAGATCAGAATTGTACCGAATTAGTTGAAAAATACAATCTGTCGAAAACCTTACTTGATTTGTATCAAAACACAGAAAACGCTACATTCCAATATGCTATCTCGGGTTGTTTAAAGCATCTATGTCTTCCTATGCATAACAAATCTATCATCGGAACTGAAGGTTGCATTCGTATCTTGTCTCCTACACTCGAAGAGTCCAAAGATATGCTCAAGAGAAACCAATTCTTGACTATCGGCATTATCAAGTTATTGTGTACCGGAAATTGTAAGTATTATTTGACAATGTTTGAGGCAGTGCTTAATTATTGATAGACGAGAATTGTAAAAGAGTAATTCAAGAAAACAACACACTCTCACTTGTGACCTCGTTTATCAGACGTGTAGATGATGTTGCAGCCAAGAGTGAAGCAACACGTATCTTAACCAATTTGATCAAGATTGTTTGGGTTCAAGCAGACAACACAGAACTGAAATCTAAGGTGATTGAAGCACATATTATTGAGCCTATTATTGAGCTTATTCAAACATCCACTTTTCCTATTTTGAAAAATGATGGTATTATGGCACTCACATTGATTTTCTCTGATGTTGATTCCAAATTTGGGTGGGACAAAGGTATGCATGAATTGCACGCTTATAGCTCGATATACTGACTTTTAGGGCAATAGCTTTGCCATTGGTGATTGCAGAACCTCTTACAGATGCAATTGTTGAATCTGATGAAAACCCTTCTCAAGAAGTGCCTGAAAAGAGATCATTCTTACAAGTATTAATTGATGATATTTGCCTACAGCGTAATGAATTACCAGTCCAGATTAAATGTAATGCATGTGTATTGCTTGTGAAAATAGTTGAAGCAGCTAAATCAGGTAAGCCACATAAAGCAATGGCGAATGTGTTTATTTATCTTGGTTTTATAGTTCAAAGCCAAGAAGACATTGTCACAACTATCAAATCCTCTTCGTTGAATCAACTTAAACAAATTCAAAGTGGAACTGAATTGGACAGATACGTACATGCATTAACAAAAGCATTAGAGAAATGAATAAAAACAGTCAAGTGTTAAGTTTATTGAGTAAATATTTAAGGGGCAGATGGATTGTTGATACCGCTTAGTACATTACCTTGGGTAGCAGGGAACAGATAGATTTCGTTAACAGTTTCACCATAGTAGTATAAGTAATTGGGGTTACTACTTTCTTGGAATAGATGGCATCGATCCGATGGCGTGCTAGGCAAAGTTCCACCACTAGGGTAACAGAAACAAGCATAAAGATTGTTGCTGTTTTGACGAACACGGTACTGAAGACCTGCGATAGGAAGGTTCCGTCTTTGACAAACAGCTGCACAATCAGAGTATGAGAATGGAGTACCACGCTGTTGTACTGGAGTTCTTGTGTCTGCCTTAAAACATCTTGGAATAGGTGAAGATGGGACGGTTACAGTTACAGAAACGGTTTCCGTAATTGTATCTGGTCCTGCGATTGTGATCGTTTCTTTTTCTGTGACTGTGTCCAATTCTGTGACTGTGATCATTTCTTGTTCTGTGACTGTGATCATTTCTTGTTCTGTGACTGTGACCATTTCTTTTTCTGTGACTGTGGCTATTTCTTTTATTGTGATCGTTTCTGTTACTCTATCAATAATAATAATGCCTTGACCCTCATCGTCTTTGAAATCCTCCTCAAGATAGCGACCATCACCTTGGTTCTTCTTGTAAAAAGCAACATTAGGACGCTCCATTGATTGGATAGAAGCAGAATTAAATTCAGCATTATCTAATGCAGCAACGAAGGAAGACAACAGCATAACAGCTGCTGGGATAGCACAAGTCAAACGCATATTGATTGTTATGTGCTTTCAGTCGAAGCAGAAGAAGAGGCTATAAATACAGAAAAAAAAGCCGTTTGAGTATCTCATCATGTGAAAAAAGATAACATTCCCTTTGATAATTATCAAAGCAACCAAGAAGCGTAGATTTGTCAACATTTCTTTTAGATATTCAAACTTTATCCACATTCCATAGACACATTAAAGAATTTAACGTTCTAGAAGAGCTAGAAGCTGTCGAGGAAGAACAAAAAAATAAATTAGACTATACTGAATTAGACTCTTTGATGGCGTTTCATGTCATACATGGCGCGTCTTAGAGTCATTTATGTAAGATGATGACATTATTTTGGTAGTACAGGAAAACACTGGACCTTCTTCTTCTAGCATAATCTATCACAATGAAGTTTCCTAAAATGTTGAAAAGGAAAACAATGCAGATTTTATAAATCTCTTTTCTATGTTATTTATTCATCAAACGTTGCGTAATTATATAGTCTAAATCAATGAAAGATATTGTCTTTAGTGATATAAGACAAATATACCGTAGACTCAAGTTAGTCGTGATTATTTAAGATCTGCCAAATTGGTGGAATCAATAACAAATGACACATTTGGCAATGCAAGATAATACAAACCCAGACGCCTTCTTTTATGTTTATCTTCTTGTTTTGATCGCTCTCTTCCTCTCTTTTTTTAGTTTTAATAGTAGTAGTAATAGATTTAGAAATGTCTTCGAGTGATAAAGAATCTTTAGGTGGTTGGATTCTCGGCTGGTTTAGTTCTTCTGATAAGAAAAAAGACGAAGAAAATCAGCCTATCAATAACGATCAACAAGAAACAAATTATTCCAGGAACCAACAAACATTGTCATCACTTCGCTCGCATAAACAGCAAAATCCTTCTTCATCAAATGAACGTCCAAATAGAAATAGTGCTGCAACACTAATACGCACAGACACTGAGTCCTATCTCGACGCACCAATGACACAGAAAAAACAACAAGAGGATGGTGCACTTCGTAGAAAAGTAACCCGAAGACTCCAATTGACAAATAACAATCTCGTGATTGACTGTCCTATTCCAGACAGACTATTAGGCGCCTTAAGTTTTACTGATCAAGACTACGATGAATTTTCGCAACTAAGATATACTGCAGCGACTTGCGAACCTGATCATTTTGAATCTGAAGGTTATACGCTCAGGCCAAAAATATACGATCGTGAAACAGAACTGTTTATAGTCATGACAATGTATAATGTAAAGTATGCAATGTGATACGATATTCAACAACTTACATGACATCTATGTTAGGAAGATGAAGTTTTGTTTACTCGTACAATGCATGGCGTGATGAAAAACATTGCACATCTCTGCAGCTTAAAGAAGAATCCAGTGTGGGGTCCAGATGGATGGAAAAAAGTAGTCGTTTGTATCGTAGCAGATGGTAGAAAGATAGTTAATAAGCGAGTACTGAATGTTCTTGCTTCAATGGGTGTGTATCAGGCAGGAATTGCAAAGAATGTAGTTGATGACAAACCAGTAAAAGCACATATATACGAGGTATACCACGACTTTATTTCACACAAAGAAATGCTCATCTTGCTTTTAGTACACTACACAGATTTCTATTGATTCTGACATGAACATAAAAGGCTCAGACAAGGTAAAGCATAAAAATTAATTTGACTTGGTTCTCAAGTAGATGTATAGGGAATCGTGCCAGTACAGATCATGTTTTGTTTAAAAGAAAAGAACGCAAAAAAGATCAATTCACATCGTTGGTTCTTTAATGCATTTGGCCCTATCATTAAGCCCAATGTATGCATCTTACTTGATGTTGGTACAAGGCCTGGTAACAGTAGTATTTATCAACTCTGGAAAGCGTTCCATAGAAATTCTTTGGTAGGCGGCGCTTGTGGTGAAATCCGAGTCATGCTGGGCACTGCTTGCTGTCAACTCCTAAATCCATTAGTGGCTGCGCAAAACTTTGAATACAAAATGTCAAATATTCTCGACAAACCTTTAGAAAGCGTATTTGGTTACATAAGTGTACTTCCCGGCGCTTTTTCGGCTTATCGATATGCTGCATTAAAAAACGATATCAATGGACATGGGCCACTTGAAAAATATTTTATTGGAGAAGACCTTCATGGTAGTAGTAAGAACACAAGCATCCAAAAGACAGGCTTGTTTGAAGCAAACATGTACCTAGCTGAAGATAGAATCCTATGCTTTGAGTTAGTGGCAAAAAAGGACGAAAGATGGTTATTACAATACGTAGACAGTGCTTTTGGAGAGACAGATGTACCAAATCAGTTACCAGAATTTATCTCCCAGAGAAGAAGATGGATGAATGGTTCCTTTTTTGCGGGCGTATATGGCTTAATTCACTTCCGCAAGATTTGGAGCAGTGGGCATGGATTCAGTCGTACCTTTCTGCTGATGATAGAAGGAGTTTACAATGTGATCAGTTTAGTTTTCAGTTGGTTTGCTGTGGTAAGCATTCATTCTTTTTTTGCCCTTATATTTGACCTATTGTATCTAGGGAAATTTCTTTATTGCTTTTTATTTCATTACAAAAAGTCTTTCAGATCCTAGTGTAGATCCATTTGGAAACGGATGGGGGGCTAGAATATTTGACTTTTTTAAATATGCGTATGCTTTTTTGCTCTTTGTAGTATTCATTTGCTCCATGGGCAACAGACCGCAAGGGTAATGTATCGAATATGTTGCTGTATACCAAGACTAATATCTCTAGTAGATCAAAATATCTCTTCATGATCTGCCTTGTTGGATTTGCTTTTATTATGTGCTATATGCTGTTTTGTTCTTCTTGGCTGATCTACAAAGGAATTCAATTAGCTGCAGAAAGATATCAATGGACTTATGATACTTCAACGAACTTTATGATAGCAATGGATGATCCAGGTCTAAGAAATATGGTGATTTCTCTCTCTTCCACTTATGGTATTTATTTTGTCTCAAGTTGTCTCCATCGCCAACCATTTCATATGTTTACAAGCTTCTTGCAATATTTGCTGCTTATGCCAGGCTATGTTAACATACTTAATATTTATTCTTTCTGTAATACTCACGATGTCAGGTAAATAAGTTCCTTTTTTTTTTTTTTTTTTTTTTTTTTTTTTTTTTTTGCTAAATACAAATGATAGTTGGGGAACAAAAGGTGACAATTCAATTGCCAAAGATTTGGGTGTAGTCAAGGTATCCGAGAAAGAAAAAGGAGTAAAGACAGCAGAAATCGAACTACCTGCAGATCAGCATGACATTAATTGCCAATACGATGAAGCTTTATTTGCTTTGGATGAAAAGCCCAGAAGAGATGAGGTAATTTATGAAATAGCTTATTTGGCGAATCTAAACATCTTGTTAGGAGAGTGGCAATTCATTAACAAAAGATGATTATTATCGTTCTTTTAGAACTCATTTAGTCTTGGCTTGGATTGCTTGTAATGCATTACTCGTTATTTTTATCACAGCTTCTGATTACCAATCGATATTCAGCGAATCAGTTGGCGTAACGTACATGACAATTTTACTATGGGTCAACTTTGGCCTAGGACTATTTCGATTTTTAGGTTCTTTTATATTTCTTATCCTGAGCATCTTTACATCAGGATAAATAAACATCAGCGATACGCATGAAAATGAACTTGTCTATTATAAACATACTTTTATTTTACTTAACTATGTAAACTTCTGTTGATTTCAGCAGCGCCTCTTTCAGTTCGTTCGTTAGCTTTCATTTGCATTTCATTGTCGCCCGCAACATGTCCAACTGCATAAGTTACATAACCCATGAGTCGATCATATTCGCCGTGGATTCGACTCGCCTCACCATGACCAAGTCTTTCTTGTGCTTCTTTATGTTCTCTCTCAGCTTCTTCTCTTGTTTTTTCTCCTGATTGCTGCCACGATGTAAGACCTGTTAATGAACCAAGTGTCGACTGCAGTTCACCTGCTTTTTTCCAAAATAGACTTTTAAATCGAGTTAATTCGGGGTCAACATCGCTTGATTGTGCATGATTGAATGTGCTGTTTGTTACTGGGTAGTTTTGTTCTTTAGTTGATGCTATTGGGTTTGAAGGATACATGTATGGGTTGCTAAGGTCAGGCATCTCTGACTGTTGCTCTGATTTGTTTGGTGGTAGCATAGCACTATTGTTGTTCGAATTGTAAGGTGATTGAGACATTGAAATAAAAACAAAGTTAATAGAAAAAACTAGAAAATAAGAAAGCGCAACTTTTATATGCGCATGAAAGTGACTTAACCAATCAAAAGTAGCTTTACGTCAATATTAATTTTTTCTGGGCTTTGCCATTTAAAGAATAAACGACTTTGTGTACAAATAAATGGTTTATTAAGAAATAATTAAAGGCATTCTTTTACGACTATTTGTTGAAGATCCCTTAAGCTCCTTTTCGTCAATAGGGGGTATGCCCATTTCGTCACATTTAGAAAGCGCAAGACTTAATCTGACAGCCATGCGATACTCAAAATCATATTTGGTGCACGTCATAGCCATTTGCCATAGTTTTCGACTTTTTTGATAATTGCCAAGGCCCCAACTGGTCACACCAGATTCTGATTGTCGTTACCGTTAGTTTTGTTTAGTATTCTCATGAATTTAAACTTACCCCAGTAGGTAAATGGCACAACCCAGCTTTCAGTCTTGATGGATTGCTTATGATCAAGCACCCAATTTAAATGAGAAATAGTTTCATCATAGCGACCAAGTGAATTTAAGATAGAGGACTTTGTTAAAAGCAACACGGCTCGTTGATCGTAATAATCAGGAGGACTTGTCACTGGTACTAGTTCACGAAGGCGAATGTTGTACTCTAGCTTTTCTCTTTCATAAACAAGATCAAGCGCATTTTGTACTCGATCAAGGCATTTTTCTAAGCACTCTTTCTCCATATGCTCAAATGCATTGAGTACCAACATGATTTCGAGACCTGGTAGGCTAAAGTCCATATCTTGATATCCACTCTGTTGAAAGAATTCAACCTTCTTCAATACATACGTATCGATATATGTCTTCTTTTCAGAAGCATATTTAGGAACCTCAGCAAATGCCAAAATAGCTTCTGTGCGAAGGCCCATCATTTCATAGCAAGCACCAACAAAATATTTTGAAAAAGCAGGAGACCAGTATTTTTCTTGACTTAGCTGTTCAAAGTACTTAGCAGCTGATTCCCATTCAAGCTGCAGCGCCAAGTTGAAGCCAATTTCATAATCTGACATTTGCTTCATAGCAACCTCAGCCCATTCACCTCGAGTTGATTCAGCTGCAAACGTAAAAGATTGAGTTGAGAGTGGTATGTTGCGTGCTACACGAGCAATTCTTGCTGCAAAGAATAAAAAGAAGCATGAATTGGGATGATAGTGTTGTGCATTCAGCAAGCATTCAATAGCTGGACTCATCATTTCTTTAGAGTATAATTGTGGTGCAAATGAGGTCAAAATGGAATAATAAGCCAGAAGTCTAAATATGATGTTAATAAGACTGATCAAATAAGCGGAATACTTGCGTGAGTGAAGCCAAAGGTGCACGAATACCGCGGCCTTCTAGACAAAGCTTAAGTAAAGCAAAACCTAATTGTTTGTCACTCTTCCATCCCAAAATTGAGAATATTTTTAAAATTTTAGGTGGCATTGAAGACAAAATCAGATGCACAGAGCCAATGCCAAACTGAATAGCAGAGACCGTATCAGGATCCATGTATTTCGTATATTCTTGGCCCATCTTTTTGTATTCCTGCCATACAACACTGTAGCTATGATATGCTAGTATATGTTAAACACTATGTATTTCCTTTTTAAAGACATGGTACTTACCTCTTCTGATGTTCAAACCGCACTTGACATAGCCTACAACGCTTTCATGCGTCATTTGAAGAATACCCATCAACAGACAGCACTCGGCTTTAATGACATGTGCTCTTAATACGCCATTGGGAAGAAAAGCACTAGGATCAGATAAACCACCACTGCTATTTGGCATAGAGGAAACAGGAGGATTACTGGGCAATCCCGTATTCGTGTGCAAGAAAGAAGTAAAGTATTGGCTGACTGTATCCTTGAATGGTTTCTTGAACGAAGTGTTGTCAATCTGAGTCTTTGCAATTGTATATGCTGTTGCAAGTGCATTCATAGCTGCCTCTCTGTCATTGTCATGGTATGTCTATTTGAGTTTACATCAGTTTGTTACTCTCCTGTTGATTTCTTCTCTCTATGTTTTCTCTTCTTTTTCTTACCATGATAGCTATTTGTTAAATATATTAGAGATGATTTCATGTACACAAAAGGCTTGACTTACCTTTAATGAATGCCATTGCACCTAAACCCAATGCATACAAGGGGTCGCTTTTTTTTTAACTCGTGTTAATAGCTAGCGGTTCGTATTATGGCCACACTTACATGCTTGCTTTTGTCTGGAATAAAGATTTTGCCTTCATAAACTTGTTATCAAATAGGAGCTTTATAGCTTGTCTTACAGATTCATCTAACATATACGTGTTAGTTGTAGAACTGCTTATTGTAGTCTTTCTTACCAGCTTTTTCTTGCTCATGAGGTTTTAAATTGTTAGGAGGGATATCTTTGGGATCAATAGCTTCAATAGCAATTACATTGTCTCTAAACAAATCCAAATCAATAGGGTCTTCGATAGAATATTCAAATTCTTTGCTACGAGTAGCACGCTGGCATTCTTCTGAAACTTGTCTATCATTCAGGCTTTTTTTAGGCTTGAGTAATTTCGATTGCTCCTCGGAAACTGCCTTGACTGATTCCTCAACAGCAGGCAAAATAGCAGCCAAATGCTTTGCAACAATAAATTCTTCTTTTTCTGGCTCAGTAGTTGATTCGATTAAAATTGTTTTAAGATCGACCTTTTCTTCTTCCTGTTTCTTGTCCTTTTCTTCTTGATCTTCGATAGAGACTTTTTCGGGTTGCTGTTCATTTTTCTCAGCAGAACTTTCAACCTGCGTTTCTTCTTTTTTTTCAATTAGGCTTTCTTCTGACTTCTGTTCGTTTTTCTCAGTAGAGTCTTCAATTGGAGTTTCTCTTTGGTTTTTAACTGGATTTTCATTTTCAATTTGACTAATTTCTTGCTCTTCTTCGTCTTGTTCTTTAGCGTTCATTTCGTTTTTTGATTCCTCTAAATCCAATGCAACCACTAGTGTAGCCTCGAATTGCTTTTTCTGTTCAACATCTGATTGCATCGTGTGAATTTCATCAGTTTCTTTGATTTGGTTCAGCATTACGGACGAACGAGATCCTTCAGCTGGTACAGGTTCATACGTTGCAGGTCTAGAAGACACGAACGAAGCGGGGACAGAAGCAACTTCGAGTGCTTCAATTTCAGCAATTGTAGCTAATTCTTTTTGTTCCGTCTCTGTTTTTTTCAAAGAATCATGTCCTTGTTTCTTTTCCTGCTTATCCAATTGCTCGTCCTCATCTTCGCTTACATCGTCGTCGTCTTCATCTGATAACCCATGGTTTTGTAAAGCAGGCAAGATTAATGACATTCGAGTAGGCTTTGTAGGCTCTGTATCAGCAAACACTTGGTGTGGTTCAGTTTCTTTGGGATTCTTCTCAGCGACCTCAGGCTCTTGATCATTGACTTGAGGTACTTGCCCAAGCTCTTGTTCAATGGCTTTAGACTTGCTTTCCTCTTGGCCTTGTTCGTCTTTCAAGTTCAGAGCATCTTCAAAAGTATCATTGGATGAAATAGAAGATTGGTCAACTACCTATTAAAATTCTAGTTTAGAATCATACAGCCTAGATCTGTTTTCTATTCAAAATACCTTGTTTTTACCTTGTTGGATTTATTATTTATAGACAGTTCAGCTGAACTGGTTGTTTGATATGACTCTTGAGAAGTCATAGAAGCTGGACGTTCTGGCTTGATTTTCTTTTGAATAGCTTTCCATGCGCTCTTCTTGTTTAGCGAACCTTTACTCTTTGCCATAGTTACTAGATGATCAGAATCTCAACAAGAAATAGTAAAAAAAAAAGAGATAGTTAAAAAGGGGAAAAAGTCCTGTTGGTGTTTAGTAAATTAGATTATTGAAACAGCGATATACTTGTTGTACAAAGCATAAAAAGATCAAGAATCATCAATCAAAGCTTTTACCTTCACGACCTCGCTTATTACTTTGAACGACAGTTAAATGGACAAAATTATTAATCGTGTTTGAAAGAGACATATTGAGAGAAAGTGAAAGAAATGCGATTTAAGAAGTGTGAATTTGAATCTTCAGAACTTATGGCAGACCTGAATGTGCTGCACTGTGATTCCCTGTTTATGCGTGAATAGTAGATGTTTGCTTTTGTCTGTAGGAAATGAATTTGATTGGCTTTATATAAATACAAATCATCCAAATGATTGCCTAGATTAAGTAAATCAGGTGATAACAAGTAGCTTTTTTTTATTCATATAAATGATTATTTCAAACTATTTTATTCATTTCTTTGTAAACAAAACATGCACAGCAGCAAAGGCTCCTTTCTTTTGATTGACAAGTCTAGAAGAAGAAAAATTCATCCCTTGTGATGAAAAGCCTACCGTTAGAGTTTTATTCTTTGAAATCGGCTCGGAGAACCAGCTTGGATGTAAAAAGTATTTTCGAATAAAGCGTATTTCTTAACCATCTTCGATTTCTGATTAAATTACAAGAATTAACATTAGTGCGGGTGTTGAACTTGTTTGCATATAGAAGAGAGAGATTTATCAAATCCTTTTTTTTTTTCATCATTATGTCAACAAGAAATACAAAGCTAGTTATTTTAGGTGGGGGAGCAGCAGGTTTACTGATTGCTATGGAACTATCAAATACAAAATACCTTGATATTACTCTGATTGATAGTAAAGTACGTATAATAACATATCTTTTCAATGTCTTGACCTTTTCCGTAGTCATTTTACGAATATACACCAGGACTTTGCTCTGTCTTGTATGAAGATACAGACGCAAAATTCGAAAAGCATTTCAACGATATAACATTTGATTACAAGCCTTTTTTGAAAAGATTGAATGTACATTTTGTACATGGTAAAGTTGAATCCTTAAAAGACGAGAAAGGTATTGTTTATAAATAAGAAAAACAGAGACTAACCAAATCCATAAAGTTCACTTGGTTGATGATATTCCAGTAGCATACGACTATTTAGTTATATGTACTGGGTCAAGCTATGCTGATCCTTGGAAAACAGGCTCTTCTGATCATCAAACATCCACTCTCGATGCCAATGCTCGCCTTGACTATCTTCGTCAACACAGAGAAAAATTCCAATCTTCTCAAGACATTTTGTGCATTGGAGGTGGTCCTGTAGGCGCAGAATTAGTGACTGAAGTTGCTTATCGTACACCGCATAAACAAATCGTCTTGGTAGACAGCAATAAGACTGTGTTGTCAAGTGCGCCCAATGGTATTGGAAAACACGCACAAACAATCATTGAATCCACTCCATCTATCCGTACCATCATGGAAGAGCACGCATCAGAAAAAAAGCAAGAGCCAATGAACCCCAAGAAAATTTATGAAACAGATAAATCACATACACGAATTGAAACAGATCTTGTTTATAATTGCATTGGTGTGACTCCTAATTCTAGTTTTCTGCCTAAGGATTGGTTAGACGATAAAAATCAAGTGATAGTAGATGAAACGCTCAAGGTGGTCAAGGCGCACAATGTGTTTGCTGTAGGTGATGTTTGTTCTGTCAAGGAACCCAAGATGTTTTATACTGCACACATGCAAGCTGTACACTTTGTAAAGAATTTGAAACGGTTATTAGACAATATGGCTGTGGAAGATTTGTTGTCCTATCAAGGTGCTCGTATTAATATGGTTATTTCTATGGGCCCCAAGTATGCTGTTGGGTCCATTTCAGGTGTTCCATTGTATGGTTGGCCATTCAATGTCAAAAAGGGTAGTCGAACTGCTGCTGTGACAAAACACTTTATTGAAAGAATTACTATGGACGACTTTGGACTCAAAATGCCTGTCAATAACCTGTTGTACTATACACAAACAAAGAACTTTGGCGGTCTCCTTCCCCAACATCTTTTTTAATAAACTAAACATGAAAACGAATTTTTATTCTAGTCATCCGTATTGTCACTTGATCTGGCCACTCTTCATCCAACATATCAATCCATCTTCTTCTGGTTGATTCTTGTAGCTTATTTACCCAAGTTTCGATCTGTGTATTTCTCTGAATGACGGCCCATCGAATCATGATTTTATCTTTAATCAGATTACCAGTCTCTTCAGATAATGGGACTTCTGTTGGTATTTGATTCAGAAATAAGAAAATCTCTGTTTGATCTGTGGAGGCCATTTTGCCTGCACTTGGTCTAATAAAGTAACGTTCAGGCTGGCCTTTTGTATAATTTGCATTACTAGTCAAAAACTTGAATAGAATAATGTGATCTTCTGGTATAGTGTTTTGTAGCGAAAATTTAAGAGTTTGGCCTCGAACAAAAGGTGGATAGAAATCAAGACGAAGCTTGGATGGTGGTTTGAGCTTGAGTGTTTCAATCAGCCGTGACATTTGATGTTCATGTTCATCTAGAAATGCTGGCTCTTTCTCTGGTTCTTTCTTTGCGGTCATAGATTCTCGAGAAGTATATATGGTAGGTTCGTCTTCATCTTTAGCTGGGCTTTTGATAATACTATGCAAATCGTTATCAGGCGTATCAATCAAAACATTCAAATAAGGGGGTGAGGGCGGTGGTGGTGGTGCTACGTTTCGAAACCTTGGTACTGGGCTAGGGTCAATAAACATAATTCTTGGATTATATCCTTCACAATCTTCAGGCAGCTTGTCGAAATAAGCAGAGTTGATTGTACCATCATCTGTTAGCAACGTATCTGAAGAAGAAGACTCTATAGACTCATTATTGTCTATGTGAAATCGAACGTTTTTTTGTTTTTGCAGCCTCAAGATATTTTCTCGTCGCTGATGCCTTCTTCGTTTGCGTTCTGCTATGGCTTCCGCTGAATCTTCGCCTCGATTGATCAAGATTCCAGTCGGCTGGTTTGCACTTTTAGTTATGGGAAAGATGTTTGTCAGAGAAGAAGACGAAGAAGATGATGTTGCTTCTTCTAGACTGAGTCTTGGAGACGATGTATTGTCGTCAATGATGAGTGGTGGGTTCTTTTTTTTAAGGAAAATAAACTTTTTAAGCCTATTGATAGAGGAAGAAGTAGAAGAACGAGTAGTGATTGAATCGGAATCATTCTTCTTTTTGTTGCTTTTCCAACCTTTAAGAAACTGGGGCAAAATACTGTTCGAAGTGTTGTCATTGATGTCTTTATTGCTGAATCGAATAGGTATGCTCAATGATAGAAATGATCTTGCACTTTTTGCACTTGCTGAACTTTTATGACTATAGACGGACGAAGCATATTGCTTTGTCATTCTGAAGTAATCCAAGAGAAAGAAAGAAGGTAAAAAGAAAAACAAACATGGTATTTTTATATGTAACTGATCGGAACCCTCTACATCCGAGAATTTCTTATTGTTGTTATTGTCTTGTGATCATGTTGACATCACTTGTTTTTTTATTATGTGTATAGAATGTATATATGTGCATTGTTGATATTGTATATATGTGTGTATATGTATTTACTTAAGGGAAAAGTTCACCGAGAATACGCATAGTGTCTTCAGGGCTCTTAACACTGTGGCCTTGAACTTCAGGATGGCTATAAATTTCAAAGTCATTACCACCTTCAAAGGTCTTGTCACCAAAGAAATGAATGTTCTTGAAACCATCTTGCTTGACATGGCGCAAACAATAGGTCTTGTCCCAACCAGTAGGAAAGACATCAAATGAGATTTGTCCACCAATAGAGTAGGTCAATGCCAAATGAGAGAATTCTTTCTTTAAAGCTTCAACAAACTTTTGACGGAGACCTCTGGCAAGATCGTACTTTTCAAATTCATTGCGTTCTTCTCTGGAGCAGTTACGACCAATAGGAGAAACGTTGATCATGCCGTTACGGAACTCAATAAAAGTACCACTTTAAGAAAGATAAGATAACATGTCTTTTGTCTGCATAAAAAGAACTTACCGCTTCTTGGGAATATCCATGTCAGCAATGTAACGCAAAATAAAGTTGACAAGTTTGTTGTACTCTTCATCACCAATCCATTGAATGAAGCTCTACACAATACAATAGATCAGTAAACAAGTCATATAAGGTCATAAGCCATATCCCTCTCCCTTTCCTTTTTTCCTTACCTGAGAAGCCATTTGCTTACCTAAACGGTAGGCAGTAAGACCATTTTCAGCAAAGCAGAAATCAAAGTCTTGAAGGACTATATTTTACAGTATAAGTAACATGAATTGATATCTATAGAAATAGTTCTTACTTGATTCACCAAGTTGTTCATATTGCTTGCTGATATCAGAGCCACCAACAAAACCAATCACGGCCTTCTTACGAAGAGAAGTCAAAGTTTCCTTCATTTCTTGAGAGATAAACTACAGTAGTTTAGTACATATACTTTCACTACTAGTATTATTACTTACGGCACGAGCAGGGGTCAAGGTACCATCAACATCAAAGAGAACAATAGTATCAGGGTTTTGACGGTCAGAGAAGTCGTTGACAGGAGACATGGTTGATATACAAAAGAATGAAAGAAAAAGAGAATGAGAAAGGTGGATAAAAATAAAAATTTATATTAGTGACTAAAATAGGCTTCGACCAATGATACAATCCGTCGTGTCTTGCTTGTCGATCCAAGCCCAACGGACTTCAAAGAATTTTTTTAATATATGCACAACATTGGAATCCTATACGCGTCTTTGTTCTCTCTTGTCGCTTTCTTTTCAGGTACATATTTAATCAATATATGGAAATGTTTGTTTCGTGTTCCCGTATCTTAGCAACGGTTCCTGGTTGTCAAGAAAAGAATAATTTAAAGTCCACTTTTAAATACGAGGCGACGTACATTGCTTTAAATGGCAAGGGCTACATTAAATCAATCCATACTCCACGTGTCAATCTTAATGAAATATTCTGATATAGCTTAAACAATAACACATAGACTTTTGATGTGATGATTGTTACACTATTCATTTATGTAGCGACATCCTCTCTTTTTCTCTTTTCTTTCTCTTGTGTAAATGTACAGCAAAATAAAAAAAAAGCCAACATCTTTTAATAATCATGAAGACTTGAAGCGAAACTATCTCGACAGAGACAGTGGTATTGTCACAACGGAACCAGAATCCGACGCTGAATACAACAGTAATAGACCCAACTACATATTCAGCGATGACGACGATCAGCCTCACCTACCTTCTATTTCACTTCCTTTGGTGGATACTACTCCCTCGCCAATGACTGTCTTTAGTTCACCTAATTATTATTGCAACTTGGCTGACCGAGCCGTGGCTTCACTAAGGCAGCATTTACAAGATAAAGAGTGGAAGAAGGTTCTTAAGCACAAAAGTGGCGTTACTGTGTATATGCTTCAAAAACAACAACAGCAAAAGACAGAAAAAGTCGCGTTATTTCGAGGCGAGTCTATCATTCAGGGATTTACGCCACAATCTATTTTTTATGTCATTGGTATGCGAAAGTTATGGGATGAACAGTAAGTACCTGAATATTCTGATGGTGTTGCTGATGTTCTTATCATATAGTTTTGAAGAAGGCAATTTGATCGAAAACTTGAATGAAACAACCTCTTTAACATACGAATCATATAAATCGACATCTACATCAAAGTGAGTCTGATTGCATTGCATTCTTTTTTTATTAACCTCTCCCTTACTTTTTAAGGGCATTTGATCTAACTTTGGTTGAAAAGATTGAATGTTCAGCGGATGGTGAAATTGCATTTGCTTGTACCAGTATTGATACACTTCAGGTGCCAAAACAGCCAGGAAAAAACAGACATTGTGTCAAGGTAGACAAACTCATATTACTGTATTATCTGTTATTAATAAAATGCTTGTTAGCTTCAAGGTTGGGTGCTGAAACAACTAAATACGATACCCGTTTCGACAAAAGTCACATATGTTACTCAAGAAAACATCAATGGCTGGATTCCTGGCTTAACAAAGAAGTCTTTAGCAAGAAAGCCCTTAATAATATCATCTATTCATCAATATCTAGAAAAGAAAGCAGATCGAATTCGACAGCAACAACAACAACAGCAGCAACAAAGTATACGCAACCATTCTACATCTACTTCTATTCATTCAAATAGTACTACTTTACTAGTTACACCCAATACTAATGATCGACTGTCACCTTCTATAACAAGCCCATCACCACTATCATCTTTAACTAAACCTGATTGTTCTTCAGATACCTCATTGGATAGTGTCAAGAAATATACCAACATCATTCTATCAAACCCTCCTCCACGCATATCCTCTTTGGAAGAAAAGAACAGTCAGCAAAATCTCCCCCCTCCTGCTCCCTCTCCAAGTTTTCCCCTTCCGCTTCCTCCAACAACGCATTCTACTAGAGAAGACATTTTGTCCAGTAATGATTTCCCTTTACCTCCTATTCATCGTAATCATCAACACCAACGTCAATTTTTATTATCGCCTATTCATGAATCTGATCCAATTGATTTTAAAGAAAAAAAAACAGCTGATGCTGCATCCAAATCCAAATTATATCCTCCTAGTAGACATCGACAAGCTAGAAAACAGAGTCTAGATATGCTACAGACGCATGCCAATAGTTCACTGAATGACTGGAAATATATTGGAGAAAAGAACCAGACTCAGATGTACTGTCAATCAATACAAGGAAACCCGTTGCCTATCTTGAGAGGAGAAACAACCCTTACAGGCAATTGGACACCTGAGCAGATCTGCTCAGTTATTCAATGCTTTGGTGCTCGCAAACTATGTAAGCCATACTGGTATTGAAAGACACTCTTGCTTACAAGTAAAACAATAGGGGATGAACATTTTGAAAATGGTCAAATCATTGAACGGTTTTCACAAAAAGAATATTTAGTCTATACGCAAATGAAGAGTATCTTTCCCATTCAAAGCCGTGACTTTTCTCTCTTGACAAGTATTGAAAGCAATGTCGCCACAGGAACTGTATATGTTGTGTCTACCAGCGTTGAAGACGAATTGATACCCGAAAAAGCACAACACATCAGAGGCAGTCTTGTTACGTTTGGTTGGGCTCTTAAGCCTATAAAGGATGGCCATCGATTGGCTGGTGTTACTGTCAGTATCATTGCGCATCTTCAAATGGGCGGCGTAACTCCTCTACCTTCTGCGATCGTGCGTACCTTAACTACACATTTACCTAGTCTGGGTGATCAAGTACAATCGTATTTACTAGATCATGGATGCCCTCCCTACATTCGACGTGTAGCGGGCAAAGTGATATTAGAGCAATTCGATCACCAAGAAAAGATGTATTCAATTCATTTTATTGCCAAACACGCCCCATCTGCAAGACAGTATCGTAACAAAAATAGCCAAAAAATGATTGGATCCATGTGGTGTACAGACATTCGTACACATACAAGCATGTATCCTATGGGTTATCGGATAACGACAACACCTCATGAAGGCATACGAGTGGATATGCGGCCTGATGGAATGGGATTTCGAATCTACACAGAAAGAGAGGACATGGATGGACAGACGATCCAACTTCAGATCAACCCTTGTACTACGACGAACCAAAAACCTGTTTTTGCCTGGAATGACATTGTTTTGTTGGACTTTAATATCAAGATAGAGGAACCAATAGAAGCACCCAAAACTGAAGCAAAAAATAATACCAAAAGAATAACGGATCAGCATGACACAAAGAGTGTCAAGGTATACATTGAAACTAGTAGAACAACTGATTAATAAAATCATACAATACAATAGGCCAACGCATACGAAAAACGACAGCATAGAAACAGTCATATTCTCGTTTTGAGTGAAGACATTGCCTTTACAGCTCATCAATTTTCATTCGTGATTTTATTAATGGCCATTTCTTATTATTTTGGCAAATTCTCTTGTCACTGTTGAATAATAAAAATAAGCTTCCCCTCTCTCCACTTTTCATTTACCAATGATTGCTGTTTATTTTTATTATTTCCCTCTCTTTTTTTTTTATTTTTCTTCTTCTTTCTTCTTCTCTTTTCTTTATTCCCAATGACTAATTCTGAGTTGAAGGAACAAATCGACGAAGAACATTACCTAAATAAACAAAAGCAACAACAACAACAACTTGTTTACAGTCAATTGTTTCCATTCTTGTCTTTTGGACAACGCCTTCTAAAAAACAGCCATTATGTTGCATTTAACCATAATAACTATTTAACAAAAAAGCAATCGAAAATTATTCATGACAAGGAACAATACATGTTTATCTTCAAGTTAAATTCGAAAGGAAAAACAGGTTTGAATAAAAAAAAAAAGGAACAAGGGGGTTTGTTGATCATTTATAATAGCTGCTCTCTGTTATTTGCCAACTCGAGTAAAAAGAGTCATTGAAGTTTATCATATCGTAAGTTAAAAAGTCTATCAGTAGAACATTGGGTCTTATTATCCATAGGAAATTCCTGTTACGTTTCGACATATGGGAATAGGTGACAAGTTGGTAAAAGAGTGTCTAAATTGGGCAAAAGAGTCTAGAACTTTAGTCATACCCACTTGCAGTTTTGTCAAACGGCACTTGGAATTGTTTGATTACGACTCAGTCATCGTAAATAACGAACAAGAAGCCATGAAACGATTCGCAAAAAAAAGCTTATAGACCTATATCCAATATTAAATGTAAATATAATCATAATAAAAGTATTCTTTTTCCTCTAGTTATGTTTGCCACTTTTTTTATTATTATTATTATTTCTGGGTTCCGAAGTTTCTTTCTTATTATAGTATAGCCTTTTTGGGGCTGCATTAACTCGGTGTCAAGTATCTTGGACCCTGAATGATGCTTTATTTGAAATTTACATTGAATACAGTCTTTTAATTTGAAATTTGTATCGAGCATGAAATTTTTCGTTTAGAATAACTTTAATTAGCTGGTGATAAGCCTCGGATTATTACACTTTATTATGAAAAAATAAAATATTAAATGAGCAAAAATCAAATTTTAGAAATTAAGCAGAGCATGAGATACAAAAGTAATATTGATATTGTTACTCACATTAGGTTATAAGAAAGAGCAGAGAATAGAAGGCAGATAAAAGAGAAATGAATCAGTAACAGATATGAACCAGTATATGTAAAATATTGACACAAATATGAGGAGGTAGTTGAATACCATTATCTTGTCAATTGCATAATTGCTAAAAATGAGATAATCTCTAACTCATTACATCCATACTACTACATATCTGATCGACAATACGACCGACCAATACCACGCTATGATTGAAGCAAATAGTGGCTACATGAAATATTAGTCCTTTCTCTTTTTTTTTAAGTAAGCAACCTAAGCTTTTATTCTACACGGTTTACAGTGTTAATCTATTGTGTTTTGAGGAACTTATTCAAGGACAGAAAGCATGCTTTTTTTTTATTTCAAAAACCATTAAAAGGCATCCTATTTTTTTGCGTGACTTAATAACTATTGGCCAAGTAATGATAGTCTTTCCTGGGCAATAATGACTTACAATTGATCTTGTTGAGCTTCCTATAACGAAAACCTTGTGTAATCATTGTGTAGTATAGTTTTTCTTTTTGGTATGATTGAACTAGTAATTTCTGACTTGGAAAATGATGCAAGAGTTTGTTGAGCAGTAAGAGTCGTTCCTCCTATTGCTCAAACATATCCTATACCAAATCCTTTTTTGGTAATGTATCTTTGGAAAAAAGCTTGCTGAAATGCTCCCTCTTAAGTGCTCTTATTACCATCGTAATCAAGAGACAAGCACAAGCACAGCATACATATATTGAAGCAAAAGAAAGCAATTAAAAAAATAGAACTGAACTATTATGCTTAAACATAATGTCAATGGTTGCTTTTAAACTTAAGCAAGCGCCTTTCCTGCTGCTCAGTTCCTATTGTAATTACATGTACAGACACTTTTGAATTTAAGCATTACAGTTAGACGTTTGGTTAGCTTTGGTTTTCGAGTCTCTTAAACATGCTCTTTTTTTTTGTCTATTCATTTTTGTAAAGAAAGCATGCTCAAGAGACTTAAACGTAATGCTAGCCAATTCCCTTTTATGCCTTATGGAAGGGAGACTGATCTGTTTATGAGTCTTTCTTCTCTTGGACATCTTCTTTATTGACTTTTTACTTCTGTGTTCTTTGATCTACTGAAATTCATCGATTTGTTCAGGCTGAATTACCGATTTGTTAAAAGCAAAGCGTCAATGTAATTTAATTAGAATCGAGAATTAAACTCCAGCTTATCATTAACAGGACGCGCCTTATATGAATCATTTTAATAATTTGAAAAATCATGCAATGTACTTGCTTATATATACGTGACTCTTCTGACGTGACAACTAAATTTTAGAAACATGTTGATTCATGTATATAAGAGGCGTTCCTTGAGAAGAAATCCATCATTTATACAAACATGTCTTTTCAAAAAGCCGAAATCTCATCTCCTGCTAGCTATGCACCCATCGTTAAGCAAACACGATACAATCAAATCTTGAAAGTTGGAAACCGCATCGATATCTCTGGTCAAGGTGGCTGGAGCTCTACTATCCCAGAAGATGGCTACAAGTTTGAATACAAGTCTCTTGAAGAGGAAATTGAGCAAGCATTCAAGAATGTTGAACTCGTGCTTAACAGTGTTGGTGCTTGTTGGAAGAACGTAAAGAGCGTCACTTCTTACCACACTAATTTGGAAGATACCAGAAAAAAGTGCTAGGAAAATGTATGAATTGTTTGGAAAGTATATGGAAGAGTTCCCTATCTGGACTTTCCTTGGTATTGAAGCACTTGAAGAACCGAAGATGCATGTCGAGATTGTTGTTTCTGCTTTTCTTGACGAATAAAAAATAAGCATGTTCTTAACTGTACACAATTGATCTGCAAACGCGCTTTAGTTTGTCTTTTAAGTATCGACTTGAGCTATAGAAATCATTTGATTTCTGTCAAGCACAGATTTCTCATTGATCTCACATGACTTCATATCTTTTACTAATACAAGCGAGAGGCCAACAATAAAAGCCTGTAGCATGGATTTTAAATTATCTTAGTTTGAATATCCGCGACAGTGGCTTTGTCCTTGTAGCTTGAAACAGAGTCACAAAGTTTTTTTTTCTGTTAGAAAAAACTGTTTCGACAAGAGCTTTCCTTTTTTTCATATATATCAAGCACAACCAGTATGGCAAAGGAACAAAAGAAAGAAAAGAAGGTCAAGGCCGCCAAGAACGAAGGCTCCGACAACGAAGAAGAAACTCTTCGCTTCCAATCTCCTATTGCTCACCCTTTAGCTGAAAAGAAGTTGGTCAAAAAGATTTACAAGACTATCAAGAAGGGTATAGTTGATCAGACAAGAGAAAATACAAGAAAACTAAATTTTTACTTTAGCTAGCAAAGTCAAGCACGTTCGCCGTGGTGTCAAGGAAGTCGGTAAAGCCCTCCGTAAGGGCGAAAAGGGTCTTGTTGTTATTGCTGGTGATATTTCTCCCTTAGATGTTATCTCTCACATGCCTGTTCTTTGTGAAGACTCTAACGTTCCTTATATCTTTGTTCCTTCCAAGGAACAATTGGGTGAAGCTAGCTCTACCAAGCGTCCCACCTCTGTTACAATGGTTGTCTTCGGTGGTAAGAATAAGGATACGAAGGCAGCTGCTGACTACAAGGAATTATATGATGAATGTTATGCTCAAGCTAAGGATTTGGTAAATAAGTTTATTATGTACATATATGTACGCTTTACTAACACTATGTTTTTTTAGGATGAAAAGCTTGTTTACTAAATTTCTCGTCATTACTTTTTTTGTTTGATTTGTTTATTTTCATCTCTCTCTTTTTTCTTTACATACGCTCTTCACATTTACATTCAACACACCACCTATACAGCAGCAATTTGTTAAGGTAGAAAACGTTCTTCCTTTTTCATAGTATTGTAGATTTCAATTTACATAAATTAATAATAAAAAAAAGACTACAATAAAAAAAAAGCAGCCAGCATAAAAAACGGAGACAAGGTCATTACAGTGAATTGCGTTTGAAAATAGAATTTTTAATCTTGACAAGAGAAAATTTTCTTAACCAATAGAAATTTTTATTGAACAATAGAAATTTTTTTTAACAATAGAGTTTCTTGAGATCAATAGAAAAAAATTATTAGCAGTAGAAAAAAAAACCAACAGTGGAAAAAAACCAACAGTGGAAAAAAAACCAACAGTGGAAAAAAAACCAACAGTAGAATTATTGTAAACCAGAGGGTTAACACAGAAATATATATCTCAAGAGTCAGAAACGCATACATTTCCTGAGAGCCTTTCCAAATCCGTGGGTTAGAAACAACAACGTCTCTCAAATGCTGCTTTGTTTAGAATTGGCATTTTGGCTTTGGTGTTTTCTTAATGATATAAATACTCTGCTCATTCTTATACTTTTTATAAAATTAACCTATTTATTATTACAACCAGATTCTACCATTATCTACGCTCTGGCGAATTCGCTTGTGATGAAGAACCTGAATACCAGCCAAAACAAGATGTAGCGGCTATTAAGTCGTTGTACCAGATGGAAGGTATTCCAGATTATGAGTCTTCGTCTGAGGATGAAGATGATGGTTATTTTAATACAGCAGTGGCTATGGAAGAAATTGATTTAGAAGTAATGCCTCTACCAAATATTATTTGGACACCCACTATGTATTTATTGAAAAGCATCCTACTTGTATTGTGAAGGATGCTACAGAATCCCTTTGTGAGGCTTTTCAAGGCTTAATAATTGACGAGTCCACTGTATATCGTCACATTACTGAAAAGCTTGAGTTTACTTTGACTCGCACAGTAAATATTTTTTACAGTTGTCTGTGACATTTTATTTAGATAGGATTGCCTTTTAAGCAATCTTCAAATATGTTTTTAGAGTGTGCCAATTGAATTGAGAAAGAGTGTGTTGCTGGCTGTAAGAGCCCCATAAATAATTACTTTAGGCTTTTTTCTCAAAAGGCGGGGTTTTCTTTTTTAGACAAGCTGCCAAACTCGAGACAAAATGGTACAACTTCCCAATTTGTGATATAATCACTAATAAAATGGTCAAATCAATAAGTCGATTAGAACCAAAACGGCCAAAAGAAGTCTTCTTTATTAAAGGTTATATTTTGTATTGTATTTATACTGTTTGTATGATAATTGATTATCCTTAATTTGGGACTGAGTGTGTATACACTAGCTAATCGGTTGAGTGGATTAAGGTACACAAGAACTGGGTACATGATCAGGGCACAGACCTCGTCTACCATTGGTATTGATGCAAATGTCAATTTGTGATTATGTGATGGTCTGATCTTTAACATGTTTAAACTAAGATAGAAGACATCCATCGAAGCTGCGGATAAAACTGTGATTGAAAGATATATTTATACATGATATTAATACTTGCTCTTTTAAGGCATAACTAGTGTAAGAAGGGATGGATAATGCTGTGTATACAACACAATTATTGGTTAGAATAGCATATTTACAGCACTAAGGAGCGTCCACCTCGCGTCCACTTTTTTCTATTATTTAGAGCTCGCGTCCACCTCGCGTCCACCTCGCGTCCACCTCACGTCCACCTCACGTCCACCTCCCGTCCACTTTTTTCTATTATTTAAAGCTCGCGTCCACCTCGCGTCCACCTCACGTCCACCTCCCGTCCACTTTTTTCTATTATTTAAAGCTCGCGTCCACCTCGCGTCCACCTCGCGTCCACCTCACGTCCACCTCACGTCCACCTCACGTCCACCTCCCGTCCACTTTTTTCTATTATTTAAAGCTCGCGTCCACCTCGCGTCCACCTCGCGTCCACCTCACGTCCACCTCGCGTCCACTTTTTTCTATTATTTAGAGCTCGCGTCCACCTCGCGTCCACCTCGCGTCCACCTCGCGTCCACCTCGCGTCCACCTCGCGTCCACCTCACGTCCACCTCCCGTCCACTTTTTTCTATTATTTAAAGCTCGCGTCCACCTCGCGTCCACCTCACGTCCACCTCACGTCCACCTCCCGTCCACTTTTTTCTATTATTTAAAGCTCGCGTCCACCTCGCGTCCACCTCACGTCCACCTCGCGTCCACTTTTTTCTATTATTTAGAGCTCGCGTCCACCTCGCGTCCACCTCGCGTCCACCTCGCGTCCACCTCGCGTCCACCTCGCGTCCACCTCGCGTCCACCTCACGTCCACCTCCCGTCCACTTTTTTCTATTATTTAAAGCTCGCGTCCACCTCGCGTCCACCTCACGTCCACCTCACGTCCACCTCGCGTCCACTTTTTTCTATTATTTAAAGCTCGCGTCCACCTCGCGTCCACCTCACGTCCACCTCGCGTCCACTTTTTTCTATTATTTAGAGCTCGCGTCCACCTCGCGTCCACCTCGCGTCCACCTCGCGTCCACCTCACGTCCACCTCCCGTCCACTTTTTTCTATTATTTAAAGCTCGCGTCCACCTCGCGTCCACCTCACGTCCACCTCACGTCCACCTCGCGTCCACTTTTTTCTATTATTTAAAGCTCGCGTCCACCTCGCGTCCACCTCACGTCCACCTCGCGTCCACTTTTTTCTATTATTTAGAGCTCGCGTCCACCTCGCGTCCACCTCGCGTCCACCTCGCGTCCACCTCGCGTCCACCTCACGTCCACCTCCCGTCCACTTTTTTCTATTATTTAAAGCTCGCGTCCACCTCGCGTCCACCTCACGTCCACCTCACGTCCACCTCGCGTCCACTTTTTTCTATTATTTAAAGCTCGCGTCCACCTCGCGTCCACCTCACGTCCACCTCGCGTCCACTTTTTTCTATTATTTAGAGCTCGCGTCCACCTCGCGTCCACCTCGCGTCCACCTCGCGTCCACCTCACGTCCACCTCCCGTCCACTTTTTTCTATTATTTAAAGCTCGCGTCCACCTCGCGTCCACCTCACGTCCACCTCACGTCCACCTCGCGTCCACTTTTTTCTATTATTTAAAGCTCGCGTCCACCTCGCGTCCACCTCACGTCCACCTCGCGTCCACTTTTTTCTATTATTTAGAGCTCGCGTCCACCTCGCGTCCACCTCGCGTCCACCTCGCGTCCACCTCGCGTCCACCTCACGTCCACCTCACGTCCACTTTTTTCTATTATTTAAAGCTCGCGTCCACCTCGCGTCCACTTTTTTCTATTATTTAGAGCTCGCGTCCACCTCGCGTCCACCTCGCGTCCACCTCACGTCCACCTCACGTCCACCTCACGTCCACCTCCCGTCCACTTTTTTCTATTATTTAAAGCTCGCGTCCACCTCGCGTCCACCTCACGTCCACCTCCCGTCCACTTTTTTCTATTATTTAGAGCTCGCGTCCACCTCGCGTCCACCTCGCGTCCACCTCACGTCCACCTCACGTCCACCTCACGTCCACCTCACGTCCACCTCACGTCCACCTCACGTCCACCTCACGTCCACCTCCCGTCCACTTTTTTCTATTATTTAAAGCTCGCGTCCACCTCGCGTCCACCTCACGTCCACCTCACGTCCACTTTTTTCTATTATTTAAAGCTCGCGTCCACCTCGCGTCCACCTCGCGTCCACCTCGCGTCCACCTCACGTCCACCTCCCGTCCACTTTTTCTATTATTTAGAGCTTGCGTCCACCTCGCGTCCACCTCCCGTCCACCTCCCGTCTGTTGTGATGTAAGAGAGAAGATAAAAACAAAGAAGTCGATTAGAACTTGTATAGGTTTATTATCCAATGTGATATTTTGATAATAGAGTTATATAATAAGATGATATAGAGACAAAGGTAGATACTTTGAGACTTCTGTTGTGAACATATATGAACTCATATGCATAGATCAATAAATGATGATCATGGCAAAAGACCAGATCACATCTATGGCAATTGCAATGGATCTATAGTCACTGACATTCACTCATTCTACTAGAAGTACTACATCATCCTCATAGTCAGAGATTATGAACCTAGTGACTCTGTTATTATTAATGGCCCTCATAAAGTGACAGTTAGAGCTGACAAATACATTAGCATTGGCATTTGACAAATATGTAATAGTTTATTCAAGTTCAGGTCAGATCATGTACTATTGGCTGAGCTAACAACTTCCTCTAAAGGCATTTCTCTTAATTACTCCTGATCTAACAAATCAATCCGTAGTCAAGAAGCTAACCCAAAACAATATTTTGACCGAGAAGAAAAAGTATAAATACCTTGACATTTTATAGCAATTGAAGGACAACATTTTTCTTGGAGAAATAAAAACCTATACAAGTTCTAACGGACTTTCTCTGTGTTCTTACCTTTTCTCTTATTGAATATCTACTCTCTCTTCATCTCACAACAACTTCTATACAATTTTATTGTTGTTCTTTTTGATTATAAATTATTCTAGCATATTTATACATGAAGAGATGTCAGAGTAAGTAGTCGTAGAGTTCATGCAAATGACTGAGTCTCTATTATCATAGACTACTTTAAATTAATTAAATAATGTAAATTATGGATTTCGGTTATAAGTCTTGATCTATTAAAAGATACATTGTCTTATTCAGTACAAGAGGTTCTTTTATGTCTATTTCTGATGTAAATTGATTATGATATATTTTTAGTATGTAAATGAAGACTTATTTAATGTCAGATCATCATATGCATATAGATTCTATATGTTCACAACACTCGCGTCCACCTCCCGTCTACTTTTTTTTTAGCAAGCGTCCACTTCCCATTCACCAACCATGTGAACTTTTCGTTTAAACATCATGGCTGAAAAAAGATTTTAATAAATTTTATTACAAACTTGGTACTTGTATTGAGCAGAATGTAGAAGTCGGTTAAACTCCTTGTGGTGATCTGAGCACTTTCAATACAAAATATAATAAATAATCTTTCATCATATAAATGAATAATCACTTATAGCACTATACATTATAAATATAAAGTAAGCACTGTATAATGACAGTAAATAACGGTAACTGGGATAATATGGATATTTACAAATAAGGAAACCATAATTGTACCTTTTAGGTAACAAGGAGAATTAAAGGAGAATTTATATAATCAATTCCCAGGCACACGCTGTCAAGGTGTTAAGTAATCAATAATCAGTAATCATAATTAGTCAATAAATCAGGTAGTATAAAAGACACCCTGGAAAAGATATATTTTAGAACAATCAATTTATTTTTGTAATAAAGAAGTACTGAACAGTCTCACTGTATTTCTTTGTTTTCTTTCTATCTTCTATTCTATCTTCATTCACAACCCAAACATCACATTTTTTACAGTAAATTCTGTTGCTACTATGTCCAACTTTGACTCTAACACTCCTGCTTCTTCCTCTCTCTCCTCTATGGATCTTTCCCTTGATAATGCCATGGAAGAAGTTCCAGAAAACACTATCTCTGATGTTGCTCTTAATTTAAATGAAGAATCTACCTCTGTTCATCTCTTGGATACTGCTAAGGAAAATCTGGATCGTTTGCGTTCTGGTTTTAAGGTTGCCTATGGCCACTATTTGTCGTGTCAAAAAATTCATCCTGGTGCTGAGAACACTCGTATTGCTTATCTCTCATACAAGGAAGCTGAAACTCTTTTCAAAGAAGCTGAAGAAGCCTACAAAGTCTTTTATGCTATGGAAAACCCGGTCAAGATGGAAAACAAGAGCACTTTGGTTCCTTCTGGACTTCCTTATCTTCAACTAAAAACGGATACTGACA